ATGCTCAAGAACAATTTTAACTTTAAGAAGCTGAATGATACTCGAAAAATTTACAGAGTATATTATTCCAAACTGTTAACTGTTAATTGAAAATTTTCAGGCATATACATGAGTTATTCAAAACAATTTACGATACGTAAATGAATACATAAAAAATACCTCAAAATCCACACCAGCTGGCGGTAAATATGTAAAAGGATCTTTTATACGATCTTTTATATACTCCAATATCTTTTTACCATCTTTCTCAAAAACGACCTTATGAAGGTCATCATCTGCGACAGTATGATTACATATTAATGTCGCAGTAGTATTGTACTTAACATAATTCGGAGCAACAAGCCTCACTTCAGGTGTTGCATCTGTCAATAAAAAGTTTATCAAGATTTATAGAAAGCTGGTGAATGAAATCGTCCAAGCTTTAATTACTATTTATTATTCCACGTAGTTTTTATACGTTAATTCTATCAGAACTCTCTATCCAATTTATTATTCGCCATAGGAATAAACTACTGAGTTAATAAAACATCAAAATTTCCTAACGAAAACATGCACGTGTGTTGAAATAAATATTAAAGTATATTACCAAGTAAAGAAAAAGAATAATTTATTCCATTTATGGGTTAATTAATTGGGCTAATTAATTCAAAGGCAAGCTATAGTTTAAATTGGTATAAGTGTAAAAGGTAACTCCTGTTGCTGGGAGCTTTAATATCGTATCGATTGGAGGATATGTATCTTTGTATATGAAGTTTCAGTAATTGTATAAATATTTCATCAAAACAATTACATTATATGTTTTATATCAATTAAACATATACTCTAATATTTGTACTTGACATATACAAATTAATTAACCCGAAATTGCAATTAATTTAACATGCAAATGTATATCAAATACATGTAATGACATTTTTACAAGTTTCACAATGTAATGTTCATCTAGATTGGTATATAATTGACATTTTTGTCTAAATGACGAGAAAAGATAATATTAGGATTCTTGCAAATTACCCACTTTATGGATGCACCTAGCCGCATGACCCCATTATTTAATCGTTGAGAATCATTTTGCGGATTATTCTAGCCTGTGTCTTTAATAGTCAATTGTTCTACACAATGTTTGAAAGTATTTTTTTTAAAGACTACCGAAAGCTTTTGATGTTTACCAGGCTTTTTTTTTCTTTGAATTAATGTTATTTTTATGAGTAGATAAACAACCAAGGGTTAGCCCATTATTTAAAGGGGATGATAAAAAACTAAACTACAGATAAGACTAAATCATCATAATAAATATATAAATTTGGCCTGGTGTTTAGGCAGATCAAGATAAAGTACGAGATCATGAAGATTTATAAAAAAGGCATGGTGAAAGTGAAGCCGTAGTCAGACAAACATTGACAGCTAGTGTATAAAATATATTGAAGACTTACATGAAAATAATTGTAAAATATACACAAATACGATTTTTTTCCATTCAGCTTGTTGACGTGACATTTTGTAAGTATTTTTTTTTTACGTTTTTTTTTGTGTTTTTTATTAATATTTTAATTTTTTATTACTTAAATTTATAGGTGCTGTTATTTGATTATAATTAAATATTCCCTACGTAATTAATATAAATGTGCGACTATTTTATACAGTGTGCTTTTAAACTACACAACTTCATGCCGAGTCGGCGCTACAACTGCTGGGAAGAGCTTTCGATCGTCTCGACACCCTTAACAGATCACCCCTCTATACACTGGGAGGGCGTAAACGCGGAGATTGAGTGGGAGTGCGCCGAGTTACCGTCGCGTGGGTGAAAAATCCTTTGCACACAAAATATCACACGAATGTAAACAATAGGTATTTTTTTAAATTTATATATTATAAACTTTTTGATTACATTGTCTTATAAATTGATGATATCTCTATAAAAATATACAAGAGCTTTTTGTATTGAAATTTCACTTGAATCAAATTGTCATGTGCACTGTGTTCATTAATCTTTTTTTTTTTTATCGTACAATTGTTGAACATATCTGAGGGGTCACATAGTGATGAAACATATTTTGTAAATTATTTTTTAAGTTGGAATAAAATGTGGTTGGAAATGTGATATAAATCATGATGATAATACGTATTTACATTTTTATTTATAATTTTTAATTTATGGAAATTTACGTTAACTACATAAGCTTGTGTTTTAATTATTTTTAATATTTCAGAATATTATTGTCATAAAGAGTTAGTAGTTTTTTTTTGTGTACATTTTTATTTATTTTTCAAAATACTGAAGGAAAAATAAACTGATAAATTGATATTATAGGTATGCTAAATCACATTTGCTACAAGATTAACCGCATAATTATCAACTAGTTTAATACTTTGATGTAATAATACATTAATAATAAATTTGATGTGTTGATAATATTAGGTAGGGTCGAGATGCGTGTCTTAACACTATCTTCTAGTAAAGTTATTAACTTCTTGGCTTTGAAATTCTTCGAAAAAGATCATTTCTCCAACCATCATGCAATGTTTATAATAATAATAATAATTACTCTTTCATAGCGTTTTTTTTTAGAAATAATATCAAGATAAAACTTCTATCAAGATATAACTACTGAAACGAAAACTTTATTAAAAAGTTTGTTAGCAGAGAGAAAAAATGAAAAATAATAAAACTCACTACTTTTTATATTAGTTTAGTAAAAATAACATTGTAACAATGGAATATTATTTTGATTTGAATAGTAAAAAATTGTATAGGTATTTTTATTAAAAACGAGGATGATTTTTGAATTTTTATAAAAAATAATTCCCTTCAAAATTCAACAGAAAATTCAGGACAGTTTTAAAATTCTCGAAGTATAAATAATTTAACATAATATTTCAATTCTCTAGACTCTGTAATATTTCAGGACAAAAACTGATTATCTTATTTCGTTGGAATGAACAAATTTAAAAATTCATTGTTACAAACGAGTTATTTATAGATGGTTCTTCATAGTTTATGGATTTCAACATGAACTTTTTTATCCCCAACTGTTTTCAAATATTATTAGCACCAGGTAGTTATTTAATCAAATTATATATTTCAACAATGATAACTGAACCATAAAATTGATGTCTTTTAATTTATTTTGTGTAGGAGTAATACTGAGTAAACTTCTGATATGCAATGTAGATGCATACAAGAAACAAGTTTTGAGAACTAATTAGCATGCGTGCTGAGAATTATCCAACTTTTGCGAACCAGTGTTGAAATAATTTTTAAATTAACTTTTAATTATCGAGACATTGTTTTATTTAATAATTTTATCAGTTGTTATTATTTTTTGCTTTGATTTAAAATAAATTTTATCAAAAAGATTTTGATTAATTTAAAAAACTTGAATCAAATTTTTTGTACAGATCTTGAATCATAGATATGATTATTTGAAAATTTTTTTCTATTTAACATTTGACGGACAATTTAATAACTTGATCATGAAAAAAGTTATCTCTGATTAATATCAACTCATAACTCTAAACTTAAAAAGCAAATATTTAACTTGAATCGTAGTTTAAATTTTACAGTTTCATTATTGATTCTTACGTCGAGATATTTTTCCCGAATTTTTTTTTTTTGCGAAAAAAAGCAATAATGGAAGACTATTTCAACTTCTTTTATTGAGTACTAATTTATTTTCATGTCAAAAGTTTTTCAACTTGCATCATTTGTTGAAAAATAATTTTTTACTACAAAACTATGGACAAAACGTACAAGTTAGATAGTAAATGAATTATTTTTGCATTTAATTACATCTTTTATATGCTAAACTTTATTTTTCTATTCAACTTTTCTGAAATGACGGTTAACACATTGATAAAATAACGATCATTAACTGTAGTAAAAAAATTTGTCAGACTCTAAGTAAAGTCACAAAAAGTATTGCCTTCATAAAGAAAAACCACTTGACAGGACGTCAGTCAGGTTAAACGTTTAAAAATTACATTTTTTGTTTTTATTAATATAACAAAAACGATGGTCTAAAGAATGTGCATTGTACCTTTCTCAACTTCCTACAAAAAAAATTGAACTAAATTAATTAATTTTAAATTAAACAATTCAAAGAGAGGTCTATTTATTACTTTAATAAAAAACTACTATAAAAAACATTTCTTAAAATGTTTATGAAAGATGTTTTGATGTCTCTCTTAAAAGTATTTATAAAGTTTTTTTTGAATGAAATATTCGTAAACTACCTGTTGGGACTTAAGAGCATCTTCTTTGAGGTCGTTTTCAAAGGAATTTTTCTTCGTATAATTTGATTATACTCAACATTTTAAATTAAAAGATCTAATGCATTATAACAAAGTATAACGAAGTATATATCATTAAATTATTATAATAAATTGCATAATACATCATTGTGATTAACTTTTCACGAAGAAATATATGTCAAGTATCATATTTCCATTTTTAGTCAAATTTTTCGCTCCACTGATAATTATTTTACCTTTGTATTCTTATTTCCACTGAATAAAATATAAATACCCTGTATTTAGCTACAGTTTCAGAGATTACAGATCCACCCTTAGTAGTACATTGTGCAGATGTGGGACAGATTGCTGTAAGTCTGACGTCAAGCGTATACACCAAACGTAAGACTTGAGTCAGACTTATGGCAGTCTACATTCAAATCTGCACTGCGGCCTCAAGACCTTAGTGACTAAGGGATAAACCCTTACTATATGGTAGATTTGCAATCAAACTATTAAACTGACTTTGACAAATTTCAATCAATTCCTATTTTGATATATGGCATGAAATAGCCAACTTAGTGCAATGGATAACTTTTTGATTAATGTTAAGTTTCATTTACTAGCATAAAAATAGATTTATTTTCAATTATTATTTTTGGTACAACACAAAATTCATTTACTATAAATAGAAAGTGAAAATCATTCTTTTACTGAAATATGTGCTAAAATTTCATATTATCCGCTTTAAGTTAAGCTTTAAATTTAATTTATGTTTGATAATATAACCTGATATTGACTTACAGAAATTAATCTTTACCTAGAATATATATATATAGATATATATCGTAAGGATGGATTTTTCACGAATGTTGAGCACAAAAATTAGCTTCGTTAGAGCGTGTTGAGTAATTATAGAACACATTTCACTAGTGCGTGAAGTGTATTTATCAGTTGACATTTTATGTTCTTTCGTCTGCTCCAATTCAAGGGGTCAATTATAAATTCTAGGACAGTATTACTATTTCAGTGGAGTTAAAAAAATACGATTATTATTCAATTTTTTCAAATATAAATTTTTATGATTTGGTAAAAATTAATATTTACATTTTATTGAATCGATATAATATATTTGTACTCACTTATTTATCAATCAATACTTTCACAGAAACAATGGTGAAATTTTAATCAGCAGCGAAAATATTATACGAAGGATTCTCAATAATCACAAAATGTTCATTCATTTTAAATGAATTAATTTTCTGAATAATTTCCTTGAAATTTGGCCTGCTATCTGGCCTTGATGACCAACAACATTGCATAAAGTTATAGAATTCTATTGAAATAGTTGGTGGTTGACTTAAACGACAATTATCTTTTAGAATATACTGCAGCAATTCATCATCTTGAACTTGAGAATAAGGAAATGCTCCAAGTGTTCCAATTTCCCACAACACAACAGCATAAGACCAGACGTCACTTTTCGAAGTAAATGCACGATCTCGAAGAGCTTCGGGTGCCATCCAACGAATTGGTAGTCGACGAACTCCAGCACCACTCTTGCCAAGGACATAAATGCCATCGCGAGATAAGCCAAAATCTGAAATCTATTTCAAGGTTTGTTGATTTTTATTTCTGAATCAATTCACATTAATCATTTATTCATAAAATAATAAGAAAGTTTAATTGTTGCTACTACCTTCAAAGATAAACTTGATGTGACAAGAATATTTCTAGCTGCCAAGTCTCGATGTATAATTCCTTGTCGCTCTAAATGTTCCATCCCCGCAGCAATGTCCAGGGCAAAGCTAATAAATCGATAGTTATCAATCTTACCACCTGTTGAATGATTCCATTTTTTTTCAACGTCACTGATGTAGTTAACATTCTTGTGGAGGTGATTGTTCTCTTTGAACATAGTCAAGGCAGTGGTAGGTGTAGTGGTAGATTCGTTATTAGAAAAAATTGAAAAGCTTCCACTCATTGGAGATACACTTCCCAATATAGTGTATAATGCTGAAATATTCGTTTGAAAAAATCAATTATTTTCCAGTCATCATTGTACAATATCAAATAGTTTGAAATTGGAATAAAAGCCAATTAGTAGTAAAATATACCAAGTATTTCGAATTCTTTTTTAACTTGAATCAGGAGATGGAATTTTTATTAACGTTTTTCATTAATTATATCTCAATCAATTATTACTTTGAACAAAAAGTGAAAGATTTATAACAGTTAAAAAAAATACTTATAAAAGATATATCATGTTTTTTTTTCAAGTATGAGTCCATGAAAAAAGCTCTGCTGTGAAAAAAGAAGACTCAGAATCCTGGAAATTCAAGGTGATATCCGAAGAGTGATTTTAATATAAGGGTTTGGAAGATGGATGATGCTACGGAGTAAACGGAGACACGGAGTACTTTTTATAGTGTTGGGGAGACAGAAGACTAAACACTGATAAGATACTCGAGGTTGTAGACAACAGAATTAAAGGAGAAGCAGAAAAATATTTTGAATGGTTGATGAGGTGAACTTTAAGCGAGTCAATCAAAGAATTGAGTTTCTTTTTTAAAAGATCTCTCGTCTCATTTGAAAAAGAAATAAAAAGGATGTTTAAAATCCTTTATTTCATTTGGAAATATTGATTTTCTTAATAAACAATTAAAATATTTAAAGTTCTAGACAATTTAAATAAAAATTAATCACAGAAGAACTTATTAAATAAATATTTCAATAAATACTTTAAATAAAAAAGCTCTTATTTGTGTTGATTTTATTCCAATCGAGTATTAATGAGTTAATGGACTTACAGTCTATATAAATTCAGTAATTAAATTTCGTTCAATTTCTTTTACAAGTTATTTTATTTAAAAAAAAAAAAAAAACTCAATAATTATTTTAACCTTTCAATTTAATCTAATAGTATTTGACAAAATGTTTCGTTAACTAATATTATCGAATAAATCTAATTACAATTAATGAATATTCTTTTACTTTAACATTTAACGTTAAAAATATAATTTTTAAGTGAAACAAAACTTTACTCAAAATCTTCAAAATTTTTGTTAAACATTTTATCAATGTTTGTTTATTTTACAAGTCTTTTATTCCTTACACATGCATAGAAAGTATTTTTTTAATTTTCAATTCTATGATATTCAATCTGCACGATTTTAATTGGATTTTTCATACTATAAAAACAAAAATATTTTGTTCACATTCCTAGTGTGAATTTTTAGTTTCCAATAACGATATTATATTTTTTAATTCAAAACCATGACATTTTGATTTTATAGAAATAATACGTTTTATTAAAGACACTTTATCATTATTGATTCAGTTGTTTCACAGTATTGACATGATTCACATTGATGAAAACTTTCAGACACTTAATCAATATTTATATGTCTACACATATAATTTTTCTTAAACACGGAAATAATACCGTCAATCAATATTCACAACACTATAGAATTTTAATCCTTGCAATAATATTTTTTATCGCCAATGGTTAATAGAATTAAAAATTTTACATTTTATCAATTTTCCTAACTTACTTGAATGTAAGGTTTATGACACACACAATATTTATACAGAAATCAAAAATTTTGTTAGAGTAAACTTGCAATTTGTCATAGTGATAGACTGTTTTGTTTACATTATCGAACTATTCATTATTGAAGTAAAATAAATAGAATATCATCTGATAGAATAAAAATAAGAGTAATTTTTCATATTTTCTAGCACCAAGTATTTCTGAATATATGGATCTGATAAATATATCTTACAAAGTTGCCATAAGATAGCTTAGTTAAATTGCAGAACTCTATATAGATGTAATTTGTTGGAAGCTTTAGCGGCTGTTTAGTTTCTCACAATATAATTTCACACAAACGAATAATTGAACTGTTGAACTCAAAAATGTATGATTTTTGTATTTCTCTAAAAACACTTACTTTACACAGTTAAATGTTAAGTATAAAGCCCAGAAATAATAAAATTTTAATAGTATTTCTAAGAAAAGAAATATATATTTTTTCTCTTAAAATGTGACCTATAAATGTCATGATATGCAGTAAATATTCTCAGTCAACCTCGATTAGAGGAGCTTTTTTCTTTTGATTTCTGAAATCTTAAATTCAGATTTTAATAATAATACTCAATCAAATAAATCCTAAATAAAAGTAGAAAAGGTCTGGGATCATTTCTATCTAAAGATAAAAATTTAATCAATATACTTTCAAAATATTCCCATTAAACGAATATCTCTCAAAAAAAGGAAAAAAATGCGGCGTAATAATAGATTAAGATTTTGTTTTATATCTATGAATGAAGAATAGATTTAATTTTAATTAAAATTTATTTGTATATTATTAAAATGTTTTGTATTCAGGAATAAAATTTAAATGCAAAGGAAAATATATTATTGAAATAAAGCTTAGTTCCTTTTGAAGCATAGAAAATTTTTTTTTTTTTTTTGGTTCAGTACAATAGATAGTTACTGACTTTCAGCAAACTGAAAAAGCTTAAAATGATTTTTTATATTCAATTATAAGAGACTATTATATTTTCCATTCTATGTTATGTATAAATGAATATTTCCATTTCAGACACATTTTCCTTTCTTTCATAATGTGATGCAATTCAATCGAATTAACTATGTTTTTTACCAATATTCAATTATTTATCATCTCATTGTTCTAGAAATATATTTATTCAGTAATAAAAATATTATCCTGATATAGAACAAGTTTACTTTTAATTAATTTTTATTAGAATATTATTGTTCTCACATAAAAGTAAAATTTTCCTAACTAGAGAAAGGTTGGGTTTATGTATTTAAGATCAGTCGACCTATTATTAACCATAATACCAAGTTTCACACCAAATAGATTGATGAACAAATGTGTCACAAAGAGCAATGTGGGGTTAAAGACCAGTCCAGATTAATCTTTTTCTTTCATTTACAGCTTTCAATTTTTCTTGTCTCCAAATATTCAACCCCTATACTAACATTTTGGGTACTCAAACGATCAATACCTATGAATTTCTGCTTGAATTTTAATGAAAAAAGCATAAAATTAGCTCTTCATGATGTTAATTATTTTTGATGACATTAATGTGAACTTAGTAGTAAGTCCTGTTAATTAAATAATTTATAGTTAATTAATAAATTATTTACTTTAGTTAAATACATTATCAACGCTATTTTCAATTAGATTTTATCGAACACTAAAACCAATTCCAATCGATAAATACTCGTTTATTCATGAAAAGAATATTTCAGATATGCTTCTAAAATGTTTCTGTTTTTTAGCATATAATTTGCAAGTGAGATAAAAACATTTAAAAATATAAGTCTTACTGTCACTGGTGCTAGGTCGTGAGTTAATTGAAGAAGCATCAGACAGCTGGTGTTTGTCCACTACACATTCATTTCTGATCCAGTGAAGGTATGCAAGCAAATCACCACCATCTACATATTCCAATATAGCACAGACAGGCGTTTCAGGTGCAGTGCAACAGCCAATAAGTTTAACAAGATGTGGGTGACACCCAGCACGTTTCATTGTACCTATTTCTTCAAGCAATTGACGTCGGGCTTCTGGTTCATTGGTTGACCCTGATGGATTCGACATTTTTATAGCTATTGGGAAACTGTTTGGTCCATCCAAATACCCTAAATACACTTTTCCAAATTGACCTTTTCCAAGTTCAACCGTTATATTCAGACGATCATATGATATTTCAAGTTTATCTGCTTCATTTAGTGTAGGTACCTGTAACATTAAATACAAGATTATTACTTTTTTTTGTTTAAAAATTTTATGAATTACATATAGATTGAATCTTTTAAATTTTAATAGTGATGATTTCTATTCAAGAGTCGTTTGGAACATTCTTTGTGAAGCAATAATCTATTTTTTACTTTAACCTAGCAGAAAATTGAATTTCATGAGAAAGATTCGAACAATTCAAAAATTATTAGATTGTTCGAAAGAAATAAAAGTTGAGTTCGGCAACTAATACAAGAAATTTGTGCTGATTTACTGGTTTAAGTAATAAAAATCACAGTTGATCAACTGCTCATGTAATATTTATATCATTATTATTGTAACCTTAATAATAATGAAATCAAAAAAGTAAAATAATTTAGTTTTTCTTAACTTTGTTCTTTGATGAAATTTTTCTCGCTCGAATAAATTTTTTCCCTTATCCATAAAGCCTTTTTCTTTCTTAAATAATAGATATATTTGGGGAACTTCAGTAATTGGGTTAAAAATAATGGGAAAAAATCTTGAATAGACGGATAAAAAGTCAAAAAAGCTTAATTTAATAGCGAGGAAATAACAGTATATTAGGTATATCGTATAGAAGATAATGGAGTAGTACTGATGGCTTCTATTTTATTACCTGTTTACCTCATAGACCATTCAATGTATTTTTTATTAATTCATTCATCGTTGATAATAGAGTCATATTTTCCAGGAATAATAAAATAAGATTTTCAAAACATTAAAAATTTTTTTCAACATTATATTTTCTAAAATAAATTACTTAAAATATGGAATTAAATATTTAAATTCCTATGAATAATCTGTTTTCAAAGACATTGACTACTTATGTTAGAACAATTAACTAAATCTGAAGATTGATTTTACTAAGTTAAATCATTTACAATAATTGATTCAATTTTAACCTTATTAACTAGTTTTATCCTTATTAATGTTCTCTTCCTGTTTTAATTCAGAACTTTGACTACCTAAATATTCCTTTGGTTGACCCTTAAATCGTTTGTAATAATTCATTCATATTACTTTATTCAGATTAACTCATGTTACCCTTATTAATATTCATTTTCAATCTCAACTTTTTTGTGTTATTATCAGGAATATCTACCGATTTTACTTAATTAATATGTATATTTTATTTATTTTTTACTTATGAAACTGTTAATGTAATATGAACAATGAACTTATTAAAAAATTATTAGTTACTGAAATTTTGTAACTTAACTCATAAATTTTTCATTTTAGTGAGAATAATTTTTCAATGATTAGATTATTTATGATAATGATAAGAAATCCTTTTATGTAATAAAATCAAATACCAATACCTCCTGTGTTGGATAAAGAATATTGTGTTTCCGCAAAATCGAACTCAACCAATGAGTTCCATTTAGAGGTTGCGGAATAGTGTGTGCTCTAAAAATAGAGAGAATTGATTTTTGAAAATACTGTCTGCTGAAAACGCCTGTGTCGATGTTGAATAATAAATTAAAAAAATAATTACATCGATCGGGAATGGAAAGGTATCGATTTATAATTCCCAAATTTTTGTTTCCATAAATAAATAAATATACCAATTACTATGACTCCGCTACTCACTATGGTAAACCAGATAATCCACTGAAACCAATTTGTTATCAAGTATGAAATAAATTTCAATGTAGCATTACTAATTTTAACATCTAGTTTAAAATTAACTTACTTTATTTTCCATTTTCATTAATTCTTTATTACTATGTTGGCGTTTAATAAAAAAATCAGTGCTGATACCTCGACATTTCTCAGCATCTTCAGCAGCAACAAATATTTTATTAGGTGCATTAATAGTAGAATCTACTAATTTTCCCCGCCACTTGAAGAAAGAAGTATTGGCAGGAACTCGAGTTATTTCTGAAGTATTATAGACAGGCAATCCACTGGTAGACACCATAATTGGCGTAGCATAACTGTTCCAAACAATAACAATTCAATCATTAATTGATGGAATGAATGAAGTATTCTTGAAATAGAAAATTAAACATTTAATAATACTAAGAAATTATTTATAGAAGATCTCTTACACACGCAAACTTTTTTATAAGCAAATAAAATCCCAATAAAAAACACCATTATGCTAGTGTCAATCGAATTCCTTGAATGTACTAAACTACATAAGAATAGTTACTAAATATTATATAAACTGGTGATATTAAATAGCTGGCTTCTTTACTTCTAATTTTATCATAAGAACTAATTTGTAAAACTTATATTAGTAATTGATAGAATATTGATCAAAGGATAAAAATAAATTTGACATAATGTAAGTAATTTGTAAGACTTTTTTAAATAAAAAGCTAACTTTTTGAATATTCATACTTATAAAAAATGCTTATTACTCTTGGTCGCGACTGTATTTGTGCGTTTTTATTTCTTTTGCATTCACATTGAACAGTGTTTGCACACATTCATTCGACTGTTACCTATCTATTTACACTAGTTGAACATATATGTTTGATAATTTTTTTTCTTCATGATAAAAAAAAATTTCCTTTAAATGCAGCATCTATGCAGGCATTTATGTTTACATATTATTTGTTGAATATTAAGAAAAAAATTAATTTTTCGCGTTGTTAACAAAAAAAAGTATATTAGTTATAATAGATAATAAATTATAGTTAAATAAGTAAATATCCAACGATTTATCGATTGAATAAATATGTTAATAAATATGTTAGATCCAAAAAAAATAATCAAGGTCAGCTCTTTTTAACTTATGTTTTTAATAAGATAGATTATGAGTACTGTTTACTGTGACTCCATTAATAGTCTAATAGTTTGTCCAATATTTGAAAAACAAAAATAAAATATCAATGTAGTTACCTATAATTTTTTTAATTTAATATTAACATAATATTGACAAAACTATCAACATAAAAATTCTATCAGTAAAACGTTGCAAAGATTTGATGTAACTTCGTTTCCATACGTAAATGTTATTGAAAAATATTATTTTACCCAATAATAAACGAAGAAACCTTTGAGCTATTAAAAGTTGTGTTCCATTTTATCAGAAAATCTTCTTGATTGGTAGTTGAAACATCGACATCAACTAAAGGAAGTAACTCTTCTGCATTCTGACAGTTACATGATCGATTTACACAGGTGGGTATTGTAATATTGATCTAAAAAAAAAGTTTATGTTATTTTTATAACTTTCATTCTTTTTTTTAAAAACACTTTAAGTTATAAATCAACCTTGACAGTGTGAAAATTGGCATTGATTCGTGGATTAGCAAAAACTTGAACACTGTAGGAACAACCGGGTCGTATAGTCAACTCTGACAAAAACTGATCTTCCGGGAGAATGAAATTGTATTGGGTTTCATTCCAAATAGTAAAAAATAAACTTTCTTCAGGACATGTTTCATCTTCGATATTTTCAGTTAAAGAATTTATTGACAGACTGAAATGAAAATAATTTTTGACATAAAATAAAGGCATTTTACATAAAAGATTGAAATGAATTTTTAATTTACCTATACGACGTTGGAATCCAGGTCTCTGGAGGTAACCAAGAGATATTTAATTTCAATTGAAAATCACCCACATTCTCTACGTGTTCAGAATCTTCAAAAACTTCTACTTTTAAATCGCGAGGCGCATCGTTTATACTTTTTAATACCAATGAATTAATAATTCGAGCATTAGCAAGAATAATGCACTGCATAACCAACACACGTGGAAAAATAATTAACCACTTCAATAACATTTCATTCTAACAAAACTGTAAACACAGCTGACTGCTACAAGATTATTCAAATACTTAAACGTATTTACGAACAATTATTTTTACAAACAATAGTTATTATTCTTGATATTTCATCTTTTTTTCTTATCACAGGTATAGCACAATAATTGTATTGGTAATAGTTTGTTTAATCATTCACAAAAAACTTATATTATTTCACATTTAATTATATAGCATTACTTCTTCAGTGTAATCATAATGTCAACTGTTGAATGATAGACTCAACATTGTAGACTGTTTTCTCTTATCTTTTACGATTTGTAAATTCCTTGGAAGTACTTTTGTGTAAAAGATAAACCGATAAAGCATTTTTTTTATTTTCCTCCTATAAGAAGATATCAAGGAGATAAAAAGATTAGTTTATGTTATTCTGTCAAATAGTTATTAATTATTGTATCCATAGCATTCTATAGAAAGTAGAAAATTTATAAATATAACATGGCCTAATTACTGACTATATGATAATAATATCTGCCTATTTTTAAGGTGTGTGTCGATGATAAGTTTAATTAACTCTGATGAAATGTGATCATTAGTAGTAAAATACCTTTTCGGACATTTATAAATACACAACAAAAAAAAAATGTCTACTAACACGGCCGGTAATTTCACGACTGATATGTGTCAATGATAATTTTTTTATTTCGACAACTAGATGGCACTACTGAACATTTCCTATCGGCGGCATTTGCGCATCATTTTTGCGCATTTGGGTTATGGTGGCATTCAGTACAGAGTATTTTTATCTCGTAAATACGCGTACCGCCAAAACGTACGATAGATTTATTTATTTAATAAAAAAAATGTAAATACGATAATAAAAATGGATAATTCATACTGCCTAATGTGGTGTATAAATTATTGTGAAAATTAAATTTTAGAGTAAACCAATAAGCTAAGTTATTGAGTTTATAACCTACAAGTGTTCAATCGTTTTAATATTTTTTTACGAAATAAAAGTTCAAATTAAATAATCATGGGTTCATCAGACGAAGAAAATGAGATGGATAATAGAGGTATTAATATTACTGGATTTTTATTCGGGAATATTGATGAAAACGGTCAGTTGGAAGATGACATTCTTGATGACGATGCTAAACAACATTTAGGATCACTTGGTCGTCTTGGATTAAGTTCTATTCTTGATGAATTAATGTCAAATGATGTAAAAGAAGAAAAAACTAATATAAATAATGGTGAAAATCATGACACAGGACCAATTACTAATGGAGATGATTATAGCCATCATCAAAATGATGATGACACTGACTATGATGCTAAATCACCTGGAGCATTAGATTTTTCAGATATCAATGAATTAGCAGATGATGTAAGTGAAGGAAATACCGTGGCTGCAGTTAAACCAAAAACTGAAAAAGAAAACACTGATTATGATGCAGATGATGAAGAAAACATTAATAAAACTGATAAACAATTAATGCCACCACCCCCAGTACCTGAAGAAAAAGAAAATCTCACACCAGAAGAAATTGAAGCAGTTCGACAGCGCAAATTAGAAACTCCTTTAGCTTCAATGTTACCTTCAAAATATGCAAATATTGATGTAACTGAATTATTCCCTGATTTTCGTCCTAATAAAGTACTTCGATTTTCTAGATTATTTGGGCCTGGTAAACCAAGTAGTTTACCACAAATATGGCGAGGAGTAAGAAAACGACGAAAGAAAAAGAAGCATGACATCAAAGATTCTGATTCAGGTTCAGATCAAGACGAAAAGAAATCTAAATTCAAAGGCTGGGTAATGAATTATGCACCTGATCCAAAACCTGAAGAATGTGCTTCGGATGATGAAACAAAATTATTGAGGCCTGTTGAAGATAAAGAACAAGCTGGTAAACCTGGGGTGAACGGTGAAAATGGAGATTTAGGTCCTAAAGTAGCAGATTGGCGTTTTGGGCCCGCACAAATTTGGTATGACATGTTAAAAGTACCTGAAACTGGAGATGGTTTTAATTATGGTTTCAAATTAGTTGAGAAAAAAGATTCTTGTGATAATGAAAACGAAAAAAAATCATGTGAAAATGACGAGGACTTACAAGAGGATGCATTTTTGATGGTATCTCAGTTACATTGGGAAGACGATGTAATATGGAATGGTGATGAAATTAAACATAAAATGAAATCAACAAGTAAAGCTAATGCGGCAGGTTGGGTACCATCAAGTGTAAACAGAACAGCGCAGGCATTTAGTCAGCCTGGTAAAAGTGCTCAAGCACCAGTAGCTTTTAATGTAAAACTGTCAACATCACAAATCGTGACACCACTTCATATGCAAACACCCAAGAATAAATTACCACAAGGAAAAGGAGTTCAACAACAACGAGAAGATAATTACGACGATACCTGGTACTCAATATTTCCTGTAGAAAATGAAGAACTTGTTTATGGAATGTGGGAAGAAGAGGTGATATGGGATGCTGAAAATATGAAGAAAATTCCTAAACCAAAGATATTAACATTAGATCCTAATGACGAAAATATTGTTCTTGGAATTCCTGATGATATTGATCCTGCCTTACTTCATAAAGAAAATGGACCACAACCTAAAGTCAAGATCCCCCATCCTCACGTCAAGAAAAGCAAGCTTTTACTAGGTAAAGCTGGAGTTATTAATGTTCTAGAAGAAGATACTCCACCTCCACCACCTAAATCTCCTGATCGTGATCCCTTCAATATATCCAATGATACGTATTACATGCCAAGATCTTCGGAAACAACATTACGACTTAAAGTTGGTGGTGGAAATTTAATCCAACATAGTACACCTGTCGTAGAACTTCGAGTACCTTTTGTTCAAACACACATGGGTCCAATGAAGTTAAGAAACTTCCATAGGCCAGCGATAAAACGATTTAGCCATGGTCCTCTTGCTCATCCTGGCCCACATACTGTTTTGCCGTTACTAAAACACATTAAAAAGAAGGCAAAACAGCGAGAACAAGAAAGAATTGCTTCTGGAGGAGGAGATGTATTTTTCATGAGAACTCCAGAAGATTTAACTGGAAAAGACGGTGAGCTAGTACTTGTTGAGTTCTCAGAAGAGCATCCACCATTGATGAATCAAGTTGGTATGTGTTCTAAGGTCAAAAATTATTACAAAAGAAAAGCTGGTAAAGATGCAGGACCACCTAAATATAAATATGGAGAAACTGCTTATGCTCATACAAGTCCATTCCTTGGTATTTTAACGCCTGGTCAGAGCATTCAAGCAGTGGAAAATAACATGTATCGAGCTCCAATTTATGAGCATAAAATTCCATCAACAGATTTTCTGGTAATTAGAACTCGTCAACAATATTACATCAGAGAAATTGATGCAATTTTTGTTGCTGGTCAAGAATGTCCTCTTTATGAAGTACCTGGACCCAATTCTAAACGTGCAAATAATTTTGTTCGTGACTTTCTTCAAGTTTTTATTTACCGTCTTTTTTGGAAATCACCTGACACTCCAAGAAGAATTAGAATGGATGATATCAAGAAAGCTTTTCCATCACATAGTGAAAGCAGTATAAGAAAACGTTTAAAACTTTGTGCTGACTTTAAAAGAACAGGCATGGATTCTAATTGGTGGGTGATAAAACCAGATTTTCGATTGCCAACAGAAGAAGAAATCAGAGCTATGGTATCTCCAGAACAATGTTGTGCTTACTTCAGTATGATTGCTGCTGAGCAAAGACTGAAAGATGCTGGATATGGAGAGAAATTTCTTTTTACACCTCAGGATGATGATGATGAAGAAATGCAGCTAAAAATGGATGATGAAGTTAAAGTAGCACCTTGGAATACTACCAGAGCGTATATTCAAGCAATGAAAGGTAAATGTCTGTTACAACTAGCGGGTCCAGCTGATCCTACAGGCTGTGGAGAAGGATTTTCGTATGTCAGAGTTCCCAATAAGCCTACTATTAGCAAAGAAGAACAAGAAGCTCAACCAAAACGAACAGTCACTGGAACTGATGCTGATTTAAGAAGATTATCGTTGAATAATGCTAAGGCTTTGCTTCGTAAATTTGGAGTTCCCGAAGAAGAGATAAAAAAACTATCACGTTGGGAAGTGATTGATGTAGTACGAACTCTTTCAACAGAAAAGGCCAAAGCTGGTGAAGAAGGTATGACTAAATTTTCGAGAGGTAATCGATTTTCTATTGCTGAACATCAAGAACGATATAAAGAGGAATGTCAGAGAATATTTGATCTTCAAAATCGTGTGCTATCTTCTGCTGAAGTTTTAAGTACAGATGAAGGCGAAAGTTCTGATGAAGACAGCTCGGATATTGAAGAGATGGGTAAAAATATTGAAAACATGTTGTCGAATAAAAAAACCAGTTCGCAATTGTCATTGGAGAGAGAAGAGCAGCAACGTCAAGAATTGAGAAAAATGTTAATGGGAGAATCACAGGATCAAGATAATAAAAAACCAAAAGAAAAGAAAAAAGATGATGAAGAAGATAGTCGTGATCAAAGTCAAGGTTTCAATTCACAGCAGGGACGTGTTTTAAAGATTTATAGAACGTTCCGTAATCCTGAAGGCAAAGAATTCACAAGAGTTGAAATTGTACGTAAACCGGCTGTTATTGACACTTATATTAAAATCAGAAACTCTAAGGATGAGTCATTCATCAAACAATTTGCAACTTTGGATGAAGCCCAGAAAGAAGAAATGAAACGAGAGAAGAGAAGAATTCAAGAGCAGTTGAGAAGAATTAAAAGGAATCAAGAGCGCGAGAGAATGCTTGGTGGTGGCTCTTCTGCCAATAATTTCTCTTCGTCTAATATGCTTGATAGGAGCAACACCAATACTCCTACTACCACCTCATCCAGTATCCTTCCATTTAATAATTTCCCATCCACTTCTTTAGCTTCTAAACATTCTAAATCCGAACCTTCTCCATCTAAACGTAAAAAACCTAAACTTAAACCAGATCTTAAACTCAAGTGTGGTGCTTGTGGTAATGTAGGGCATATGAGAACTAATAAAGCTTGTCCATTATATCAGAATAGCATGGCTACTACTGCGCCAGTTAATGTGGCCATGACTGAGGAGCAAGAAGAAGAAATTGAAAAACAACTCAACACTGACGATCAAGATCTTGTTAATGTTGATGGCACTAAGGTGAAACTTTCATCTAAGCTCATTAAGGTAAGTCAATGTTTGTCATTAATTTTAAATGCTTTTTTTCTGCTAACATGAATATACTTGTTTCTTGTTTTAAAATTTAATGAATAATTTGATTATTCATTTTTAATTAAATTCTCAAAAAGTGGAAATCAATCTTCATGTTTTTTTTTACAACAAAATTTTATTCACAATTTTATGATTTTCATTTAATAAACATGATAGTTTAGCCACGAGTAATTTTATATCTGTAATATAATGAATAAAAAACATACTTAAAATTCATTCTAGCATGCCGAAGAAATGAAAAGACGTACATTGTTACTCAAAGTGCCTAAGGATGCAGTAAATTCAAAGAAACGACGTAGAGCTACTGGAGATGATCACTGTGATTATCTCAAAAGACATCAAAAGCCTGTTAACAGAAGACGTACTGATCCTGTCGTTGTAATGTCAACTATCTTAGAGAGTATACTTAACGAAATGAGAGATCTTCCAGATGTTCAACCATTTTTGTTCCCTGTTAATGCAAAGGTATATTAAGATTTTTTTAATTATATAAAAGAAGTTGATTTTATATCTCATTTATCACAAATTTCTCTAAATGTTTAGTAAACCAAAGTTTAAACTAGTAGTATAGAAACTAAAAGTTGAAATAAACTTTTAATATTTTTTATTAGGTTGTCCCGGATTACTATAAAATAATAACTCGTCCAATGGATTTACAAACAATTCGTGAGAACTTAAGGCAGAAAAAATATCAGAATAGAGAAGAATTTCTCTCGGACGTAAATCAAATCGTTGAGAATTCAACTTTATACAATGGATCTAAAAGTTCATTAACTGTCGCTGCGAAACGAATGTTAGAAACTTGTGTCGAAAGACTTGGCGAGAAAGAGGACAGACTGATGAGGCTTGAAAAAGCAATTAATCCACTTCTTGATGACAACGATCAAGTTGCACTTACATTTATTCTTGATAATGTTGTTAATAACAAACTTAAATCTATGGTTGAAGCTTGGCTATTCCTTAAACCCGTTGATAAGAAAAAATTCAAAGATTACTATAACATCATTAAGAGACCTATGGACTTGGAAACAATTGCGAAGAAAGTTGCAGCGCATAAGTATCACAGTCGTTATGAATTTCTCCATGATGTTGAGCAAATATTGGAAAATTGTGCTCTGTATAATTCTAAAGAATCGTCGTTTACAAAGAAGGCAGAAACTCTTGTAAGAGTTTGTAAAGAAACATTAGACGAATACAGTGATCATTTAACACAACTTGAAAATAATATTTCTTTGGTTCAACAAAGAGCCATGGATCAAGCTGACATGGATTCATCTTGGCTTGGACCTGATGAAGAAAACTACACGATTGCTGAACCAGAGTTTAGAAGAAGTGAAACAAACTCTCCTGATAATAACTTTAGAAAGTCTAATATGGAAGATTTTGATTTCGTTGATGTCGAAGGTGATGTTGAAGCAGAAGGAAGTGCAAAAAGTACAAAGAAAAAAGACGTTCTTGAGGAGGACTTACAATTTTCTAGTGAAGATGAGTTTGATGAAGTTCCATTTGCATCAGAAGATCAACGGGAAACGGGAGATTTGGATGCTTTAGAGTTAGGAGAAATGAGAGATTGTGAAGAGGTTCCAGCTGATGATGACAGTCAACAAGCGGCTGAAGCAATGGTTCAACTAGGAAATGTTGGTTTCTATGTAGGGGATCAACAACTTATTCAACAAGGTAACTTAAAAAATTATTTAATCAATAACATTGATTTTATTGTGTTTAATTGATAATAATAAATGTTGAAAAATATATTTAAATAACTGAAGATATTAATAAAAGTTAAAAAAAATTATATTTTTGCAGAAGAAAGCATGGATGTGGATCCTAACTATGACCCATCCGATTTCCTTTTGGCTGGTTTACCACCAAGAGCAGAAAAAGTTGAAACTGATAAAATACATGATGATTTGGCTGTGTCTGAAAGTGATGAAGAAATAGAAACTGTAGAGGAGCCAATAAAGCAAGAAAATCAACCTCAAAGTCAACCTGATGAAGATGGTGATCTCTGGTTTTAATCAATTGTAAGATATTTGTAAAATAAATTATTATAAATAACATTGTTAAGTATACATTTTTCACGTTAAAAAAACAAACAAATGTTAAATTCTTTATAGATTGTAGATTTATATTATGGTGAAAATTTATTCACTCTAACATTGACTAATTTTTAGATTGTAAAATTACGTGAATGAATAAATTCACATTTATTATTTAATTATATTATATTTTTTATAAATTTCAGATAATTCTTTTAATAGTTTTTTTTTCTTCACTATTATTATTATTTGTATTTTTGTCAATTGAGCGAAAGCATTTCCATAAGCCAAAACGTACTTCCCAGTTAATAAAGAATAATTCAGGTTTATTCCAACGTATATAATGAACAGCAAAAATATAATGAGTTTTCAGTGGAGGATTTAATTGAGGTGCCCATTGTGCTCTTTTCATCATTATTTTGTTGACATAAGCATAAAAAATTTTAGCATCATGAATCCAACATATTAAACTCAAAACTGCCATAACAGTCGCATGAATATGATAAGAAACTTCGCGGTTTATGGCTAAATTCTCGAGAGCTAATTTTTGAATATTCATTACCAAACAAACTACAGCTGCAGCAGTAAAACCAAATGGTATTTCTACTACCAGCAAACAAATTGTGCAATATGTAGACTCAAGATTGAGTTTTTTTGATGAATGTTTCATAACACTTTCAACTAAAGTATCATGAATAAGTTCTCTATGTTGTCTTAGAAACTCCACGTCTCTTTGATAATGATTTTTGTTACATTTAACATTATATTTCACATCTTGAAAAAATATTTCTGGTGATTCAAAGTATGTTTTATTTTTATTTCTATCAATCAAGTGTTGAAATATTCGATTTCCTAAAAGATTAATTAATGGATCAGATGAATAAATCATCTGCATAAAAATGTGTAGCACGTCTTTTGTAAAAGTTTCTTCCAATAAGTTCGTTTCATAATGATACGCTGCATGTTCTACGATCTTTCCTAGTTCCCATATGTATTTCTCAGATACATTTGTTTCAAGAATCCATGAACATATTTTAGAAATAATTGAAAGTAGTGAATCATTACTTAATTTACCAATTATTATGCGCAATAAAACTTCTAAAGAGTCTTTTAAATTTTTGTTTCTCGATTTTTTCACTGTATTTATTCCACTATGGTACATAATTAAAAGCTTATTGATGACTGATAATATTTTTTTTTCATCAAACCAAAAAAATTCTTGAAAAATGTTGATTAAAATGTTGATAATGGCTTTGGCATTGTCATCATTAACTTTTTTAGTTTCAGAAAATTTTATTAAATAATGTAAAATGCTTTCTTCATTTCTATTTAATTGTAAAAAGCCTACTATCACATCATAACAACACTTTTGTGATTGCCATAAATTTTCTTGATTTATCGTTTTAATAATAATTTTAATTCTTTGTGGAGACTTTTCTATCGTATATATAGACAATAAATCATAGTAACAATTTTTTATTAATTCATAACTTTTGGTGGATTTAAGTTTTGAACTCGATTTATATATTTCTTCGTCACACATGGAAAGAATTTTTATTGAACAGGGGAGAATTTGACGTGGTCCAAGGCACTTCAATTGTATTTCTTCGGAATTGTAAGTTATATCAAGTAGAAGGTTAAGTAACTTTGGCAATTTGTCAGCCATTGAATTTTTTTGACGTTCAGAAACTTTTAAAAAACATAAATTATACAATTCTTGTATTTTTTCATTAACTTTGTTTATTGTTAAAGGTCTTCTATTTTTTTTAGATAATATAAATGTAAGCATAATTTAATGTTTATAGATATTATTTTTAAATAAATTTGTTTTTGGTTTAAAAGAATTTTATCCAGATCACTAGTTCTCAATGTAAAACTTCATTTTCAATATTGCAAGTAAAGAAATAAAGACAAAAAATTAAATTATAATTCAATCAATTTATCAGTTTATTTATTGCAAATAATTATATTTCCAATTTAAATTTTAAAAGATACTATAAACGCCATCTTTCCATAAAAAATGATAACTGTGTAAAATGTTCTCTGCTTTATTGATATTAATAAATTAACATTTTCTTTTTATTATTTGATAAATGATTTATAAATACAATATAACAAAGATCTTATTTGTTTTTAGTGTCTGTTATTTCGAAAAAAATATAAAAATTAAGAATAATTAATAATTACAAAATTAGTTTAGTGACGTGCATAATAAAATAATTAAAGAAAAGTTGTCAAAGAACTTTCTTATTCACTGAATAATACTTCTTATATTCTTTGACTTATGATTTTTATTTATTCTCTTTATTCTGTATATGTACATATTTTTATTTTTATAAATAATAAATCAATAAAATTACATACACATCTTTGTTCTTTACAATCAAACACAACTGGTACTTAACACTAAGCGCCAACTATCATCAAGAATTTGAACTTTACAAGCAGATAACAATCCCTCTTTGTGTGAAGAATTTTTTGGGATAAAACGTTCAACGTCCGTCATTTTACACTCGGAGTTGGTTCGATTTTTATTATCTTTAGAATTTTCTTCAATTTTTCAAGTATTTTTAAATTTGTTCTTTATAATAATTTAATATAATACTATTTTATTATTGTTTTGTCAAAAATAGATTATAGAATTCTCATAGGTTAATGAAACACCTTTAGAATGTGTACGTCATGAATACATATGTACGTCAATATGGCGCCTAGTGATTAGAATTAAGATGCTATCAGGCTACAGTATTTACTTTTGATAATTTGGTAAGATTTTAACAAAATTTATCATTAATTATTTTTTTACAAAAATGCATTATATTCTAATTAACATAGACAATTAACTATGCAGAATGTTTGGTGCTAATATAATTCAAAAAATATTCCAATTAACCTTGGCTTAGTCATGAGTCAATTCTTCTGAATATAATAATAAATACTATCAAATGACCATGCATCGTAATGTAACACTCCAGATTATTTTTACTGATATTTTCTTGGAAATTTTTGATGATTCATAGCTGGTGAATTATCTGCTTAGAGTTTCGTTTCATATTCAACATGCAAAGATTTGCATTTTATTTAAACACATGTGATCAACTCATTCATGTATGAATGAGTTGAATATAATTGTTTTGTAACTTTTAAGGTGTCTATACTATGGATATTAAAGAAGAAGGCGAAATTTCATTAGATGATGTCAGTTCGTCGGAGGAAACAAATCATAATAATTGGCTAAAAAAAGAAAAAAAACTAGATATGGAAAGAAAATACGATAAACGAGGTACGTTTTAATTATAATGAAATATTTCTATGATAGCTGTTGCATAACAATAGAAAAATTCTTTTTATTTCAACTTTTTTTTAATACTGTATAAATTCGTCTTTTTTATACAAATTCTTAGTTACTTTTTTTTTCTTCTATTGTATTGCTAATCCAGTAGAAGTTGATATTCTTCCTCAAGATGCAGTCTACGGCAAAGAAAATCGTCAATATTCCAATGAATTACATGTATATGATACGAAGACAAAACCACCAGTTCTAAACGATCTATCTAAAGATGGTCTATTGCCAATATCTAGTGAGGAGGACAATGGTGTTGAGATAGTAGGTAGGCCAGATACTTCTGAACGAGCGATGGTTATCGTTGGGCCTAAAAGAAAAAGAAAGAAAAAGAAAAAAAAGAAAACTGGACAAAGATTATTGGTTTTGGATGATCTTGAGTCTGCCATCGAACCTCCATCCTTACCAACTCGTATCACTGGAGACGATATCCTTACACCACCAAGTCATTATGAGTCAAGTGAACTACATAGAAAATATTCTCCACCATCTGCTAAACTCTACCGATCTCCAGTTAATCATTTCAAAACAACCTCTCATCATCCTCGTGCACCATCACCTCGTCGAAGATCACCACGAAGATTATCACCAGAAAGATCAACAGTAATATCAGATAGATATTCGCAACATAAATCGTCTAGAGAACATTCATCTCGTCGTGATGTAACTCAATTGTTATTGAAAAAAGTACGACAATTTGATAATAGATATAAAGATACTTCGGCAAAAGATCAATTATTATCTAACAAAATGCACATACTTAAATCAGATTCTAACAGTTATCTAAAAGAAAATGGAGATTTGAAAAATTATAAAGCAGCAAACTATGATGTAGAAGAAGAAGAAGACGTTGAAAAATTACGACGTGCAGCTTTAGAAACAAAACTGCAAAAAAGTGAAAGAAAAGATATAGAAATAATTAAAGATTCAAAAACAGAATCTGAAGATAATTCAAGTCTAAATTATAATGCAGGCGATCAAGATGTAGAAGATTTAAAATTACGAATGATTGCATTGCAATCGGCTTTTCAAAAGAAGCATCGTGATAGAGTTCAGCGGGGTGTTGTTGGTAAAAACAAAAATGTTAATAGAAGAGATAAAAGTCCTTCTAGTGACAGTTTTCTTGATGATCTATTCAACGATTTTAAAGAGCTTAGTAAAGAATCACCAACTGCAGAAAGCGTGGATGTGGAAGACATGGATTTAGACTCAGATGTAGAAAGGGAGAAAGAAAATCAACCGTATTCTCCTACTGATGGCTTATCAGACGATAAGTATTCAGAACCAGAAACTGTTGAACCATCAAATAGAGTACCTCCTAATTCTTATTCTACTATTCCACGTGCAGAATACAATGCTCCAGTTCCAACATATAATCAAGCATTTTATCCGCAACCAAATCAAATGGCACATCCTGAATCTCCTTATCTACCTTTAGATTCAATACAACCACCAACTATTGATAGATACTTAGGAGCAGATCAATTTAATTACAATGCTTCATACATAAGACCTATGCCACCGAGAATAGGAGCTGTTCCTACAAGTTCTCGTGCCGAAACACCATATTCTCCTACAGACACCCCAGCTTTTGATCCAGAACTGCCAGTCTGTCCATCAGAACTTTCTTTTGTTGATAATGTTACCAATACTACTAGTGTTTCATATCCCAAGAATACTTATTTGAATAATCCCATGTTACAACCACACAACAATGGTCCTAACTATATCCCACTCCCAACAGAGCTCAATAAACAAGCTGCACCGTCCACGACAGCGCATTTGGCTCGTGATCCTCGTCGAGCTGCTGCTTTATCTCGAGGAGTGATACCAATTTCTACTCAACCTCAGAAAATTACTCCTTTAGAACAATCGTCGGTGAAACTTGTAGAAAAACCTAAAGAAGTGGCCAGTGCTGATCCTAGAATATATGGAATTATTGCAGCTAGTAAACATAAAAATGATGATCGTTTTGAAGAAATTATGAAGAGCTTAGAAGAGTATACGTTGGAGCCTGCATATTTACAGGGCGTTCCTCAAATAACCAAAGATGCTAATAAGATTCCTACCTTAGTAAATAGAACTTTAGTACCTGCACCTATTCTGAGGACAAATAAACAGCTCCAGCAGAAATTACCTGCCAAAAAACCAGATGACACTGTTGAAAAAACATTCAAAAATGCTGAAATGCAACCTGTTGAAATTGTAAATCAATCCAAAAGTAGTTCGACATTTAAACCTATTAAATTACCATCGAAAACACGGAAAATTCAACTTATTGATCTGCCTGTAAAAGGTTTCAATCCTATCAATGAGTCGAGTACTTCTACTGATAACGGTTTAGAAAATACTAGTACTGTTGATTTGAGTAAGAATACTGAAACATTGACAACAGAAGCTGAAGTGAAGAAAAGAGGAAGACGGCCTAAAACACCTACAATTCGAAAAACTAATGCGAAAAAATCTCCTGTCAAAGATAGTAGCAAAGCTTCAAATAAAATTATAGGAAAAAAATCTCAAGAAAATAATAAAGAAGTTGAAAATCCATTAGAAGAAAGGGAAAAAGTTGATGACGGTGATGCTAAAAGACCACGAGGAAGACCAAGATCAAGAAGTGTTCATAGAGCTGAAAAAAATGAGGAAGAAAATAAAAGAAGAGATAGTTTACACAGGACAGTAAAAGGAAAAACTTCCAAGGTTTCGGAAACAAGTTCAAAAGAAAATGATAACAAACGAAGATCTAGTGTTGATGAAGATGAAGAAGCTCTACGTGCATCAGTCATTGCATCAATGTACACATCGGGACTGAAGAAAACGCGAGATGAGTCATCTGATAAAACAAAAATTGATAGCACTAGAGATAAATCCTTAATTACAAGTAGTACCGTGAATGAAAAATCTATTTCTACTTTAAAAAATAACTCTATGATTATAAATAATGTAAATAGTAAAGTTCCAAATACAAAAAGTACAATTGGCAATGTAGCTTCTAATACACTAGTAAATGCTAGAAAACGACCAGGAACGACAGATGTATTTGGTCCACCTGAAAAAGTCTTGAAGAAGACTACAATAACTTCCAAAAACCCTCTTGATAATTTAACTAAAAATTTGGGAGCGCCAGCAAGTCCAAAGATGTCAAAGAATGTATCAAGAGTCGTAATTAATTTAGGAGAAGATTCTGATAGTGATTCCGATTTCACTGATTATTCTTCATTATTACCTTCGAAGAGATCGAATGTTGCTGCTCCATTGACTGATTTCGATAAAAAACTCGATGAATTCTTGAAATCTCAAAGAGAAAAATTAGAAATTAATAGTAAAGTTCTCTCTACATCTACAGGAAATAAAACAGCGGCTTCAATAGCACAAAAGACATCAGCTCTTAGTTCCACACCGCTGGTAAGATTATTAATAAAGACTTTATATTTTTTTTTAAACTTGATTGTATTTAGAATTATTAAATAAATCATTTTTTGTTATTAATTTTCAGGCAGTACGTCATTTACCAGTTTCGAAACAAGAAGAGTATAGAAGATTAAAACAACAATTGGCTGAGAAAGAAAAACAGAAATTGATAAGAGCTTCTAAAAAGAGTTCACAAAAATCGACAAAAGCGATATCAACATCAACAGAAGAAAGTGTACAAGTTACTGCGACCAATTCGCAAGTCAAAAAGACGACAAGAAGTTCGAAACCAGCGGCAGATTCTTCCATTTCTACATTACCTCCATCAAATGATCAAGGAGTTTTTACAAACATTCCACAACCACCAAAAATATCATCATCACTTACTCCAGCTTCCGAAAATCTTCAACCAATTACTAATATTTATCCAAATAATTTGATGGATACGTCACTCGATGAAGAGCAACAATTATTACTACCTCTAGACTTTTCAATCAAACCTGATCCTGATGATTTCCTTACTATTACTGATGAGCCAAAAGTTGATCCTTTGATTATTGAAAGTGTTTCTCAGAATGGTTATAATGAAATAAACTATGATATGGCATTAGAGAATTTGGGCCTGAGAGAAAATCTTATCATTCAAATTTCAAATATTCAAGATGATAATATAAAAAGTCAACGGAAAGTTTTATTCGCTAAGGATCTTGCTGCAACCGAAGAACCAACACCTTCAGCTGAAGAAACAACTCCTAATACTCCAGCTGCTCCAGTATTAAAGATTTTGACTACAGCTCAACTTAATATGAGAGTTGGACAAGAACCACTATCAACTAATCAAGAAGAAATGGAAGAAAAAGTCAGGCTTGATGAAAATGGACAAGTCATTACACAGGATACCCAACCTTCAAATGAAAATAATAATTCCACTAATGAATTAGCTAGTCAAGTTCCTCCAGTAGTTCCTAAATCAGAACCCGTGTCTGATTCTTCTGAGCAGCATATGTCAATACCAAGTATTCAAGTTACACCAGTTACAGAATCAAGTACAACAATTCCAACAGTATCTGTTCAAGCAAATGTTAATTCAGAAGAATCAGCACCTTTACTTCCTCCTAAAGAAGAACCAGAGGTTGAACCTCCTATTCAAACGCCAACAGTAATCCCAATAACCCCAATGAATATTATTAAATCTGAGGTTGAAGAAGACCTTAAAACTTATAGTAAGCTTCCGCTAGAAGAACAGAAGACGGAATTATTGAAGATTGAGAATGATTTAGTTAAGAAAAGGTAAGTAAATTATCTTAATTATTTATTACGTTATATTATACTTTTTTTATTTATAGGTATACAATACTGTCAGACGTATCAGAAATGATGGAAAGTTTGCAACAATGGGAGATTGAAAGAAATGCTAAAATAAAATTAGCAAGAGATGTAGCAAGGCTAAGATTAGAGTTGAAGCGGGCTGAAGAACGTTTAGAAGAACAGAAACTTAAAGTCAATAACATGGAACCAAAAATTAAGAAAGCTCATAGTGTAATTAATGTTGGTAGATCTGAATGTGTAAAATTGAATAAACTTTGCGAGGGTCTTGGTGCTAATATTTCCGGACATGAATACAAGTAATGTATTCAATATTTTTTATAATTATATTTTTAAAAATTATTATCTTATTACTAATTTATTTATTTCATTTAGATCCCCAATTCTTGGAGCCGATGCGTTATATAATAAATTAAAAGACATCTCAAATTATACACAGCAATTATTCAACAAAAAAGAAACATTGAATAATCAAAAGGATGACATAGGATTGAAACCACCAACCGCTCATAAAAATCCTACTGAATCTAATGGTGTTGAAAAATCTCATTCTAGTAAACAACAATCAGCTCCTCTGAATTTAAGTGTCCAACCAACTCCTGAAGTCAATGAAAATTTGCCAACTGTTAAAACTGAAGAACCTGAAAATCAAGATTTAAATTCTGCCACCATTACTACTCCTACATCAGACGCTAATTGTATACCAGTTGTTAGTTCTGAATCAACCATTAATGTTTCATCAATTACTAATTCTACATCCAACAATAATCCAACGCCATCAGTTCAACCTAACTTGAGTGTCAATATCAGCCACAACCAAGAAACATCAGATGAATTTTCTTTATCTAAAGTAAAAACAGAACCTATTGATACCAGTGAAACAGAAGGTCTTGAGCATACTCCTATGGAAGTAGATACTGAAAGTGAAACGACGAAAGATACTCAATCGATCCAAGTAACTGAACCAATTGCTCAAATAAAAATAGAAAGAATGGATGATGAAGAAATTAATGAAAGTATTTCAATCTGTAATAATACAGTACTGAAAACAGAAAAAGATGACACTCAGCCTGAGGAGAGTTGTGGAAATATATCAAGTAATATGTCAATTCGGGTACTACCTAGTGAGTTTTTAATTGGCCAAAGAAGAGAAGAAGAGAAAACAAAAGAAGGAAATACAGATGCTACTGATAAAAAACAAACTAATTCTACCGGTGTAAGTGATAGAGCAGTTGAGTTAAGTTTCACTGTGGATCCAGGTGTCTGTAAAAAAGGAACATCCGAAATTGAAAAGAGATTAGATGATAAAATTCAAAATACTGAAGGGAAATCTGTATCAGATACTTTTCCAATTAATAGATTAGATAATGAACAAATTCAAAATACTGAAATAAAAACTGAAACAGATCCTTCATCAAGTATTGACTTAACGGGAAGTAATGTAAATATTGTTGGACAAGCTTCAGAAAGAAGTATAAAGGCTGTAGTTACTAATGTTCAAGAAACTTGGGCTGACTTTGAGGAAGAGAAACCACTTGTGACTGAAGTGTCTTATGAATCAGTATTAACTGCCTTCAATACCACAAGGTAAATCTATAATCAATCTTTTATTCATTTGTTAATAATTCTATTAATTCATTAGTTATATCTAATTTAATCATCTGTTTATATTTGTACTTTTAATATTTACAAACAACATAACAAATAATTTTAGTCCATAATTAATTAGTCTGAGGACATGTCTTGTGCTTTTCAATGCTTTTATACAGACCCGTGGATCCTAATGGAGTTCTATGTCCTTTTGAATTAATGGGAACATGCAAAGACGACTCATGTACATACAATCATCTCAATGCTGACCGCAAAATGTAGCGGCGAATGTTCCTGGTCTATGAGATTTGGACTCTTTCATACGTAAGATGGTTCTATAGTCTAACTATCAACAGGAATCATTGATTCCTTCTTTAACTTTATTAATTATTAGTTTTTCCATTAACTAATAAATTTTTATTATTTCAATTTTAATATCATAATGAGAATGATATTAAAATAGTGTTTTTTTAATGTATTTATTTTAGATTTAGTGGTTTGAACAATTGTTACTGAGATGTAAACTGAACAATTTTTCTGGAATGACTTAATGGTAATTTCAATTCAAGGAGAATGTTATCTTCATTTCTCCGGATGGTAAGTTGTCTTTTTAAAGAAAAAAAAAACAAAAACAAATATAAAATATAATTCATCACACGAAAAGATTACCATATTACTCAATTTTTTTCTTTAAGTTTAATACGCGTTATAAATTTTTTTTTATAATGCATATTTATATAAATATATCTATATTATGTGTTATAAAATATTACTATCATAATCATAATTTAATTAAAATGTCAAAAAAAAAAGTTAGAATAATTTTGGCGCGATTAATTAGTTTCAGAACGTGATGTTGAGAAATTATCGTTTTTATATAATACTTTTAATCTCCAACAAATATACCTCGTTAAATGACACGTCCTGTACCTGTGTATAATAAAAAGTTATTTTTTTTTAATTGTGTGTTATTCTTTTTGACATAAATTGTTTCTTGTCCACATAATCATCTCCGTAACAATGTCCTGGTAAATCTCCTTGAGATATTCCTTTATGCCAAGGAAATATTGAAGGTTTTCGAGTACGCCTGTAATCAAATTTTTCAATCCATTCATTGGGACATATAGCTTTATAAGTTTCTTTAAACCATTCACAAGGTTTGTTGTCTGCTCCTAAAATTTTCTGACAACGATAAAAATCTGTGTACATGACATAACATCGAAGGGTTTGATCCGTTTGTTGAAACCTTTTGACGGAAAAGTAAAGTAAGTAAAAATATAATATTTAGTTCAAGTATTCCATTGTACCGTGGGTCAACCCCAGGAGTATGTTTGAAATTCTTCCGCATTTCTGGAGGAAAATCTTCTGGTTTCAGTGGAGTTGGTTTTGGTACTGCACACTCTTTCGAAACACTAGTTGGCCAAAAAGGACGCCAATCATCACAAAAATATTTTTGAATAAAATTATCTTTTGATATTTCTATACCCATATTTATTTACAAACTATCTCCAACATGTAATTTTTTATTAGAAATTTTTTTTATCAGACGATTGAGTATCTAATTACCATAGAAATTTGAAAACAATTGAGTTAAATAATTAATTTGGTTTAATATTTTTTGTATAAAAAATTTTTATTTAATATTATTTTCTAGATATTGTAATAGATTTTAAGAAAAATATATATCTTTTAGTATTTTTATTCATAGATAACACATGTGGAATAATAAAAAAACAGTTGTTCATACAAATATATAACATCATTTATAAGTGAAAATAAGATATGTCTTGAAAAATAAAGTTAGAAGAAGATATTTAAACATGGCGTCATTAACGAATGTTTAGCAAGTGACGTGGAATGAATTTCGTTGATTTTTTATCATTTTCCACTAACATTTTATAGTTTTTATAACACTATAGATAGCAAAATGATTTCGCTTGAAAATATTGCTATTAGCGTCTTCATTTCTGTATTATTTATTATTATTACAGTAAGTTTTATTTTTTTTAAGGTTATCTATGTTATGTCAACAGTCTGAATATTTACAATTTCTCTAATATATCAATAATATTTTACAGTTTTGTACAGTTTTATATATGATCACCTCACCTTATCCTAAAATAGTTAGATATGAACAAGAGAAATCATATTTGAATCCAAAGACTAAAGAAAGAGAGGTTTTTCCTTCTATTGATGATAAACAAAGCTTGCATTTAAGTGTGATTATTCCTGCTTATAATGAAGAAGAACGACGTAAGATCATATTTATTTAACTTCAGTAATAATTATTTTAACGTAATTTACATATGTAATTGTTTAATATAATTATTATTTCTACAATATTATTTTAGTTCAGCCTATGCTTGATGAAAGTTTAGAATATTTGGAAAAACGAAAACGGTCAGGATTAACATATGAAATAATAGTCGTAAGTGATGGAAGTACAGATAAGACTGTAAAAGTAGCAGAAAGTTATGCTGAAAAATATGATAATATACGAGTACTTGAATTAATAAAAAACAGAGGAAAAGGAGGAGCTGTAAGACTTGTAAGTACAATCAAAGCATATTAATATATTTTCTTTTATATTTATTATTTCATACTTTTTAGGGGATGCAAAGTGCTCGAGGAAGTGTGCTTTTATTTGCGGATGCTGATGGAGCAACTAAGTTCAGTGATTTCGAAAAGTTGGAAGAAAGTTTGAAGAATGTTCTTGGATGTAAATATTTTTATTATTTCAAACTTTTTAAAATTTACTTGTTTATTAATTGAATATTTTTAGGTGATTATTTAACCAATCCTCAGCAAGTTGCTGATGCACATGCAGTTATTTGTGGCTCTCGAGCTCACTTAGAAAAAGAAGAAACTGCCAAAAGATCTATCTTCCGATTATTTCTTATGCATGGGTTCCACATTTTAGTATGGACTCTTTGTGTACGTGATATCCGTGATACTCAATGTGGTTTTAAGTTATTAACTCGTCAATCTGCAAGGGTGTTATTTCAAGCTCTTCATGTTGAACGTTGGGCATTTGATGTAGAAATGCTCTATTTAGCACAAACTTTGAACATTCCTATAACAGAGATTGCTGTAAACTGGACGGAGATTGAAGGCTCTAAAATTGTTCCATTTTGGAGTTGGTTGCAAATGGGACGCGATCTGGGATTAATTTGGCTGCGATATCGAATAGGTGCATGGAAAATTCGAAAACTCAAACAATCATAAGCTAAACATATAAGATTTTTTAGCATTTAAAAATATCTATATATTACTTAAATTAATTTTATTTATGAAATATAAATAAACAAAAATGAAAAAAAAATAATCTACAGTATTTATTATTTATTTTGATAATATGTTGCAATGAAAGTAAGTAGTACAAATATTTTACCATCAATAATTACCAAGGAATTCTAATTATAATCAACTGCTACTATTCATCTCTAGTTTAAAGTACACACATTACGTATAGCAGAAAACGTTTTACGTCAGCATTGGATTAAATTAAGATATCGACACAACCTTTCTGATGTAATAAATATGTGTTAAATATAAAATAGAAATTATTCAAGTATACACAAAGTTGCATTCAGATGTCAATAACCCTTTTACCTACAGTAATTTTTATAAGTCGTTATATAATTGCAATAGTTTGGTTGCATTTATTAAAGCATACAGAGGGTGTAAGTGTGCAAATATATATAGATAAATATGCGAAATTATCCTTTGTATCGTTACATATTTTTTTTTTAAATATTCCAACCCGTTATTTGTAATGGTATGAAAAATAAAAAAAATAGAACTAGAATATCAATAATGTTAAGTCATTAAAACGTATTCACATAAATCAATAGAATATTGACATTCTATACATTATTAAATACAATCAAAAGGTACATCAGAAAATTTATATGTATAAAATAATTTTATCAATATTATTTATATTTTATGTATAAAACAGAAAGAAATTAATTAAAGATTTTAGAAACAATTATATTATCTATTTGAAACTTTTGAAAGTATACTAAATCGAAAGAAGTATACTATTCAAAAATGTATAAAACAAAAAAAAATCTAAAAAAACATTGAATCAATTGAAATTGGCGGGCTGATGGTAGTACCGGAAGTAGTCTGGTTCGAGGCTGCGTTGCTTGGAGTCCGTGGATGTGAACCTTTGTTTTGTAGAGAAGAATGGCTGCCATCTTTAGTTTTCGATGGATGTTTTATGGAGAGATTGATCGTGATTTCTTGTATTTATCTCAATATAAAATAGCGTAGTTAAACGTTAAAAGGTGTTTAAATGTTAATTGCAATGTAGAGAATGATTTGGTAATTAAAGTAAAAGCTGCCTTGGTGCAAATCGGTTAAAAAAATGATTGTGTTTACATTCAAGTTTTCAATCAATCTCTGTATTCCTGTCACAGTAAGGTAAGAATTTATTTATTTTTTATTCATTAATTTATGTTAAGAAAGACAATGTTTAGGAGTATATTCAACTATTTATCAACTGTTAAATAATAATTATTCATATCATCTACAGACGCTTTTGTTGAGGTACAGGTCACCTACTCGTTCAGTAGACATTTGTTGCGTATCAGTGCTGTAATATCAAACATTTGTGAATGTTTAATACTTTTTTTTGTGTGAATGTAATCTAATTTAAGTGATTTATGATGCATTTCAATGTTTAATGTTCAATTAAGGTTAAGTATGATATTCAGTTGTACCTAACCAAGTAATCTAAAAACGCGGGTATTGTTTCAGAAAAATTTTGAAAATTTACCAAACGACTGTTAATTTGTGAATAACAATATTACGTTGTAGATAATAATTTGTGTATCAGTGCATTCAAAATTGTTACGTTTAATATTGAAGTTACTTGTACAAAGACGACATCATGATAGATTTTACTAAAGCATATTTCTTGATAGTTTCACATTAATTGTTCTTTCAATTATTTGAAGTATTAAATTACAAATGAATTGATGTATAAGTAAAATATGTCAATTTACATTGAATTAAAAAAAATATTATGAACGTTAATAGTGTATTATAAAGTTAAAAATGTTCTACAATCTTTTCATGATGCAAATACCTCACGCCAAGTAATACTATTTGTGATTGTTTAAATATTTAGTCATTGTTTTTATTAATTTTTCAACATTTGAGTTGACATATAGAGATAATTAAAAAAAAGTATTACGTTGATTGTGTATAGAAGTTGCAAGTTACGACACTATCGGTAGACTATGATAACTAAATATATTGACAAGTTAATTATATTATCTTTTTTTTTTTAATTGCAATTTTTTATGAACTTTTCATTATTATGATGCTATTATTTTTATTGTTTACAATTTTAACACTCTTTTTAACATATTCTTTTTTATTTTAATTATATGCATATAGATTCACAATACTTGTAGCGAATAAATCTCATTAAAATAAACTATCAGTAGTTGTTTCATGAAAAGTTCATGGTAATCAGGTTACAGTTTATGTGTTACAAGTTTTAACAATGTTTCCCTTGTTTTCGATATACATATAGTCTTTATTTTCCGTTGTTTGTATATTTTATTTATCATTGACTTATTATAGTGTCGCATAGATTATTTTATTTTACTGAGTTCAGCATTATGAACATCAGTTTAAATAAAAGAATAAACATTGAAATAATTATTACTAATTAAAACATTGTAAATTTGATTTTTAAATTATAATTTATTGAGCTTACTTAGATATATCAGCATGTTTGGATAATATTTTGTGTTTATTTAAAGTGTTAGTAATGTATTATTGATGTAGAAAAATATTAAAAAAAAAATTTAGCGTGATGTTGCCGATGGAAAATTTGCTTCGAGTTTTTATGGCATGTTGAGCAAATATCTTAGATGGCGTTACTATCAATTGTCTTCTCTCTTGACTTCGCAAACTTTTACTTTATTGTACAGAGAGTTAATATTTTTGTATGATATACAAATATTATGTAAATTCATTCATTTAAAACTGATATTTATATTTATTTTATGTAATAAAATTAAGTTTTATCATAATGTAAATTATAAAGATAAAATATAGGAATATAAATCTAGTATACTTTTATTTTTATTGTAGCAAGATACATACATATACACATAGAAGAAAAGAGTGGAATGAAAAAAAAAATACGATGAAAATAAAATCAGACGCGAAACTTGTAAATCCAACTTCGGATATTCTTTTTACATTCAAGATGTTACCAAAGCAAAATCTGATTTTTGATACAAAAGAACTAATGATTATTTATGTATAGTAAAAATGATGAATCTAAAATAATATGTATTATCTTTATAGATTGCTATTGTTACATATTAGATAGTTAAAAAGTGAAATAGTATTGACCGTAAACTAAAGACGGTGAGATGAGTTCAATATTATTTTACAGATTCAAGTACGCTCTAAATTCACCATGAATATACTCAATGATTTATTGGAATTTTATCTAATATTATCTTTTTGTAACAAAAATAATTCTAATAATTTGTACTTGCTTCTTTAACAGATGCAAACTTATTTGGATCATATAACATAAATTCAATGCAATTATAATATAATGAGATGAAAAAAAACATGGCAAAATGTATGGTGATTTGGCAAATATAATAATATAGAATAGAATAGGTTTGCGCATCAAATCAATTTAAGGGTCGAGGTACGCCAAGTAGGTCATTGCAGACTTCATTGCTGCCAACATTATGCTTTAGAATGATTTCAGGTTTAAGTTGTTTTTCTCTTCTTTGTTAATTAACAATTAAGATGGTTTGTTGATGATGCCTAACTATTTCAATCAACCTGTGAATCTATTTTAATTATTTTATTTTTTTTTCTTTGCAGTTTATGGACAAGTATTCTCAAATAATTTGAAAAAAAGAGAGAATAACGGGAGAATTACAAAATTAACTACAACTAGCTGGTAAAAATTGTCAAATAAACAACGTTTATTTTTTGCGTTCAACGATACTAATAAAAGCTTTCAAAACGTCGACTCCATCGGTAATAGAAATATCCGGTGGCGCAACTGAAGAAAGTGGACCCGGGGAACATCAACGGTCACCGGGTCTTGATCCGCCACCGGAAATTGCTACTAGTGTGGAAAACGTTGCTTCCGCAAACGACAATGGAACAAATGAAACCACCATGAGTATTGTCCTTAAACTGGACACCCCTGGAAATTCACAACAACTTGAAAATGAAAAAAATATTAATTCATCAGTTTTTCATGAAAAAGTTAAAAATGAACCTGTAAATTTTATTTTTAAGCCAAATGTATCGGAATTTCATAATAAATCTAGAGATACTGAAAATTCTATGACAATGATGATGGTTAATAAGCCGGATATTGTTTATTCTAGTAATCAACTTAAAATTCAATCTCAGCAAAGCTCTAGCGATGCTAATGTTTGTGTCTCGAATCCAAGTAATGTTAATACTGACACAAACAATATTACTTTAGTTACCTCGAAGAGTAAAATTGTTGATAAGTTTTATAAAGATGTAGAAAATCCAAGCCAGAATATTGAAAAATGTAATCAAGAATTGGCTTGTGGAACGACACACCAACAACAGCAGTCGCAAGTGCAGAAAAGTACTCCCCATACAGTATCTTGTACAGCTTCTTTAATTATAACTACTTCTGTTAGTCCGTCTGATCCTAAACAAACATTAACAAAGGTATCAACGACAAAAATGGATAATATTATTAATACAAATCAACAGACAAATTTATTGTCTACACATGAGCAGGTGGATGCTAATAAAGTGCATAATAATAAAGTTAATAATGGAAATAATATAACGCAACATCAAACAAAATCTGATGTAGCTCAAAAAATGGTTAATACAACAACTAAAACACCGGCAACTTCAATGGCCAATGTTCAAAAATTGTCTATAAAATCATCAGCTAATTCTATGCCGTCGCAAACTTCGAATATTCATAAAGTCAAAACAATAACAGGTGTTAATAGTCAAGGTATAGTTACGAAAAATTTTATTTCAAAAGTACAAGGTATGACAAAATCTCAAGCACTCTCTGGAAAATTACCAAGTTCTGTTACATCTGTAACACAAATTATAAATAGTAATAATTTAACAAATGCTCAACGAGCTCAACAAGATAATCAAAAAAATTTTTCTAATCAGAATGTACAGAATCAACAAACAATTAATACAAAAATACATACCAGTAATAATAATCCTTCACAATCGACGGAGCAAATTCAAACGCTTCGTAAAGTAGCAGATTTATTTCAAAAAACTTTAACTGTTCAAAGGCAACCGCTTCCGAAAACATCACAATCAATTATTAGTTCGAATAATATACAAAAAGGTAGTATATGTGGAATCCAAAAAAACGTAATAGCTGGACAAAATCAATCGGCAAATACTCAGCATCAAAATTCACTTCAACCCGCTAAATCGCAAATATTCACATCACTTCAAAAATCTCAAACAGCGGTACTTGTGAATAATTCATTGAAGACCACCACAGCAGGTAATATTAGTAAAAGTAGTAGTGTACCTAATATATCAAAAATATCTACGAATTCAACAATGGCAATGATCAATAAAGCTCAGATGACATCTCAATCTCAGAGTAATGTACAACATTCTGTTCAAGTTCAACATGTTATTCCACATAGTGTACAGTCTCAACAAACTTCTCAAAAACAACAACAGCCTAAATTAAATATTATTCAACAAAATGCTACTTTAACTAGTTTACCGGTAAATCAAAAAGGATCTGTTCTTGTCAATGCTAAAGTACAACCACAACAATCGCAAATGGTATTACGAGTAGGACCGATAAAAAATAATCCAATGAATACGCAATCTGGTAATAGTGTAAAATGTATTAGTCAAAAGGTTACAAATGCGTTGAAAATGAATTCTCATCAGCAAGTTACTTTACAACCGACTACTTTAAATCGAAATACTGTGAATGCCCAGCCGGTTAAAATTATTCAACAATCACAGCAGCCATTAACGAATGTAATTTCAAATTCACAAGCTGTTCAAAAACAAACGGGGACTATTAAAACTATTCCACCGTTAAAATCGCCACAGAAAAATAGTCAATTCAAAACTCAAAGTGTTAAAACATCTATTAATAATGTAAACACAATAAAAAATCAAACAACTAATACTGTGGTTCATCAGAAAACATCTGTACGAACTATTGGATCACAACAACCTACTTCGTCTAATGTAATGATTCACAAACACCAAACGGTGAAAATACAAACACCTAATGTTCAACAAAAACAAATAATGACGTCGTCTCCATTTTCTCAACAAGTTATACGAACACAACCTGGGCAAATTAAAACTATTTTACCTGTTGTATCGGCGGAAAGTCATAAGGAACATCAGCCTAAGTAAGTAGATAATTTTTAATCAGTGTAAAAGAGAATATCATTTATAATTATTATATTAATCGTGATTATTATTTTATTTATTATAGAATGGAACCAGAATTACCAACACTAAAAGAGGAAGAATCTGGAGAAAGATCTCAATCACCAGTTCGCAGAATGCCACTTCCTTATGAGGTAATTTTCAAATTAATTATATTTAAGTAAATTGTTTAAAATATTACTATAAATTATTTGTAATGATTATAAAATATTTGTCATACCATATTGTAAATATTATTTAATTTCAGTGTCTTCAGTTTGTTCTACAAGATCATAATTATGGAGCACCACCACCTCGAACACCACCACCAACTACATCACCATCTCACACGAAACAACAAACCATAAATGGTGCAGGGAATACATCGCTTCAACATACGTTTATATATAATCAAGGTTCATATTCAAGAATTAAAAAAAAAAAATTCATTAATTAGTTTTTAATTTTTAATTTTTTTTTATTTTAGTCCCGAGTAATGCTAATACAGCAGATGATGCTGCTAGTGCAATAAGTAGTGAACCTGGTCGTGAAGCTGAACCGGAGGGTGAGGAAACAGAAACAGCACCAGAGGGTGAGGGTGACGATGAAGACAGTATTACACGTTGTATTTGTGAATTTGAACATGACGATGGTTACATGATTTGCTGCGATCGATGTCTAGTTTGGCAACATGTCGATTGTATGGGTATTGATCGATCGAACATTCCTGATGAATATCTTTGTGAAATTTGTCGACCTCGACGTGTTGATCGTCAACGAGCCCGTACATTACAAATGCGAAAGCGCGAAGAGCTTTTACATTCTGATACATTATCAGACACATCATCAACAAGTTCTGCCGATACTGATGTTAGTGGTAATCCAACAGTTGTAAAGAAACGAAATATTCAACAACAGCATCAACCACAATTACCAGTATCACGTAGAAAATCAGATTCGGCGCAATTTAAGAAAATAAATCATCATAATCTTAACAGCAGTACTAATAATACCAATAGTATAAGTAATAACAATAATAGTAATATTAATAATAATGCTGAAGGAAACGATAATAATAGTAACAACAGTAGTAGTAACAATAATAATAGTGATAATAATTTGACTAATAATAATGATAATAGTAACAGCCACAGTAACAATAACAACAGTAACAACAATAGTAATAATGTTAACGATAATGACAATGATGCTAGTGGCGGTGGCAATAATAGTAATAACAATATTCCAAAACGTCAAAAACGTGAGCAGCATCCAAGACAAGCTAATATGAATAGGAAAAAGGAAACAGTTAAACGTGGTCCTGGTAAACGCAAAGTTAAACGACGGATGAGTTTAAACGGTGAAAATGAATCACAAGATGCTTGGGGATCTCCAAATATGGCACCTCTGCGACAGTGGATTGAGAGATATGAAGAGGCAGTAACAAATCACTATAGTCCAGAATTAAGAGCTAGAATATCAAGTATAAAAGTAAATGGTTCGTACAATGATTTAAGGCAAACCAATATAAGCAATATTGTGAGTGGAAAATGCCGACTAAATGTACACAGTAACAGTTTAAGATTTTTAGTAGCTACTATGTACCTGGCGCCAAATACACCAGTTGTTGAATTACGCGGTAAATACATGCTAAGTACACAACATAGGCCATCACATCCGTCACAGTATGGAAGACAGCACACTCAACGACCTGGGCCTTTTGTATTTTTTTATCGTTTACCACGTGAAGGTACTGAAGTTTGTGTTGATACTAGAACGTATGGCAATGATGCAAGATTTGTGCGACGAAGTTGTAAACCAAATGCCGAAGTAAAACATTGCATTGAAAAGGGTACATTACATCTTTATATTGTTACAACAACGGCTATTGAAAAAAATGCTGAAATTACTATTCGTCACGAGCAACATGATCTCTTATTATCACCTAATTCAAATTCATCACTTACACAGCTAGCATGTGCCTGTGGGAATCCTAAAACATGTCAAATTGCTAATAATATAAGTGGGATACAATTTGGTGGACGAAAGGGTAGTAATGGTGCTATTGTTGAAAATACGACGACTGATAGTAGAGAACGTAGACGACGAAATAGAAGGAACACTGTAGGTGATGATAATGATACAATTAATTCGACAATTCCTACTAATCCCGTAATGACAACACAGTCATCTACACCTCTGTCATCAAATTCAACAGTTACAACTGCATTATCATCCAATGCAAAGAGAATAATGAACAATCCAACATCGTCTGTTTCACAGACTACTATGACAACAGTATCCAGTAAAGTATCATCAAAAGAAGAGAACAATACCTCAGTATGTCAATCAGTTCAAGTTGTTCCATCCGTAGCTACACCAACAACATCAGTTCAGGATATAAAGAAAGATAAAACAAAATTAACACGAGAAGAACGTAAAATGGAAGCCATTATTAAGGCCATTGAACGTCTAGAAAAAGCAGAACTGAGAAAACAAGAAGTTCAAGCAAGAAATGCACAGAGGAAAGAATCTGGTGGTGGGCATAGTGATACTGATGAACCAATGAGTCAACCAACAAAACCAAAACAACCACATATTGAACGTACAGTGAGACGTAAGAAACGAAAAGGTCGCTCTCGAACAATACCTGGTAGTAGCTTACAGAATAATCGTAGAAAAAGGCTTAATTCTGCTGATTCTGATCTTTCATCGTGTGAAGAGAATAATTTAATAATGATGCAATCACCGCCTCAATCTTCATGTCTACAGTCTAATCGTGATACACCATTTTCGCCACGAATTTCTTCAAATAATAACAATGATAACAGTACGAATAATAACAACAATAATAGTGATGGCAATGAGAGTAATAGCAAAAAACAAAATGAAGAAAATTTAGTAGGATTAATTAATCAAGAACCATCTTCTGTTAATAATCAAACTATACCAACAGCAGCCGGTCTTTTGTTGGCTCTTGCTAATTCAAGTGTTTCTGGTGCAAGTTCACCACCTTTACAACAACCAGCACCAAGTAAGAGTCCTACATGTGATAGCGGGGCTAGTAGTAGTTCGCAAAGTTCAACACCGTCAACACCATTGTCATCAGCATGTTTATTAGTGGCAGCAGCTGTAGGGCCACTTGCACCTGGGTTTAAATTTCCTAAAACCAAAAAAGTTATGATGAATGAATGGCTTCGTGAATCACCAGATCCATCAACACAAACGCATATTCAAATACCACATGAATTGCCGCAAAATACTGCAATGACACCACTACCTGTATCATCATCGTCATCATCTTCGAGTCCTCCCAACTCATCAAATAATAGAAATACGGATTTTTTAAGATCAACATCAGATCCTTCAAGTGAATTCCTTACACAGAGTTATGCTGCTAAGAGTTTAGCTACTCTTGTTCAAGCAGCTAATTCAGTTTCTGGTATCTGTGATTCTCCACCGCAACGCAAACAAGCTGCAATTACGTTAACAAACGCTACGGTTTGTCCTATGTCAACAGGATCGGCAAAAAAGCGATGGCTACGCCAAGCAATTTCTGAGGAATGCGACTCTCCTAACAGTCGACCTGAAAGTCCGCCGAATGAAATGGTAGCACCACCGAAGAAACGCAGAATAGCACGTGAAAGTATTTCATCTGATAATTATACTCCGCCTACCACGCCCACACTGATGCTTGCCGATTCTGGTCCTAATAATTTAACTCTTTGTTCTGGAGAAAATGATTTTATTCAACAACCACAATCACCTATGTTAATAGACGAGTCGTCACATAAAGATTATGATAACAATGATGATAAAAATAACATTCATGATTATAAGAAGTTTCAATATTTTCCAATAAACAGTTACAAAAATTCAGATACAGAAGAACCAACTGATTTTAAACCTGAAGATAAATTAGCTATCAGTGACTACAAGCAACATATAAATGATGAATTAGTTAATACAGTAATTCAAAAAAATGAAGATGAAGGTGATAAAAATTTATTGGATCTTGAATATAAATCATCTATTAAATGTGAACCAGATTATCCCGAATCAACTAAAGTAGAATCTAATTTTATGTTACTCAGTCCTATTAAGAAGGAATCAAATTCAATGACTACAGAAAATTCAGAAAATATTGAAACTATTGATAATTCAACTAATATAGATGTAAATTTAAATGATTCAGAATCAGTGACAAAGGATAAAACAAATATCAAAAGTGAAAACAGTGATAATAGTTGTACGCTAGTAGTAATGGATGAAACAAGTTTGGAAGAAAATCGTAGCTTTGAAGATGATGATAAACTAAACAAGTACAATAAAGATGTTAGGTCAGAAGATGGTATGTCTATTGATGAATTTGATGTTGAAGCTCAAATGAAAAAAATAACCGGTGATGATGGTAATGATTATAAAGAAAAGATTGATCCAAATTTGGATAAAGATAAAAGTATGGATGGAATCGAAGGTTTAATGGACAGTTCAAAAGAAGATTCTGAATCAGAAGACCGTGATTTGAGAGAGCTACGTTCAAGTGATGATACATCTAGTTTAAAAGAAATGCCAGAAAGATCTTTCCAGGATTTCAATGATCTCTCAGAAATAGAAGATATCAAAAACAATATGAATGAAGATACTCTTTTGGATAAACAATCGTCACAAGTAATTAACAATGATGATGCATCTCTTAATAAAACAATGTTTGATGGTCTTTCAGAAGATATGCATAGTGAGCCAATCGAAGAACCGCCAAAAATTTATCAATCGATTCCTCCGTTAAGTGAGAGAATACGAAAAAAACCGGATAACTCAACAACAAAGAAATCTTTAGACTTAGAAGCATTGAGCCATATAGAGTCAACTATTGATATGGAATCTGTTGATATATCGGAGAATGATGGAGAAAAAAATCAACTTTCAACAGCATTACGTGAGTTATTGAATACTAACAGAGAAGAAATTGCTGACGCATTCATAAATCCAGAAAAAATTAAAGAAAATATTAATCCATCACCCACTCCTGATCAGGAACTTGAATTAATACCAGAATCACAACAATGTACTAAGGAAGTTACACAAATTCCATCAAATGTAGATCATACTCGTGAGTCGATACATCCGATTGTTGATGAAAAAACACTAGTATCTCCACTCTTACTTCCACCTTCACCATTACCACCTCCTCCTCCTCCGCCACCACCACCACAAGAAATTAGAAGATTAAAGGATCCTCGAACAGCTATTCCTAATGAATTAAGGGTTCAATCACCAAAAGAGGCCCCAGCACCAGTGAAGCGCAAGGTTAGAACGGTAGGAATGTAGTGACAAGTTTATGTTGGGTAGATTATCTTATTTCTTTATTATCTTCTATATTTTCTTTATAGAATAATTTACTGTTTCATTCATTTCTTCCGTTTATTCAAATCCTTGCACTACATATATTGATCACACGTACTTAAAATAATGTAGGCCTGTGATTTATTAATAAACATAAATATTAATAGTAAAACTTTTTTTTAGTTATCAATATCTGAATACCGGAAACGAAAACAACAAAACACTGGCACACCTTCGGAACCTGAACCATCAAATGAAGCGTCTTCGGAAAAGAGTCCTGGAAGAGGACGTTCTGATAGTGCAAGTAGTGGTACATCATCTCTTAGTTCAGATGAAGATAATAATAAAGTTAATCATGATAACACCCAGGCTTTAACAACTTTACCACTCTTTGTTAATAGTACTGAAAATGAGGAACGTAAAGGTATCTATATGAATCAAAATTAAAACATCTTTTTTACTAACTTTAATAATAGTAATAGTTTATAAGAAAAGCCAAAGTAACGTGCAATAAAAATTTTAAAAAGTTTTAAAAAATTAAATGTATCAGGTGGAGAAGATGGAACTATTGGTTGGTCTGCAGCACCTACTCTTGTCGAACGTCAACGAGAAAACCTTACTGAAAGACTGAAACGTGAATTTGGACTTTTTCTGAGTGATGATGAAGAAGAAAGAGCACGTAAACAAGGTAAATAAGTTGATTATTTTTCATTCGAGCAGAACATTTTTCTAAAAATTCTTTTTTTGCTATTAGGTTTATCAACAGAAGCTATATTAAAAGCTCGCAAAGAAGCCATTCCCATGCAAATGGCGGCAGGAATGGTTACAGCATATCCTCTACCACAATTGCCACCACAACCTTATATACCACCACCAGGTTCAATGCCAATTCAATATCCTCTGTATCCAGTAAAACCACCATTGACAGGGCAATTTCATAACTTTGCTGTGCCACAGCCAATTCCACCACCAACTTATACAGTTCCACCATCAACATCATCAACTCCAACAGTGAGTAAGCCGATACCACAATTTCTTGTACCACAAGCACCACCAGGCTCTAATCCTTATCCACCACAATTTGTACCAGCAACAAGTCCACCTTCGACTACATCAAGATTTCCAGTGACAACACCTCCACAATCAGGCTTTAACAATTGTACACAAACTCAAAGTCCTTTTTATAATCATCCTAATTCAACACCTAGGTCATAACTTTTATCAGTTAATGTAAAGGATAATAATTATTTTATGTTAAAATTAGTTATATTATACAGATATCAAATAATTAGTAAGAAAAAATGAAAGGGAATGTAACGAAATGTGATCATTTAAAAAACACTTTATTTAGGGCCTAATTCTTTGAATGGATTTATTTTTTCAAAAAACAGATAAAATTAAAAAAAAAAAAAAAACAAAAATTTATCAACGTGCATTTGGCGATATATAAATTTTTTATTTTTAAACAGTATATTTTTATTTTATTTAATGTTTGTTTAATGTATTGGATTGAATTACTTATTTATTATTACTATAATATAAATGATATAATAAATATTAGAGTTAGTACTAAAATAATTTTTAACCGCGGTTCAATTTTTTTTATACTATATGCGTGTAATATGATATATAGAAATATTTAACGCAAATATAAACAATAATACATCATAAAAATGGATAAAGCTTAAAAATTTTGATAAATTTCAATAAATATAATGTAAAAATTCGATTTAAAGGAAATGTAAAAAGGCGTGCTTATTAGAATTATAGATGAATTAATTATATTATATAAATGATAATAAAAATAATTAAAATACGTACCATACTATATAAGTGGTATATTTGTTAACAGTATGTAAATATGATTTACATATTGTTATACAAAGTAATCTTCAGTACTATTATTATAATTATTACTAATAAGTCGTTTCTCATACTTCTAGTTAGAAAATATTTATTTAAAAAAATGTTAAATAAACAAAAAACTACTAGTAATTTACTCTCAGAGTTATCTATATTTTGTATATCATTGTAAACAATGACTCTTTATTAATTAATTAATAATAAAAAATGCGTGACCGCTGGATATTTTTTTCTTTTTTGTTGTATTTTTCAAATTCTTATATGCAAAAGTTGATAAATACCGACTATTACTCATGTTATAGTTATATTAATACAAAAAAATTCTGAGTACACGTTAATAAAAATAAATTGGTTATTGTTCGAACGGATAATATAAAAATATAAACAGTAAAAAGAATTACTCAATTCAAATTATTACAGTGATTATTATTAATTAATAACTAATTGATAAAATGAATCTTTTTTGATATTTTTATGCAAAACATTGAGTATATTATTTTTATGGTTAAACAATAGTCAACATTAATTGATAAAAGTAAAATTAATGAAAATTTTGAATTTTTTTATTGAAATAAGGTCCAAAAGAGTAGCTATGACAAAAGGGAATGATTCTATTTCTATTCTAAAAATAATTCAATCAATATTACCAATCAGATGTAGAATCTAATTAAATAATATGCTGATATAAAAGTACAAGTGGTACATAAACAAAATGAATATATTGAATTTTAATGTAAGTAATTTTTAAAGAAATAATAAGATTTTTGATTAACTAAGCTACAAAAAGTAAATGAAGATAAACGGAACGAAAAGTATATATTAATAAAACTACATAAAACAATGTAATGTATAGTACTTATACTTACATTTTTATTGTAGTTGTTATTATTTCATTACTCAATACATTTATTAGCTTTATTATAATTATCGTTATGATTATTTATAAAAAAAAAACTGTAAAAATGTACATACATATATATTATGAAAATAATTTAGTCGCGCGAATTAAAAACCGAATACATAAGAGTATTAAACATTTATCTATCGTACTATGTATAATAAATTTACAGAATCCATAAAATAATAAAGAATTTTTCATAGAATATAAATTTATATAAATAAAAGAATAATTATAATACACTCACACATCCTGTATGTAATTATTCCTTTTTCTTCAAATAAAAATTAATTCATTAATGTTTAATTATAAAAATTTTTCAAATTAACAACGATGCAAAATATTATAAGTATTATTATATACTTATAAAAAATAATTATCTAATAAATATATTCAATGCATTCGTACAATATACAAATATATATGTCGAAAAGTAGCAAGTTAATTAATTAAATAATAATTATTATTAACTTGAATATAAAAATATTCTGAATTATAAAAATATATCTGTATCTGTACATCTATGTGAATAGAATATGCATTATAGTGTGTGTAAATAAAATGAAAAGTCTGCTGAGTAATATTTACTTTGATAATTTTGTCCAACGAATTAAATTACGATTCAATAAAAATCAGCGATCTTTTCATAGTATTAAATGTAAATAACATAAATTTTCGTAGATTAATTTTTTTTATTCTAATTAATAATTATAAATATGTAACTACATAATATTATCACTAATATTAACATTATTTTTTATGTTTATTATAACTAAATATAAAAAATGGCCTACAATATGGCTAAGGAGTGATTACTTTTGCAACATTTGTCATTTGACAGAATCTCTTTTGTATTTTTATCAAATTTTCTTATCATTTTATTGACTTAACGTAATACAATTTAAAATTAAAAATTACTCACTACGTATCACGTAAAACACGTGAATGAGTGTTTAATATTAATTTACTTCTTGTCAGAAAGTTATCTTATTTTTATAAAAAATTTCCATTTGTAAAATGAACAAACAAGATAAAAAAAGTAACACCAATTATTTCCATTTTTTTTAATAATAATTTTAATTAAATATAAGTAATATATCAATAAACATACAATATTTTGATAAATTCAATAAATGTAAATTGATGATAATTAATATTTCATAAATTTAATGTTGTATTAAATTATGGATATTTCAAACTATCATCTGTAAATAATTTTCTTTTGATTATTCAAGACTAGTGAATATTATACATTTAGTAAACATGTTCATGAAAAAATAAAAAATATGTCTGATAATTCAATATATTGAAATAAACACAAAATAAAAAAAATCTTAAAGCAATGTTTATCATTACACATGCATGTAAATAATTACTTAAAATAATAGATAGATCTTTATCGCAATACTGACTTGAAATAGTACTAAAAATTTCATTTATTACAATCATTAATACAATTTTCAAATTATTAGAATAAGATGAAAATATTTATTGTGGTAAGATTATTAGTATTATGCATGAAATATTCAAGTATTGCAATTAAAAAATGGTTTTCCCTTTATTAGTCAATTTATGGTAAAAAATGAATCTACCAAGATATGCTTGGAATCATTTGCTATTACGACTTTGATGAATGATAAGTAGTATAAATATGAACTGAATGCTTTGATATCCATCAATTCCAGTTCTATTACATAACAAGCTACTGTTATAAAGATAAAATTATTACATTGACACAAAAAGTTACGTGTAATAAAAATCGGATGTAGAAACTAATATTAATAATCGCAAACGTTTAAGGCAATTGAGTACGAGAAGTTGGAGATCATCATGATAATGCTCAGTCATTCTCCTGTACTCGTATTCGTTGCAGATAAAAATATTCATTAATTATTTCAAATAAATGAATACATCCACGTAATTACAATCAGTTGCTCATAATTGTATTGAAGCAATAAATTTTTGCCCATATATTGCAAATGCATTGGTGTTTGTATTTATAATAAGTAGTGCAATTAACAATTTCTTGTCAGTACAGTGACAGTAGACCAAAGCGTGAATACTATTAAAAAAAAAAATATTTATATATATTTATTTTTAGTCATATTTACGGGTTGAGCATCACATATACATATATAAACTTTCACTACTATTGATATTGATAGAACATATACATACACACCACCATCATGTCCGCAACGCCAACGTTTTCAACTCAGCTGGATAAAACAGCTGTTGAAAATTTTCGCGAGTATTTACGGATTCCATCAGTTCATCCGAATGTTAATTATGGTAAGTAATCTCTAATTTTCATCTGATCATTATTTATTTCATGTTTTTTAATTTGGAATTCAAAAAATAACATTATTTTCATCACAAAAAAATAATTATCTAAAAATACGAGAAATTTTGGAGCAATGATAAACGTGACGAAATGTTCTAGAAGGTTTCAGTTGTTAATTTTTTATAATTTATTCTAGATTGATAAAATTCATTTAAATCAGTAATAGTTCTTGAATAAAAAGTCTTTATTCATACAAACTGGCATATTTACCTGTGACTATATAAAACGGTTAGTATATAATATAATACAGCATCTAAGCGTCTAATGCGTCTAGTTCAAAGTTTTATTCAGTATGGTTCATTGTGAAGAAGTTGTATCATCTAAGTACATAAACCCCGCCCTGTTATTAAATTTTTTTTATAAATTTAGATTAATTACTCCAATCTTTAATTGTGCTTTTAAATAAATTGATAAAATATTATCTAAAATCTTTAAATAATTAATTTTGCTGATCAGTGTGTGAATTTCTACCTTTTTTTCAATTGTGCTTAGATCGAGTCTGTTTTATAATTATAATAATCACAGTGAGGTGAATTTGTTTATGATAAAATTATTGTTACGTCATTTATAGTCGCCCTAATTCAATGATAATATCAGTATTTTAATAATTATGATAATTAATAAGAAATTGTTGATGAATAGAGTCAACAATTAATTGTATGATGCTTTCCCTCATAGATATTTGAGGATAAAACTTATATTAATAAATTTCAATCAGTATTTATTTAAAAAAATATGTGAAATTTTATAGATGATTGCGTTGCATTTCTACGACGCCAAGCCCAAAGCTTGGATTTACCGGTCAAAGTGTATGAACATCATCCAGGCAAGCCAATTGTTATTATCACCTGGATAGGAACTGATCCAGCTTTGCCATCGATTTTACTCAATAGTCATATGGACGTTGTTCCTGTGTTTGCTGTAAGTATTATTATTTATCATATTATCCTATATATGTAATGCTATCACAACTGATAAAAAATTATATCAATAGGATAAATGGACGTACCCACCATTTAGTGCTGAGATGGATGAAAAAGGAAACATATATGCACGTGGTTCACAAGACATGAAGTGTGTTGGTATTCAATATATTGAAGCGATACGACGATTAAAATTGAATGAACAACGAATGAAAAGAACAATTCATATGTCTTTTGTGCCTGATGAAGAAACTGGCGGCGTCCTTGGAATGGAATCATTTGTAACTACTGCAGATTTCAAAGCATTGAATGTTGGATTTGCATTAGATGAAGGTGTTGCATCACCAGGAGAAAACTTTTATATATTCAATGGTGAAAGAGCTATCTGGCATGTTAGAGTTAATTGTACTGGACCACCAGGACACGGTTCTTTGCTTCTTGCAAATACTGCTGGAGAAAAATTACGAGTCATTATTGATAGATTTATGGACCTTCGAGCTGAGCAAAAGGATAAATTAGATCGAGGAAATTATATGATTGGAGATGTTATATCTGTGAATTTAAATAAAGTTGAGGTAATTACATAGATAAAATTATAGAAAAAACCATACAATTATCGAATGAAATAATAAATTATTTTCGTTTGAATATGTTCATGCTAACTTATTCAGAATGGATAATTAGTAAGTCTTCTATATCATACTTTAAATTAAAATTTAATAAATTATTAATTACTTTGAATTGAAAATTTGCTATATGATCAATTTTCTTTATTTTTAATATTATTATTATAGGGTGGTATACAAACCAATGTGATACCTGAAAAACTCACTGCTGTATTTGACGTTCGTCTTCCACCTTCTGTAGACCATGAAGAGTTTGAACAAACTATTTTGAGTTGGTGTAGAGAAGCTGGGGAAGGAGTATCAATTGAATTTGAACAAAAAAATCCGAGGATTGAAGTGACCAAATTGGATGAAACCAATCCGTATTGGTTAGCTTTCAAAAGAGCCTGTGATAGTCTCAATCTTCATCTACAAAGTGGTATTTTTCCTGGTGGAACTGATAGTCGTTACGTTCGTGGGGTAGATACATCAATTTAAATAAAAATTATGTTATACAAGCATTGTTGTATATTAAAAATGATTGTTTTAGGTTGGTTTACCGGCTATATGTTTTTCACCGATGAACAATACTCCAATATTACTACATGATCATGATGAATATTTGAACAAAGATATATTTTTACGTGGAATTCAAATCTATATGAGCATTATTCCTGAAGTTGCAAATGTCTAATCTACAATGAAAATCGAAAATATATATAGAGAAAAATGATACACTCCGTGCCATATTCAGTGAAGGATTAATATTAAAGATAAGGTAAAAGTGCAATTTTATACATAAATTATAAGTTTATATACAATATATAACACACATATATAGATATATATATATTGCAAGTCTTTAAAAGTAACAGAAATTAGTGTGTTATTTATTTATTATGTAATAAAAAGTATATACAATTCTTGCATGTATATATTAATTTGCATTTGCTGAAGAAGAAAAATGCTTCGAAATAATACAGAAAAATTATTTAATAATTGAAAATAAATTCATACGTTATTACAAAAATTAGTGCAAGAATTTAATTATGTTAATTTTAACATTAATTTGATAATTATATTTTACAAAGTATGCAGACTTTAGTTTGAAACTATAAATAATATAATAAAAAAAATATTTTGCAGAATAGAGTTTTATAAATAAAGAGGATATTGAATGCAATAATTTCACAAAAATCTAAATGTAAATGACGGAAATTAATTTTCTTTGTATTTTAGTAGAATTATAATCGGGGAATATTTATGTATGTATTATACCATCCATATTCCCTTGGAGTTGGTCATCCCTTGCTATCTACTATTTCTATCTTCTTCTTTTTTTCTCTTTCTTTGTTACTCTTACTAGTCTGTGGCATTCCCCTCTCCTCCAAATAGTGGACTCGTCCATTAATTTGCTACATGCCTAGAAAATGAAAAAATTTCAAATAAATTCTGATGATAGATCTATTAATAATAAAAAAAAAATCATATTGATATTCACATACATGTTTGCATATATATAATAAACTCTATCAATATCCACTTGTCATAATATTATTCAAGAAAAAGTAGAAATGAACTAAAATAAAAATTATTATCCATCGGTTTCAATTGGACTCGGCCATTTTGTGTTGAGGGATGGTAGGAGGATAGAGCCTCGACCCCGGCGAACGACAGCTTATTTAGTTAACATATAAGTTAAGAAAAAGTAATAAATATTTAGTCATTAAAAATAAGTTAAAAATTGAATAAAAAAAATGTTAAAATTTTGAGATATATTAATTGTTAAAATAATATTGGTTTATTTATTTCTAATGGAATTGGTGAATTGAATGTAATCATTTTAAACACTGTCTGCTTCTCCGCACCCTGTTCTTTTACCCGCCAATACTGCAGAGGCGGGAAGGCCACGTGACACTACTTAACAAATCAGCGACGTGGGATTTGAAATTGTGCGTGGTCTTTGTTCACAAGTCTACCGACAACGTTACGTTCAGTTCTGTGTGAAGCAGTGTGAAGGGGGCCCAGTGTTGGTGATCCGTTTATTCATGGTCGCTGCCAAAAATCACGTTTATTTTCTCGTCAATATATATATATTTATATATGAGTGAAAGTGAACACTAAATACGTGGACAAAGTTATTTTATTCAATTGTTGTACATAAGGTGAGATATTAAAGTCATTTTTTGTGTTTGTTTACATTTATCCTAGACTAATCAAAGGCGGGTGCTCTCGTCAATTCTCATGCTACTGACTTATTCCACGGTTCTTATTACTTCGTCCGTGGTACACCAGTAGACTATTTTTGCCAGTTAATTAATAAGTCACTTGTCTTTTAATATTACACTTTATTTATCTATTTTCTCTCATATTGATTTTCGTATATTTGTGTCCGAGGCATTACTTGATTATATTTTCTGTTGATATATTATCATTAATACCTCGTGAATATTTTTTTTTATAAGGAAATTTAACCAACACGTTTAATGCACGAAAAAAAATATCATCTATTTTATCTTATGTTTATTTTAACGACTAATCGATAATAGAATATATTTATTTACATATTTTATACACATCACATAGTTATTCGGTGTATAATATACATGTTCGTGCAGGTTGATTAAAAATTTACGCGGGAAAAGTAATACTTCATAATTTCAATTCGTCATTTTTTTCAATTATTCATTAATACATTCTCTTTTATTTTATTACAATTTTTTCAATGAATTTAATCAAGTCGTATAAATGAAATTGATGAGTAAGTCTATCAATTTTTAAGCGGGAAAAGTTCTTTAAAATTGAGAATTTTTATTGTGCATAATATTTTATTTTTTATGAAATAGAATTAAATTTGAAATATTCATTAAAATTTTTAATCCTCAGTCTAACAATTGGAAAAAAAGACCATTTTGTGGAATTATCCCTAAAAATACTATTGACTTATAAAAATATTATTTTTATTGATGAAAATAACATATTTTATATAATTAAATAGTGTTCATGACTAATTAAATATTTAGAATGTAAGTAGATATTTATTGTTAATTTACTGCTGCAAAAGTGAGAAGGCGGGAAAACTTTTGACCGTGAGAACATTCTGAGAACTTAAAACTCTCCCCCTTCTCTCTCTCTCTTTCCCTTCTTTTCTTTCTATCTCTGTTGCTGCTCTTGGTCCCGGCCCTGTGAGCACAACCAGACCCCTACGCCATATGTACACCGCAGGAAATATCCTTCGGGGCCAGAGCCCCCTCGACCAAAATAACTTGACAGTTTATGGGTACTATCCGTACACTGGTACAGTCCTATGTACTAATCCCTCAATCCAAGTTTACCTGCTTTTCATGCTTTTCCAAGAACTAACATTTGTACATTTCAATGTTTAAAATGAAAATTTTCCCTTCAAAACACCTTGAATGATAACATAAAACTTAGTTAAGCTTTAAAAGAAACATTTCTAAAACAAATATCCTTAGATCGTTATTTTTTTTTGTTGGGTCTTACGTACTTCATACCTGGAGATAATTTATTTGCAAAAACTTAGAGCTAAATTTTACTTTCACCTTTGGAGCAGGCCAAATCTTGTCGAGGTCACGAACAAAAAAAGGCGGGAGAAGATTTAGTTAATTTTCAAGGGCATTGAAAATATCCCATGTAAATTATGGATTTTAGTGGAGTAAATAGAAATATTGTATTAACAAAAAAAAAACAAAAGTCATAAAAATACCATGTGGTCATAAATGGTTGAAAAAAAAATTAAAAGCAAAAATGAGTTTCCTATATGATGAGTGTATTCCCATATGTCGATTAAAATATCTACATGGTATTTACAATCGTTAATTTTTCATCCTCTTTAATCTTTATTTTAACCCTTTTAAAGAATTGTATATGCATTTTTCCCTTTTTCCGTTCCTGAAAATAGTTAAGAAGAAATAGCGGAGATGAGAGAATAGAGGGTAAGAGTAAAAGAGAAGGTATAACGAGGTGGAATATAAGGGTGCAGACTGTTTCGCGCAAGCGGTGCCACAGGGGTTGCAATCTTTTCCCCTCTTTGCTTCTGCTCGTTCTTACTGCCGGGTATTCTATTCCTGGTGGGGAATATCAGATCGATACTCACTAAACCAGACACTGGAGGGGAGAGAGTTATCAAAAACTTTTGCATCCAGAAAAAGATTCATCCCGTTTGCTTTTAACTTATCTTTTAATATTTTCATCCCTTTTTCATTTACTTTAGTCTTTAATTAAACATTTTATTTTCTATTTTTTTCATCAGCTAATTATTCTACAGAGAATCTATTGATTTATTTCGTTAAATGATGATTTAGTTATTAATCATAGTTACAATCAATACTAGAATGATGTTTCTAAGCGTGTATAATTCTCCAACATGACTACGAAAAATTGATTTTCCTTTAAACGTGTTACTTATGCTGAACAATAACTTATTCAGGTAAAATAGCCATTAAAAGCTTAGTCAGGGGTTCGGGTCTTAAAAGGCCTCGTCTTAGAGACCATAAATTCTTGGAAGAAAACCACCCAAAATACCTGAATGCCAAAATCTCTAATTTTAGGCTTGAAGTTTTTAAACCTCCAGGTCAAAAGAGAAATTAATTTTACATTTTACCTACCATTTTCTTTCCATGACGAATGGAAAATTTTGTGCAAAATTAATGGTAGATATATCTTTACCCTCAGCAGCCCTCTTTTCAACTGTAACTTTTCAAGTCCCTGCCCAGCTTTCATATTTATGACTTATCAATTTTTGGCTATTTCATATTCATCATGTTTTTAAATGTTTTCTCCTTTTAAATATTCCAACACTGATGAAAAATTTTTATAAACAAGAAAAAAAGAAAAAATATTTATCAACTGGCAAAAAAAAAAATTTTAGTCAAACGTATGAGTGTGCTAGTCTTTCAGGAACCTGATATCAGTGTTCGGTAGAGTGGAAAATATTTTCTTCCGTAGCACCTGTCGACCAGAAGAAGCACTCATTTATGTACTAAAGGATGACTTTTTTTTTACCTGACAGACAAATGGTGGTTTACGAACAAAGAGCCACTCAATCTTATATACTTTTACTAAACAAGCTTATTCATTTAACTGTTTCTTCATCAGTTAAAATCCTAGACTCAGCAAAAATCCATCACAAGTTACATATTGTTTAGAATAAATATGATACCAGATTAGTAAAATTCCTCGTAATACTTAGTCATTTTATTTCATTAACCTTGAAAATTAAATAATATTTTATTCATGAATAAGTTTTATTATAATTAATTCTGGAGTCATAATAATGTGTAATAGAGTAGGACAAAAGTGATAAAGTTGTTGGAGATTTTAAATTATGAATGAATTCAAAGATAACAGAAATAATGTGATTGCTGCAATCTTCAAGTTGATAATTATTACTCGAATGGTATTCATTGATTATAAATATTGATATCAATATCTATACTATAATTAATATTGATTTGGTAATTATTTATAGTAAATTTAATTTTGATTAATATCAAAAATATAAAGGTAAATTTATCATCAAGAGAAACCTAATTTGCGATTCGAGTTATATATCTACTATATCTCGTAAGTAAACCCATGCATGGATCTAAATGGAAACCGGTTCTCCTGTCTTGGCACTCTGCGATCACAAAGAAAACAGTCAGGCGGTTTACGTTGTGTGATCCCTTATGGCTTATACTTATATTACTACAAGTCAGAAAGAGAAGGAGAAACTGTATGTATAAGTTAGAAAGACCGGGAAAAGAAATCAAACTCAACTGGTTCATGTATGTTACAAAGTTTTACAATCACTATAAATATTTAAGTAACATTTCTATCTTTTTTAGTCAATAAATATAAATGTTTTTTATCTAATTGAAATTTATATCAAATTCATCAAATTATTTAGCTTTATATTTTATTTTAAATTAACTTGATAAAATATTTTAGAACATATTAAACTTAAGAAAAAAATTGATATCAAGTATGGTAAAAGGAAAGCGATAGTTAAGTGACTCCCGCATGTTTAATATTTGGTCTCTTAGCTAGCCTTCAATTCTCCCCATCAGTTGAGTTATTTTTTTCAAGGTTGTATGTTAGAGTTACATTCTTCAAACTTTTTACCAGAGACACACTACATTATGACTACTGGATATTACTAAAATTAAAAAATTTCATATTTTTAGTATAATTACATTTTAAATCTTTATTTTAATTAAAGTCTCAAATAATTAACATGATTCCACGATTATATTTAGATGTAAAGAATTCGAGTGGTAGTTATGTTTTCGTGCAACTAGCGTGACCCCGAACCCTATCACCAAAGCCGCGCCAGTAAATTGCCAGAGGAAAATTGTGAAGGTAAAGTGCACAAAAGCGTGAAATACTTTGGATTTTACCTTCAGATAAGATTATTTATGATTTTTGCGAGAAACTTGGAGGTAATAAATTGGAAGATTTGAAAAATTTGATAAAACAACTCCAACTAAAATAATATCAAAAAACGATTAAACGGTCAATGACGTATAGACGAGGAAGCTAGTTGATTGTGTGTTCATATGTATTAATACTTTGCGGTCTTTCAACCCGAACAAATGAAATTCATGTGAGAATAATGAAAGATAATATAAGACAGATGATGAGACTCGGGAAAGCAACGGTAACCTTGATACTCTTTACGAAAAAGAAGCTCTTGTTTGAATGGTGAATCTTATTTTTGTCCATTACCACAGTTTTGTTGGTTAAAAAAATCTCTCCTCCATGCACTCTACATACACGCATGTGTATTATGTTGAACAAAAAAGAAGAAACAAAAATTAACACGCTTCTGACTAATATAATAAAAGATCACCTCTTTTGTTCATCAATTTTTGCCTTGGGCATGATGTATTATTATTTCCACTATGACTGACTTCAACTCCACTTGCTCTGTATAAATTCATCAAAATCAGAGACATTTACACCATATTCATGAAAATTATTGAAAGATTTCATATCAATAGCTTGATATGACATAAATTGTATATACAGAGGTATTTCATAACTCTAATTTGATTCTAGTAATAGGATTTTTACTCTCTATTATCTATATTATGATATTTTTTGTATATTATTCAGTAGCAGATAATTATTCCTGGGGATAAATATTTTTGTACTGAAATAGCTGAGCTAAATGTTAATAAATACAAAATGATAATGAGAAAGAGAAAAGAAACAAATTCAACGGATGGAAGACTTGTCGGGTGACTTGAAGAATACGTAGAGCACGTTTACTACTACTATAAGAAAAGGGGGCAACTACTACTACGTTGTATACATTCTATAGTAAATCGCCTTATAGTACTATGAGTCAGTCACACCCACGAGAATGTTGGTGCGCTTCTCGGTGGGTTCAAGACCCTCTGTACTCCAAGAGTATCTGAGTATATTAAATGGTAGCGGTAGTGGTAGTAGTAGCAGTAGTAGTAGTAGTAGTATCGTATCTATTATTATTGCCCTTGTCCGAGGAAGTAGATGCTTCAAAAGAGAAACTAAGACTGCAAATAAATCCAATCACAACATAAATGCAACTAAAAATAAATATTACCATAGAAATTTCAGCATAATCCGTGATGAATTACATAGAATGTCCAAAAATATCATTTAAATCAACTAAAATTTATTTATTATGAATCTATTTATTAAATGTAAAGCATTTTTATAAATATAATAATTATCAAAATTATCCGAAGATGAATGAAATAGTAATGTTCATTTCTATTTTTATTTTCTAGTTGTGTGAATGTTGGATACCGAGAGCAGACACAGCACTGGGCTGGATCAGGGACCAACAAGGGACCCTTGGCTCACCATGGATTACTACCTTGGAACTGATAGTCTTTCCCTTCAAGAGATGCTTGATGTTGATATCAAATGCGAGATTGAAAGTGTAATCGGTGGTCATCCAGAGCTTGGATTCAATTTTACGGATTTATCGCCCTTGGAGCTTGATGACGATCCAGTTGGCTGTCAGGGAGATCTTAATAATTGGCTTGGATCTGCCAGTTTACTTAATGGCAACAGTAATAGCTCACAGAGGTAAAATATTTTTATTTTTATGTAGAATAATTTAACATCATTTTTTTTTTCTTTTTTACTTAATTTATTTTTTATTTATATTTTGTAGTAATTTCAACCTTGATCTCAGTGGAGGTGATGCTTCAACAATAATGGTAAACCCAAATTCTGTGATGCCACATATAATCAGTCGAACTTCAACGACAAATACCAAAGCGATTCCGGCGAGAAGAAATTTTTCGTTCCCTAAAAATGATATAAAAGAAGAAAAAACTGAAGATAGTGGTGATTCAGAAATTATCAATGAAATGGTTAATCAATCTTATGAAAATGACATAACTGAGACAGAAGGAGAAGAGGATGATGATGAGGATGAAGAAGATGATGAAGATGCCGAACAGGATGTAGATGATGACAATGATGCAGAAGAGGATGATGAGGAGGATGAAGAAGATGAGGAGGAAGATATACAAGAAAGAAAAATAGTGAAAGAATTTGATGATGTGCAAGAATATGAAGCAGCAGCATTAATAAATTCAAGGCCAGGAAAGCCTAAACACCAAAAAATTTATCCAAAAACAATTACGCCTGTAAAAACATTGTCACCTATTCAGACAGTGGGTAAAATGAATAGCTCTAAAGTAGATCTGCGAATGGGAAATTTTAAATTTGTTCAAAATTCTAATGGTACAGTTATGCAACATGCAAAAAAACAGATTTATAATAACAATATTCACACGTCACCCAGTAATAACTGTACGATGACCATGAAGAGGGACAAAGATTTTACTGTTGATTTATCAGAATATGACGAAAAACCTTATCCAAAACCAGCCTACTCTTATTCTTGTCTTATCGCCATGGCATTGAAAAATAGCCAAACTGGCTCATTGCCAGTTTCAGAGATATATAATTTTATGTGGTGAGTGTCTTATTCATAATTTTTTATTTTTTATTCAAAAAAAAAAAATATTCTGAAAAATTTAACAATTAATGAAAAATATTATTTTTATATCAAATACTATTTTTATCCCGCGAAATACTAAACTATACATATTAGAAATAAAGTAAAAGTATTGTCCTGTTTTTATTCTTAAATTGAGATCGAATAGTAAAGCTGCCATTTTGTGTAAAGGGGACCATGAACAACACCAGGTGCACGCTATACACGCGGAGTACAGTCAGTCGAGAAATGTTAAACCCGGTTCTTTGTTTACGAAACCCTAATATTATTATATACATGTATCGATTTTTTCTTTCAATCAAAAAGAATATTTTTTCACTACAACTATGATTTTTCTAAGTAAATTTTTTTTCAATAAAAATTTTTCTCTGTTTATAGCGAACATTTTCCGTATTTTAAAACTGCTCCAAACGGATGGAAAAATTCTGTGAGGCATAATCTTTCTTTGAACAAATGTTTTGAAAAAATAGAGAAACCAGCGGGTAATGGAAACCAGAGGAAAGGTTGTCTGTGGGCCATAAATCCTCAAAAAGTCGCTAAAATGGACGAAGAAGTTCAAAAGTGGTCGAGAAAAGATCCATTAGCCATAAAGAAAGCTATGATATATCCAGATCATTTGGAGTTACTTGAACGTGGTGAAATGAAATATGCAGGAAGTGGCGGGGATGTATCTGAAGAAACTGAAAGTTCTGGTGATGAAACTGCTGAAGAAAATGTAACTTATGATGAGCCGTCGCTTGGACATACTGCTACAAATTCTGTAACAGACAGTTACGATGAAAGTAGCCAAGATTGTGATATAGATATTTCTGAGCATGTATATGATGATGTTGACATTGACGACAACAAAGACGCACTTCATATGCAACTTAATATTACAAAACAAGAGCAATTTGCATATGAATTAAGTCCTAGTATAAAACGACAAAAAACAGTAGCTGGTACCATTCAGGGAAATTATGTCTATCAGTCAGTACCAGCATCTCGACGGAAGACACCTCTGCTTGTAAGAACAAGCGCTTCTACTGGTGCATTTCTCAAAATTGAATAGATCTCTCGTTTGATATTACTTTTTACCATTTTTTCATACAAAACTTCTCTTAAAATTAAAAAATATCCTGAAAAAGGATACAAATTTTATATAAAAGAGGAATTCATTTATCTGGTATTGCTTGGTATTATTTTTATACATCGTAACTGTATATTTTATGTATACAGAAAGTAACTTAAAAAAAAAGCAAAAAAATTGTGTACATAGTTGTCATGCATTTTACATTAATATTAAATCGTAACATAATGATAATAGAAAACATAGAATGAAAAAAAGGTATCGATAATTGAGTAGTTTTAATAAAATTGAATATGATGATAGGCTGATTGAAGCGTTACTTAACGGCAAGTTGAGATGCTAACTAATGTGTCCTTCAGCGTAATTGCCGTAATAATAAATTAATTTTACAAAGTCAATTCAGTCGAGAAAGTCGAGAATAATAGACTAGAAAACAGTTTAACAATTACGCACAAAATGTTCTTCCAGATAATCATCATTTTTCTTGTTAAATTAATTATTTATTCAATACCATTTTTCTATCTTTATCTGCCAACTAGAGTGTATCGTTTAAATTATTAAATCTATAATTATTACATACTTAAACTGGGTTTATACTATAACATTGTTTAAGTATTCATTTTTCTATTGATAATCACACTTTGTAATTGGTTATTTTTCATGAAAATTATGTAAAACGTGTAAAACGACATATAAGTTAATTAAACCTAAGCTCAAGTAATATTTGGCCGATGCAATGGCCAGACTGATGTAATATACTTCACATTTCACTGAGACTAGATAATAGGGTAAAAAATGGTTGTTTTTGGAATCATTTTTTATTTTATATCATTTTCTTTTATAAAGTTTCAATATTATACATGTAGGTTTCACAAATATACAGTACAAAAAATCAAGAATCAGCGATTCTGAATTGTAAAAAAGCTTAAAATAATTAATTAAAAAAAAAAATGTAAAACAATCGAATATTGATAATTTTAATAAGAAATATTTTAATTTAGGTCTATAGAAAGTATAATCAATTGTTTAAAAATATTTGGACAAAAAAAAAAAAAATTAACAGTGATTCAATGCTTGAAAATATTTTTTGTCTAATAATTTAAGTAAACAAAGTCACTAAATTGTTATTTTGAAATAATTTATTGGGTTAGTATCCATTGAATTAGTGATATAATAATACTTTGAAATAATTGAAATAAATAAAAAATCAAAAAATTTGACCATTATTATTGCGTCACAATCGTAAGTACAATATTATAATTAAAGTTGATAAGAATAGTAATGTTTCTCGTTAACCACCGATTTTGTGATCCATGGTAATAGCATTGAAAAAACAAAAAAAAAAAAAAGTGAGATCATCTCTTTCTTAACTAATTAATAATAATTATGGAAAAAAACTAATACATGTTAGAGACAGAAAACAATGATAAATTATTAGTAAAGCACCGTAATGTATTATTAAAGTTAAGACAAATTATTGTATGATAATTGTATATATTGATAGTTGAATAAGTGAGATACAGAAATAAGTAGGATTTATGAGTCATTCATTGAACTATATTAAATGTTGAAGGAAGTATTTATAACAATTTTATTATAAATTACTTATTATTTAAAATGTAATTTCAAAATTTTATAAAATAATTGTAAACTAAATAGCTAATTCGACAAAAATTGTATTTGGTTCAGCAAAGTTGATTGGTAAAGAATATTGCTTATCTTATAAAACAGCAATTGTATTTCATTGTACAAAATTTAAGCAATAAGAAATTGCGGGACCAATTTTGATTTATTTTGATAATGTTAAATAATGTTATTGTATTTTTTTATACATCTTTCTACTAATTCTTGTAATAATAATAATGGTAATTATTATAATATTAATAATAGTTATAAAAATAATACTAACACTGATAATGATTATTATAACAATATGTTTTATAAATCTGTATAAATAGTTTTAATTTTTATACTTTTGTAAATATGCTAATTGCATTTTTCATTCTTTTGTGTATCGAATAAATATTAATAGATATTAATTGAGAAAAATTTTCTAAATATGATAAATAGTTGTAGATAATTGATCAATTGACAGGAACGTCTAAATATTGATTGCTATAGATATCAACTATTTTATCAACATTATAATGATCGATTTCCTAAAAAAAATTTATAAAATTAAAAGACTGTATATTCATGTTTTTCTACTGCTATCATATAACAATATTTACATAAAATTCATTTTTATTTACTATTTTCTTGCCAATATTATAATTAATTTTTGAAAACCAAATAATTTTCTAAAAATGAAATAATGCTATATAAAGAAAAGCAATCGTATGAGTCAATGTAGATTTGTATGACGATAATTATTTGTACAAATAAAACAGTTTGAGTAGTTTTTGTACCTGTTTGTAACATTTATAAAAATAAAAAAAGTAATTAATAATTATTGGTAATTATTGAATAAATTACATATAATACCTTTAAATGATAATTTCAAAAAATTAATTTTTCAGTCTAGAATTTTTCTTTTTTGATATCTAAACTTATTTTTGTAAATACACTTAATTTATCTAAAGAATTCAAGATTCAGGATATTACATGGAATTTCTAAAGATTATTTTAACATTTACATTATGATAATTTTTTAGATGATAAAATAAAAAAATTTTCGAAATTTCTTTACTGTATAAGTAAACATAAACATGTACAATTGTACATATGTATATGTAGCATCAAAATTGACATGAACGCCTCTGACGGTCATTTGTGTGGACTAATCAGTAAGTAATTGACAACGAGTCGAGTAGTGAATCAAGTGATTAAAAAATGGCATCCGCGACAACGTCGCACAATGAGGTTTCGCAACAATCTTCCGTCAACAAACTTATACGAGTTGGATATTATAAATTGGAGAAGACAATTGGCAAGGGTAATTTTGCCGTTGTTAAAATGGCCACTCACGTCGTTACTAAATCCAAGGTACACCACAGCCTTTTTTCTCATGGGTTCATTTTTCCTTTATCCGTACCTACCAATGAATTCAACTCATCACAATTTATCATTCTTTAGTTTTTTTCTTATATCATATTTACAACTTTTCAATACTATATATTTATTACATAATTTATTTATCAATTTTTTTTAATGAACTATTTTCCTTATCAATCAACTGTCACGGTGATTTTGCAAGTTTAACTACTCTAATCATTATTTTACTAATTTTTCATCATTTCTACACTTATATATTTCATTAACTAAAACGATTTTTCTACTATGCTGATTATTTGACTATTTATTTACTCGTTATTACCTATGTTCATCATCAAAACTACTATTACTCTCAATATACTTATTTATTAAATATTGTAACTATAATAATAATAATAATGATCATGTTAAGAATAGTAGTATTAATAATAACAATAAATACTTTAACTTTTATTATTATTTTTTTATCATTATTGAAAATTCTATAAAAATTACCGGAAGTGCTAAAAGATTTTGATGCGACAATTTGTCTGCGTCACATGATTGTTAGCTTTATTATAATTAGAAGATACTTATGTTCATCACTTTTTATTTTCCTTGATTAAATAGTACTATTTTATTTATTGAATGGTATTTTGGTTTTTACTTCACATAATTATTTTATATGAATAAAGTGATATTCGTTCTTGACATGAATACTTGTTTATTTTAGTTAGCAATAAAATTTTTCATCTCTATAAATACAAATGTAACTATTTACTTATATTTATATAAATAATTTTTCTGTTTTAGGTAGCCATTAAAATAATTGATAAAACCAAATTGAGTGAAGAAAATTTAGCTAAAATATTTAGAGAAGTTCACATAATGAAAAGGCTGAGACATCCCCACATTATCAGATTATATCAAGTAATGGAAACAGAAAAAATGATATACTTAGTGACGGAGTATGCCCCTGGAGGTGAAATATTTGATCATCTTGTTAGATATGGTAGAATGTCAGAACCAGAAGCAAGAAGAATTTTTAAACAAATTGTACAGGCAGTGCATTATCTCCACCAGCAAAGAGTAGTTCATAGAGATTTAAAGGTTTTTAAAATAATTTTATTACTATCAATGTATACAATTTATGATTAATTATTTATGTGATTGGAATACTTCTAGGCTGAGAATTTATTACTTGATGCTGACAATAATATTAAACTTGCTGATTTTGGATTTAGTAATGAATACACGCCTGGCATGCCTCTCAGTACTTGGTGTGGATCACCACCTTACGCGGCACCCGAAATATTTGAAGGAAAACATTACGATGGACCACGCTCTGATATTTGGGTAAATATATTGATATTAATAATTTTCTGATACATGGATAATTAATATATATATATTTATGTGTATTCCTTACAGAGTTTAGGAGTTGTTTTATACGTTTTAGTTTGTGGAGCATTGCCATTTGATGGCCCTACAATGCAATTGTTACGTTCAGTTGTAATTTCAGGAAAATTTCGGATACCATTTTTTATGTCTGCAGGTAAATATTTCAAAATTTCTTCACTTTAATAGTTTTCATTTGATTAAATCATTTGATATCATTTTTCAGAGTGTGAGAAATTAATAAGGCATATGTTAGTCGTGGAACCAGAACGACGACTTAGTATAACACAAATTCTTGCACATCCGTGGATGGGTGGAGATGGAGTTACGGAATTGGAACCCGGAGGGTTAGTATAAAATAATATTAATCATAAAATATAATTTAGTAAATAATCGTAAAAATTAATTTACGTAAATATTTGTTGTTAGATGTACAGAATTAACACATCCGCCACCTTTGAATCAAGTAGTTATAGAGAACATGTTGAGATTACCAGGACTTAGTGCGGAAACACTACTCAAGTCTGTTCAAGGAAATGCCTTCGATCATGTTTCAGCGATATATCACTTGCTTGCAGACCGTATCGAATCAACAATGTCTAGTTTACCAAGTATAAACAATTTCCCTGGAGATTACATGCCTGATGGTGCTCATCAACTGGAAAAATTCGGCGAAACAGAACAAGATGTTGATGTTGAAAGAGCAGAAAAAGGACTTTATTTACCTTTGGGAACATCATATCATGCGACGAGAAGACATACCGTTGGACCAGGTGATACAGCTCATCAGCCAACATCTCCATATCCGTATGCTTGTAATTATTCACCTGGTTATCCAACTTTTGGATTGTTACCTATTATGCAGTGTAATACTGATGGTCAAGTGTTACCACAAACAAATCTACCGTTAAATCTTCCACTCGTTCAACATCAACCACCACAAAATTTCCAAATTAAAGATCAACATTTATTAAAACCACCACCAGTCATGGGTGCCAGTAATTATCTTTTATTATCAATTTGAAATTAATTATAGTTAGTATGAAAATAAATTTGTAAAATACATTAATTTTACAGCAAGTAGTTTTGGTAGAAGAGCATCAGATGGTGGTGCAAATCTCCATGTTTTTTATCAACAACATCATGGTAGTAGTAGTGGGAACGGAGAAGAAGGTGGATGGAGTCATCCTGGCAGTAGAGAACATCTACAATCTGTAAAAAAAAATTACATAGTAGTGAATGAATGACTTTCAATAATTGATAATAAATAGTTAATATAATTTAATTTTTGTACAGAGTGGTAGCCCATCACTTGGACAGTGTTCTCAAACATTAAGTGTTAGTGGAAGTCCTGATAGCAATGGTGGAGGTAGTGCGAGTTCAACAAGTGGAAGTGATCGAAGAAGACGTTCTGGTCTTACAGCTGTGATGCAACGACCAGGTAAACCCTTCGTTATATTTGTATAATAATGCACTGTTGTTATTGTCTATTCCAATTGTGTCACATTGTTTTACTAAAATTTATGTTACAAAAAACACGAAAATCCTTAATGAATCCAGAGAAAGGATGAAATTGAGTTCATTTAAATATTTTCACTGTTTGGTTGTTGTTAGTATTGTATTATTTTTTCGAATTTTTTTTAAATTTATGTACATAAAGCAGTCATTTATTATAAATCTCGTGGTTGACCCTTTATAGAATACAATCATATTAGTTAAATTCATGTTTTTTCTGATCTTTTAAATATTTCATTTGAATTATTTACTGAAAGATTATTATTAAATTAGATCAGTTGATACATTTTTTTAAAATATGAGTTCTAATGAATTTTTCAGTTTGTTGTGTTTTTATTTATGTTTTTGTTTTGTTTTTTGTTGTTTATTTTATTTGATTTTGCATGGTTTTGTTGTACCGGCTGCACTACCATTCCCTGTTGGTTGGTAAACAACTGCATGTAGTAATAAACCCAGAATTGGTGATGGAAGTGGAAGCTAGGATGAATAGAGCATATGTGCCATCAAGATTGCTGCCTTGTCACTTACGGGATTTCCCACCACGTTCCCTTCACTTGAGGAAAAGCTCACTATATCCTGCAGCAGTTGGTAATTTGAGCACTTTTGTGATTTAGTTATTAGCAAATTCTTGAGTACCAATGCTTGTTTATGAATGTTTATGGTCTCAGGATAAACATGGTACATGTTCTTCAATCACATTGAAAGTCTTTAGCCGCTGTTTATGACTTTGATAAAATTCATAGCAGGCGGTAGAGACTCGTACAAAGAACCAAGCGCACACGTCACCACGGAGCGATATTCCCCGGTTCGGAGAGCATCGGAAGGGTCATGCCCACCAGGTCCTGGCATCCAGGCGCTTCAACAAGAGTACCAACAACTTCAAAGACTGGCATCCCCTTCACACAGTCCGGCAAGTATACCTGGATCTCCGGTGCACGAAAGAGGAGTTGCGGCCATCACTCAGGGTAAGAATTAATTTTATTAATAAAATAATAATTAAAAGAAAAATAATTTAAGTAGATGACGATTTTTTGTGATAATTATTTTCTAATGTATAATTTTTGAAGTAGATGAATTAATACTTTGACATTTTTTTTCTAATTTTTTTAAATTGTGTTCATTTATTATTCAGGACTTAGTGGTTTAACAACGGCGACAGTACCAGGTAGCATTATACACGGAACCCCAACCCAGGCACCAGCAACACCTTTAGATCTAAGTCCTTTAAGACATCACAGATCTCCAGCAACTACTCCTGTTAGTTATTCCCCAAGTAATAGTCCCGCTTTGGACATGATACAAGAAGAGCATCCAGTCGATATTACCAGAGTAAGAATTTTTTATTCTATTTTAGTTGTAATGAAAGTTATTAGTAGAGTGACTATTATTGTTACAGTCAGATGGATGTATAATAATAAATAAGGCAGTGGATAATAATGAATGTTAAACAGGTACCACCGCAAATATCCGTAACCGACGTTTTAGGGGAACAAGTAACACTGGTGGGATGTCCGTTATCACCTTCACCATCACTCGACTCACTTGAAGATAATATTTCGCAGTACAATCCTCTACCGAGTTTTATAATATCAGAACCATGTGATCCATCGCGGCCGAGCATCACTCGTGGGATTGGACGGCCATTAAATTCACCGGTGCCTACTGAAGTGGAAGTTACTTTATCAAATGAATCAAGCCGACTGAATTCAGAAACTATACTTGGTCGAGTTAAACAGATTATTGATGCACGAGCACCTCCAAAGGGTTTTATATTTTCGCGAGAAGAAGTTGAAGGTAGTGGACTTAGTCTTGAATATCCAGGTGGTGTACAAATAGAACTAAGAGTTTGTGAATCAGAAGAAAGGGAAGTTAAAGGAATTAAAATGCGACGAATTAGTGGAGATCAATTGCAATATAGTCAACTTTGTGAGCAATTAATCTCATGTATTACCGTTTGACAACAATTCATTGAGATAAATAACAAAAATATTCTCATAATTATTGTTATGTGTAACATTTACAGATGAATATACTTAGATTATTACATTCCGGGTGCCTCGAAAACACCTATCTACGTACAGTATTGCATTACGCATGCTGCATATATACGTGTGGTACGTTAGACATTATCTTGTTTCACGTCTATCATATTCGTATGTGCAACTTTAAATATATAAATACACATTACAAATATTCTACCAATTTTATATTATTATTATGTTCTTTTTCTAATCTAATTGTGCTGAAGACTTGATTATTATTACTATTGAAAAATATTTAGATTATTTAATATGTAAATTAAATGACGTGCCATGTCATTTTCCAACTCGATAATTATTATTTGGACCTATTTCCGTGTAAACCAAAGTTATCAAGTTCTAAATAAGAGGGGGGAAGGGGAAAAAGTATAACTGATGATCTTTCATAATCACAAAACCTCAATTGATGATAAATTAAAGATACTCCTTACGTGAGAATAATATCATCAATTCAATAAACTATTATTATCTCAATGATATATCAATAAATATGGTTTACTCTTATTTCTAGGTTGTAATATTATTTTATTCATGCAAATAGTTGACTGTAGTTGTAAATATGTTGTGATGGAAAAAGGATAAGAAAAACAAAAAAATAATTTATGATGTAAGAAATTCTATTGTGCTTTTAACATTATCTATCATTACAATGTTGTTATGTTACAATCCATATCATTTATAATTTTTGGAACTTACCAATGTATAAAAAAATATTACAATTAATTTAATTTTTTACCTTACATTACTGAGAAATGTATTGAAGGCAAAAAATGAATATACATTCCACAATCATTTTGTTTTATATAATGTTTGAGAAAACAATCATAAAATGTTATATAATTTACATTTATAATAATGTAACTGAAAATGTAAAGAACATTTCTTCATCAAAATTACAATTGTGTTAAAACCTACTATTTTATTAAATCATATGATTTAATAAAAGAATTTGATCAATTTATGATAATTCATATAATCATTGGATACATTGTAACCCATTGAAGAAAGTGTTCCAATAATTGTTCTTTAAAGGACTTGGTATTATTGAACATCATTCATTAATTATTGTATTGAGATAGTGATGAATAGAAATAAGTTTAGATCAATGAAGTACGCACAAACAAAGTGCATATCGTGAGTATATATACACGATGTAATAATAGATTAGACAAAAAATGTGAAATGCATGAAAATCTTTTTTTAAATGTACATATGTGAGAGTGTTAGCATATAGGTACTTGATAATTAAACGTGTGAGTAAATAAACACGTTTGTTAACAAGTACCATACAGTGAGATATGCTATGTATATTGCAAAACCAACACAAAAAAATTATTATTATATATAGATAGAGAACAGATAGTATTTTTTGCTGTCAATTCTTCAATTAAGACTGTGATTTTTAAAAAAATTTTAGTAATATTTAGATCTTGTAATTAATACGTACATTAATTGATTATGAAAAAATAAATTTAGAAAAAAAAAGTTGTTCACATTCTTGGATTTATTAAGATATTTTATCAAATAATTATTGTATTTATTTATGTAACTATACATTTAGAATAATTTTCCATGCATCATAAGTAGAAATTAAAACATTACCAACATGTCCCATCCAATTAGTATGTACGGATTTTCTTTTTTCATCTATTAAAAATAATTAAAAATAGATCAGACGAATTAGGATTTTTTATGAATATAAAGCTCGTTTAATATTTCTTAAAAATGGGCTGAAATTTTGTTAATATTTATGTATTAACTTACTTTCTAATTATACAGTCACCTCTTCACCTAAGTGCTGTTTTACAATACTCAGAAAAAAAAGAACTACATGTGATCATACTCGATTATGTATGACTAAGCTTGTACATGTATCAAATTTGTTTATAGCATTTATCTCTAGTATCATGTATTATTGTACATGATAATGCATGTTTTCAAAAATGATCTTTTATACACGATTATATATAATAATGTACGATCATGTGTTAATCGTTGATATATGGTCATATATTATTATTTATTCAATTTTTTTATAGAATCAAGTCGGATAAATTTAATACCTAAATGATTAGAACATTAATAAAAAAATAAACTTTAGAAGATATCTTATGCGTCGTTTGAGAAGATTTTTAAAATGTTTTATTTGGGTATCAAAAAAATATACCATTTTAAAGGAATAAAAGATATTGTAATTTATAAATTAAGACTATAGCTTTTGATTCTTTTGATTAATACTTGAGAGTTTGTTAATTTTTAGTTAAAAACATTCGTTTTACAATTTTTACTCAATTAATAATAAAAATAATTCTTTCAATACTTAATGATATTGAGGTGGATTCGAATCTAGAACTTCCACAAATCCTGTGCACTACTTCTGCATCAGCCGATCAATTTTAAAATTAATATTGCGAATCGTGTTGGAAACACTGCAGCTATTTACTAAAATCTTTATCCAATAATCTTACATAAACTTGGACCAGTGATTAGATTAGCGATAAAGGTATCCAATGAATCGGGAACATCACAGTCATCTTTTGAAAAATATTTAGAATTTATTTTGTTTGGCTTTTTAGTGGTTACATTTAATATTTATTTACGAAGAGTGTAAGCAACTTCTCGATGTTGGCATTTTGAGATGACGAAATAATGAATTACTCTGCTGAATTTTGGTCCATTTCTGCGTCTATTTTGTAGACTACTTTTCGACAGTATTGAAATCAAAGCTCCATTACTAATTCGATTAGAAGAACTTTATAATATTAACAATATCAACAAATAAGAAAATGTTTTGTTGTTTCAAAATTCCTCCCTCTGGGAAGGAAGATTTTTTTCTTAGAAAATAAAGTAATCTTTTCATCAGAGCTAGTAGACTGATTACAAATAAAACACTTCATTAGGAAATAACACTATAACAATAAAGTATATAAATTCAATGCAGTTATTTGAATTCCTTGTAAATAAATCAATATAAGACTGACGGCATATTCAGATATTTCAACCTACCCTAATACACTAGTAGCCAGTCCTGACGTAAGAATTTTCGTCAGACTCACGTATGTCTATTTCCACTTTGCATCAGATTACTATTCACTGTTTGACGTTAAATTCCCTGATGAAAATTTTACGATTGTCTGCTTCAGAAAAAGAGTAAAAAACAAACTTAGGTCGACATAAGTAAGTCTGCTGTCAGGATTACTAGATAGTTTTCAGGATGTCATACCAAGATATTTTCAAAGAGCACATCAGAACAAGCAAAATAAAAAAATTCCAGTATCATTTAGATCTTGCAGTTAATATGTACATTATTTATTTATTGAATATATTACTAAGTTTACTAAAATATTCTATTAAATAATAATTTTATTTATTTGTATAATAATATATTTAGACAAATTTTTAAACCTTTTCTTTAAATACACTTTTATAGTTTACTTATTCAAGTTATTAAAATTTCATTTTTACAGAAAATGTCCTGTCATTTCAAATTGCTCGTATAAAAAATAATGACGTTATTAAGAGGTATTTTGTTTCTATCTGAGTAATTAAATACATTATTATATACTTTAATTACATTTTTTTATGCATCATAAGTAGAAGCTGAAACATTACCACCACGTCCTGTCCAGTTGGTATGTACGAATTTACCTTCTTGGCCCATCAATTCATAAGTATGTGCTCCGAAATAATCTCTCATTGCTTGCAATAAATTAGCAGGTGATAAATTACAAGTAATACCATCATAGTAATCTCGTGCTGATGAAAAAGTTGGTGTAGAGATACGTTGTTGAAGAGCCATTTGTAGAGTAGCTATTAAACTGTCCTGGCAATCATGCATTACTTTGATGAAAAAATCATCAAGTAGAAGATCAGATAAATTTGGATTTTTGTCGAAAGCTTGTTTAATATTTCCCAAGAATGCACTGAAATTAATATAAAATTTTGATTTTTTCTTTATTGTATGATGTTGTATGACATTAATGTATTAACTTACCTTCTAATTATGCAACCACCTCTCCACATGAGTGCTATTCCACCATAATTAAGATTCCAATTATGTTCTTGAGCAGCTTGCTTGAGAAGCATAAATCCCTGAGCATAAGAAATTATTTTAGCAGCATAAAGTGCTTTCCGCAAGTGTTCTAACGCTTGTTTTTTATCTCCACTAAATGGTTTAATATTTTTCTTATGAATTTTACTTGCTTCAACACGATGATTTTTTAGTGCAGACATAAATCTAGCAAATACTGAATTTGCAATGAGAGTCACTGGTACACCGTATTCAAGGGCTGCATTAACAGTCCATTTACCTGTACCTTTTTGACCTGCAGTGTCTCGTATTCTTTCAAGTAAATATCCTTTATCATTTTTATACCTCAGAATATCTCTCGTAATCTCGATAAGAAATGATTTCAAATCTCCTTTATTCCATTCATCGAAAACATTACTCATTTCCTCAGGATTTAAACCAAGACCATCTCTCATTATATGATAAGCTTCACAAATTAATTGCATATCGCCATATTCAATCCCATTATGAACCATTTTAACAAAATGACCAGCACCAGTTTCTCCAACCCAATCACAGCAAGGTTCTCCATCAGCTTTAGCACTAATTGCTTGGAAAATATTTTTTATATGCGGCCAAGCTCGAGGATTTCCTCCAGGCATCAAAGATGGTCCATACCTTGCACCTTCTTCTCCACCACTCACACCACTACCAACAAATAGGATGCCTTTTTTTTCTAATTCTACAACTCTACGTGTAGTATCATGGTAATCGGAATTGCCTCCATCAATGATTATATCTCCCGATGATAAATGAGGCACGAGTTTATTTATAAATTCATCAACAGCAGAACCAGCTGTAAAGTTATTACTTATACTATTTTTTGTTATTTTTTTTTAAATAAAATTATTTTTTGTGAAAAAAACAAACTACCTTTTACGAGTAACATAACTCGTTTGGGTTTTTTCAACGTTCGCACCATTTCTTCAAGACTGAAGGCTCCAATTATTTGAGTGCCCTTGGCTTCATTTTCAATAAATGATTTTACTTTTTCTGTTGTACGATTGTAGGCACAAACTTTGAATCCATGATCATTCATGTTTAAAATTAAATTTTGACCCATTACAGCCAGTCCAATTAGACCAATATCTGCTACTCTAAAATCATCAAATAAATATGTACAATTAGAATTTCTATTATTTAAACATGGTTAGGTCTGATATTGTTTTTTATTTATATATTAGGAAGAAAATAGTTGAAAAATATTGTAGTGACTCAACAAATTATTCAGCAGTTTATACAATTTCAAGAAGGAATGCTATAAGTAAGAGAAAATTGATTTCAAATTATGTATACTTACTCCGTATTCATGTTGATAGTTTTTTATATCAATTGTTATAAACAAAATTCCTAATTTTTAACAGAATGTAATAATTATGATTCTTGAATGAACTGCAACAAGTGGTCACTGTGACGTGTTTATTACACAGAAAATATTATCTTATATGTACGCACCCATACTACTCCATTTCTTACGCTTAACATTTAATCAGCTGACATTTTTTAACCAATCACGATGATGCTTATCCAATAGACTTCATCGGTTTCAATGTCAATGTATACCTAGTTCAGAGGTAAGCTGTACTTTTTTTCCTATAATTATGATGATTATGATTGAATAGTTTTCATGATTGGGTGTCACATAATGCGCAACTCTTTCTTTCCTTGATATAGTGTATTTTAAAAATATTATGTCAATAAAAAATAATAAATATAAAAACAATCAAATACACAAATACATCACAAAACACTTTTCTAATAATAATTCATTTTTAAAATTTGATATTAAACAAATGACAAATTTGCTTTATTGATTAGAATATATTTCATTTTAATTATTGACAGTTTTATAGATTTATGTCATTTATCTTGAAAGATGATCATAATCAATTATTAATTATTAAGAGAATATAATGGTTTGTGTTAAAAAAAAACACCATTTTCATGAATTTCAAAATTGTTTCATAATATTTCATAACATATTTTTCTCCAAAAGTAAGCCTACCAACCGCCTCAAATTTCCATCGTGAATGTGAACAAACATGTAGTAGTTGGCAGGCTTACTTGATTGCAATAAAACCTAGTGAAATTCACCCTTAGTTACTTTCAAAGCAAAGATAAGTACCACCTATTCAGAATTTTCATTAGTGGACTCAACAATCATCTGTTGATAATATTTGATTTATTACCATCAGTAAATATTTACTGATTAAAATACAAAAAAAAAACAAAAATATGAAACAACTTTGAAATACCTGAAAATTATACTTTTTGGCTGGCCCGAAAAGGAGCGGGCGGTAGAGGTAGCAAGGGCCCAGTGGAGGTAGGTGCTCCTGGGGAGCTGGTGAAGGCACTGGGGGACAAGTAGATACACAAAAGGTTCATCGGCTTCTGGGTAGAGGCCTCAGGAATGAGGCACACCAGGATGTTCATTAAAGGACTTGCGGTCTAATAATGGGTACAGCGTCAGCTCGACAAGCCATGGATAGCAGGTTCGATTCCCAGCCAGGACAGAGTTATTTATATGATTTTTCTTGGGCTCTATAAAGTGATCTAGCACATCATCCTCTACCTTCTCTCAAAGCCGAAGAGTTAGTTCATCAATTTCCGAGCGATCTATCGTTACAGTCCCTGTCGTATTAAAACGATTTGCTGTTCTCCAAATTCAAACAATAAAACAATTGAGATGTTTTTAACTTTCGTATTTATTAACCTTGACTTGTAGATATCATTATTTCCATTTTTATATTAAATTTTGACGCAGACTTTTTTTATCGAATAAAAAATTGAAATTATAGATGATGATAACCTTCGGAGATAGTGAAACCACGTGGGGAACAATTAAGATTGAACAAAGAATATTATCGATATTTTACTGTATTTTTTTCATAAATAATTGTTTTTTATATCAATATTGAAGTACTTTCCACCTGTCCTGATGGCAATCTAAACATTCACAGACATTATTAAACATCAAAAATAACATCGAAACCTATTCTCCAACAGCTGTCAATAAAGCTGTATTTCTATTTCATAATTAAGACGAGTAATTATTATTTTCATCGATACAATTCATATAAATAAAATTAGAGTGTCCGCCTGTAATATTGAAAAATTGGATAGAGTTCTAATTAGAAGACACCTTCAAAAATGAATCATTTATTCTAGGTTACACTAATATTATAGATAAATTTATTTAGGCTGTATGAGGAACGGTGTAGATCCAAGATCAACACGCTAGACGTGTTTCTCCCTGATAGAGTAGCCAGCTTAGCTGGAAAGTCCGGATTCAGCCTCTGGTCTCGACAGAAATCATGTGTCATGAAATAATTTTATACCTAAGTATTGCATTTGAATAAAATCAATTGTATTTATCAACATCAGATAAATTCATTTTTATTTAAAATTGTTTTGTATTTTTTTACACAAATTAAAGACAATTCATACAAAAAATCGTTATAAACAAAAAAATTTCGCTTTTTTTCATGTTACATGAATGGTAACTTTTTAGTAATAAAAAAAAATTCTCTAAAAAGAACTTAAATATCTCGCATAGATTTTTTGCAATTGTTCATAACAAATTCAATTGCTATAAACAATTCAAATAAACAAAAAGCTGCTTATAATCATCTTCCAGACAACCCCCTCTTCATGTCTGCAAAGATTGGTCACAATCGAATTAGCCACCTTGGAGATTAGCGCGGACAGACAGACACCAGAAATGTATGTAGTACTATAAATAATCACAAAAAAATATTTGGTAATTTGATGTACAAAAACTTGGCGTGACGTACAGCCTGATTGAAATTTAAATGATCGTTTCTTAATTTACTGAAAAATTTTTCCATTGCTCGATAATTAATCGAATAAAAATTAATATAAATACAAACGGCCTTAGAACGACTATATAATTCGCATTGAAACTTAACGTAACTTATCTTATTGCATGAATTGATTTTGGTAATTAATATTCTAAAGAATAAGTTTTAAAAAATATTATAGAACACTGTTTATTACTTCTGATAGAAATCTACGTATTATATTCTTTTTCTCCAAGCAATTAATGGATTCAATTCAATAATAAATACATATGTTCTCAAAGTATTTTTAAGCTTTAGACAAGGCACCACAAGGTGTTTTCTTTTTTCATCCGATGGAATCTGGCATTGGTCGCCAGTGTATTAAACAGGTTGTGCCGGTAGTCCAACCTGATATAAATTCAGCGTCTGATTCAAGTTGATCATTTACGAATAATCATCCGCCTTCGAACGAATCTTATATATTCGCGTAAGTATATTCGCGTCTAGCGATCGTCTTTTCTCTTGTTACCGCTTGAATCGCAATATTAATACTTACTGACGTTTATTCATTTTTTTTTTACCTATTTCTTAGTTTCAAACACTTAAATGAGCTAAAATCTCAGATAATAATTTCATCTGTTATTATTTCAGGGTACAAATTGCGACTCATTGTTTGTTAGCTCAGTCGATTTTGATCAGTATCAGAGTCCTGTAAAATACATAGTTTTATATGCCATCATCATGGCGCGGGCTCTACTATCAATGGTATTATTGGCAATGACACGGGATTTTGATCATAATTTAAGTTTGAGAAACAATTATAGCATCGGTAGAGGAAATTCCAACATCAATTATACGAAAATTATAAATTTCTGGGAGGAACATAAAAATGAATTCATTTTACATGATGAACATGAAGAAGTCGTATTGGTGATGGGGAATACAGGTGCAGGGAAAACAACTGTAATCTCGGCTCTAGTTGGTCGCAAATTAAAATCAATCAGGCAAGATGGATATTTCGTAATTGTTGATGAAGATGGAAAAATTGGGAATGGTACATCCTCACGAACACTGATCCCAGAATTAATGACTGACTTTAAAAGAAATGTGACATACGTTGATTGTGCGGGATTTCGAGATAATCGAGATGTCGAGCATGAAATTTCGTCAGTATATTTCCAAAACATTCTCATGAATCAAGTGAAGCGAATAAAACTCACGTTAATAATTAATTATGATTCATTGAAGATAAATGGCAATAAAAATGATTTTGACGATTTAATGGAGCACATAGGTGAGTTTATCAAAGACATTCCGAAGTTTCATAATGGTATAGCTATAGTAGCGACAAAAGTAGAAAATTTGTACGAAATGACTGATAACGGGACGTTAATTTTGGTGAATGACGATCAGTCGGTTCTAAAAGGGATAGCCAATTTTTTACAAAAGAAAAAAGAAACTTACATTGATAAAGCAGAAAATTCTGAAAAGTACAGAATGTTTGCGGGTTTAATTGACGTTTTGTTGGAGAGTAAAAACGATTCATACACAAGAATTACTCTTTTTAGACAGCCAACACGTACAGGATTATTGGAAAATATTCCAGAGAGTAGGAATCAAATTAATAACATTGGTAACATGATAGTAAATAATCTTTGTTATGTTAAATCGCAAAAAAGCGATTTCGGTTTCGCCTTGTCTAAATCATTGAAAAGCACTGTTGATGAAATTGTTGACGATATATTTAGAGATGCTCTAACAAATCGCTTGAAAACAATGGGCAATGAAACTCTTACATTCTATTTGCAAATGGAAGAAGAATACAACGACATCGAAATGTTACAAGAACGAGTTACACGCGCTTACAATACTTTTTCACAAGTAGACGTTGATGAACCACTGGCATTTTTCAAAGAATATTTGAGTGCCGCCAATATACTAAATATACCTTTATCATTAACTAACATAGATATTATTTCTGATGATATTGAAAAATTGTATTTTTTCACAACTATATCGAATAGCAATGAAGATACACACATGTTATTGTTGAAAAATGACATGCAAAATATCGTAGATTCAATAGAACAAATGAAAGATTATTACGACTTTTTAAATAACGTGCATGAAAACTTAGCTGCCTACAAATCACAAAATTTGAGAAATGATACACGTATCACTAATATTATAACATCATGTACGAGTTCAACAAATTCAGTCGTACAAAATATCATGGATTTGGAAAATATTGTAAATGAAATAGGAAGTAATAATACTTATCAAAAAATTAAAACTTTGACACTCAATCGGTTCCAATTGAAGCATTTGAAAGATGTATTTCGTTCCTTTACCACCAAACTAGATATCTCGTGTGTGTCATCATCAAAGCAAATGGTCGTCAAGGGGTATAATATCAGAATAAGTGACGTGGTAAAAATGGATTGCTGGACGAACGCGAAAATCGTACAGATCTTTGCATTAAACAAAGTTTTCATAGACAGTACATTAAATAAGACAGGTGCTGAAATGCAACTATCTCTCATTGCACCTACTTGGGAAGTTGTCGGCGGACCGAAGATAATTTTGGACGGAAAAGCTGGAGAACCTCATGAAAAAGAATCAGCAAAATCATCCTCTTTTAACTCTGAAAATGGAGCGAACGGCTTACCTGGTCATCCGGGTGGTCCCGCTGGACACTTTTTTGGTGTCGGTAAACATTTCATAAATTCAGAATACTTGGAAATATATACAAATGGTGGGATAGGAGGACCAGGGCAACACGGTGGAAATGGTAAAATATTCAACGATTGAATCAATTTTTCGATCAATCTCTTTCCTTTCTTTCCTTCAGGTGCAGATGGAATCCCTGGTGAAGCTTTATCGGACTTGTTTTTTGAGATAAAGCGGCAACCCAACGATGTAAAAAATTACTTGATCAACAATAAATTCGAGCACAAGATGATTAGGATTGAGTATACACCAAATCCTCATCATATAATATCTAGGTACGCTATAGATGTTATAGGAAAACTTGCAATTGAGCCGAGTAATGGAGGTTTGTAAAAATGTTAAAGAATTTTTCTGTCACCATAAAATTGAAGATACAAGGCAAAAAACTCCATGATTAGTATATTGTCAATATATAGATGTACTCCCTATGTCTTTTTTTTCTGGTGACAGTCTATTTATTTACGTATTAATTTTGAACACGAAAAATCAGGACATAAGCTTTTATGCTTCAGGAAATGGTGGTACTGGTGGCAAAGGAGGATATCCGGGTAAAATTATCATAAATAGCTTGGGAAAGTCAGTTAATATAAAACTATCAAATGATTCAGGTACACAAAATATTATCGTTACATATTTTATGTAAGTGAAAAACTGATTATTATATTAATTTTGTAACGTTCAATTTCAGGTCACATTGGACGCGAAGGACAAGGTGGACATGGTGGAAAAAAAACATCAGAAGGTAAACGGGTAAAATTTAAGTACCTTTATCAAGTTTTCACTCCTCCTTTTCCGTGGAAAGCGGAATATTACGAGTAAGAATTATTTTTCATGTAATTTCAAAAAGTATATAACCATTAGATCGAATTTTACTTTTCTTTACACTCTTTATTTGTTTTGCAGTATTGAATGGTCTGACGGTGCCGAAGTTCCATCAGGTAAAGATGGAATTCCTGGAATCAATGATGACGGCCAGAAATTTCCGACTAAGACATCTGTACCGAATTTCTATTCAGCTATTAATGATTTTAAAGATTTCGTGAGGATGAATTTATTTGAAAATATCATGGAATCAAAATTAAAATCTTTTATATACGAATTTGAAAATGATAACAACACTAAAGCACAGTATTCTACACTCGCTTATGTCAAAGAATTTGCAGGATTAGAAAGTCAATTTCTAGAATTGAGAAACAAGATTAATTTAATACCATTCTACAATTCTGTACTTACTCGTATTGAAGAATATGCTAAATCTGAACTAAATTTGGAAAATAAGAAAGTCCTTAATTACATATATACTGCAGCTTTAACCGAAGTCTTTACACTCAAGAAGAAAAGAAAAGGCCAGACTGTGGTTGATTTGTACAGATATTTAAACACAATTGAAACACATGTAAAGGAAATCCGTGAAGCTCAGCAATTACAAATTGTTCAACAGTACCGGGATGAATACAAAGATATTCTCAATAATAAAATTCGAGAAGCCGAAGGTTTTATACAAAACCAAATTGAACCTGAAATTGATAAACGATGGAATGAATCAGACAGTCAAATACAGGCAATAATTGATGAAATAAACAAAAATATAAACTCTACCAAAGATGCACTGGAATTACTCGAAAAAGATAAATCAAAAATTAATCACATTATGCAAATGCGTGCTATGTTTCTACCACTGAAACTCGTCGGCGTTGCTCTAAGTTTTTTCGGACCTATTGGAGCTGGGATAGGTACTGTAGTCACAGGTGCAGCATCAATCGCTGAAGGATTGGTGGTTGACAAAGTTCCCGGTCAACGACCGGAGATACCTTCCATAGATCCACATTTAAAGGCCATGTCTCGAGTAACTAAAATCTTGGACGATAGAAACAAACAATCAGGTGTTCAGCTGACTCGAGTTACACGAAGTTTAGAAGAATTCGTGGATGATTTATCGGTATCAAGGGAAGAGAAAATGAAAAAACGTCGAATTATATTCAAGCTGAGGACACAACTTCAAGAAGCCATGTTCAGAAAAGCAGAATCTATATCAGACGTAATTTCTAAACAAAACGATATTGACAAGATTAGGGAACAATTAGCTGATTTCACAAAGTCAGAAAAAGATAGTCTACAAAAACAAGAAGAAGAGGGTAAGGATGATAAAGATGAGGAAAAGAAAGCACGTGAGAAATCTCTCCGCCAGATAAAAAATGTAAAAATAATTATAGACAGCGTAAAAGTTATTGTCGATTTTGCGTCGCAAATCAAAAATGATGAAGCCATGATGAGTCTTCTTGATAAACAAATGTCTAAATATTACAAACAAATAGAAGATTTGCAGGAAATGGAACAGCAAGTTTACGACATAATACTACCCGATTTTCGTAAAATTGAAGAGACAATAAACGAAATTAGAAATTCAGCAAACGGATCATCACATGCCCAATTAGATATTTCCAAATGGACTGTTCGATCAACTTTAAGGGATGTCAAATCATTGCTGCAAAAATTCACTCAGAAGATGTCGTTCGAAATTCAAAGTGATTTAATGCGTTATATTGATAAAATAGACGAAGGTGTTTCCATACTTATTGATATTTACGACCGCATTGATTCCTACGCAGATAGTGTTGCACAAGCTGAATATATGGCGAATATTGTATCCGCATCAATGACTGACATTCATATAACTAATTCCGAACTGAGCAATGCTGTAACTAATCTGAGGTTGATAATTCAATCAAATATACTACTAGAAAAATATGGAATTGCATTACATGCATTCAAGCAACATTATTTTCCATTTGCCGCTCGAGTATTGCAAAAGTTTGAATTGCCTACTGTTATGCAACTCAATGACACTGAATCAGTACGATCTAATGTCATTGACAGAATCCGGGATATGAAGAATCACATAGACGAAAGTGAGGCGATGGTAGGTGAATACAGCAAATATATTCACGAAAAGAAGATATTCAATAGCAACACTACTGGTTCTTCACCATTTTATGTGTGGAAATATGACACAATCAAGAATGAAGTTCAGCAATTGCTAAACGGATCGGAGATTCTACTGAAGGCAGATATATCAAAAGGACCGTTCTACAATTCCATAAAATATAACGATATTGGAGTAAATTTAAAATTAAGAAACAGTACCCTGCAAAACAATCTGAATACGTTGCTTCAAAACTTTGCGCTGACCATGACTATGATCGGCAATTTTTACTATCGATGTGCAGAGCGCTACTACTTTATTTCATTTAATGACGATATTACCATCTCCTATACTCTTACCCAAGACGAAAACAAAAATTGGCTCGACCCTAACAAGGTATATACGACAATTCTTAAAAGCCACACCTTCCTTAGTCCCTATGTAATGTGGAGTATCAAATTAAACAACGTGACCGATTCTGTATCGTTCGATCGTTTGAATGCATATGCAAACGAGACGATCGACATAGAGTTGTTCGGTCGGGGTTATTACATCGAGCAGAATGCTAATTTCAATTTCGAAGTTTGCAAAGACTATTTAAATAAATTTTACGATGTAGAAGTTATCGCTAAAGAACTTCCAAATTTTTTCTGATGTTCAGCGCAAGATACAAATGATTGTCAAGTTTATAAAAATATTGTACATGTTATGAATAAATACTCGATGCATATAAACCTTAACTTTTTTTCTTTCTATAAATATTTTAAGTGTATTTAAAATAATTAATCTAAAAAATGGACAAATAATTGCAAATTGTATAAAAATCTAAAAGACTATTTCATGAATTATCATGTTTCACTTTATCTGAATTTATTTTATCATAGCAAAAATAATGTTGTAATTAAGATTTATTTTATGTGTGTTGTCTTTTTTTTATGTGATTATTTTTTAAATGTTTTAATTTTTAATGCAACACATTCTACCTTTTTTTTGTCAATTTCTTAATTTTTTCGATTATCTTTCAATTGTCTTTGATTTTATAAAAAAATTACATATAAATTTCAAATAAAATGCAATCATCTAACTTTGGTAAATATATTTTAATTTAATTTAAATGCAATACTTGGCGTATAATTATTTCACAACTTTTCGTAATTTGTCAAATTATACATATTTACAAAATAAGAATTTAAGGACAAAAATTATCATTTTCGTCATTTTGCAAGTTAAAAAAAAATCGTAGCGTTACAACGCATACGGAAACTGTACTCTCCCCATTCATTTCATATTTTGGCGCCTTAATAACCTTGATGTCTCGCTTACCAACTTAATTTTGTAACAACTTTATAGTGGTACTAACTTTATAGAAAAGTCGCAGATTTGAGTAAAGTAAATTTCTTTATTTTTTAATTCTTGAGTAATAAGGTGTGGCTAATTATTTCGTTCTTTTTTAAATACCAAATTGTAGAAAATAAAGCACTATACGAAACAAATGCTGTTCATTTTTTTTTAGTTTTTTGAGGTTATACATGCAATTTCCTATACTATCCTATACCAAATTGAGACACAATTTATGTCACGTAGTATAGCACTTACTGACATAAACAGCAGAGCGCGCGAAACGAGCATATAATATCCTTTTACAATACGATAGCACAATAGCATGTGGTAAATGTGTATACACTTTTGATTATATACCGTAAGTATCTGATGTTCTTCCTCAAGTGCTGATCATCATGAACATAAACTTGGAAGAAAATACAAGGTTTAGTAATCAAATAACTCAACATTCTATTCAACATTGGTCACCTAAAAGGTATGATTGATTTAAAAGACTTTAAATTTTAAAAAGATTTCAAAAAGTTTTATCTATTTAATTGCATGTTAAAATTGTGTGTACTATGAGTTGAAGACCGTTTTTTTTGTAAATATTATAAAATAGATTTATTCCGTTTAAATTCGATTTTTATTAATAATTTTAATTTTATTTTTTAAAAAACATAGATTTTAATTTTTTTCCTGTACTAAAAACTAGAATTTATGTTTGCAAATATAATGTATAACCTTATTCTACAACAATGAAATCTCGTAAGATTTTAGGTATCTCTATGATGAAAACAAATTTTAAAGATTTTAATAAGAATTAGAATGATTTTTACATTATTCTACGATGATTATTTAAAGTTAAGTGATTATTATTATAACTGTAGTTGCTATAAGTATATTTGAACAATCTTTTATCTATGGTTTGATTTCCTAAATAATGAAATATATTCTTGACCATTGATTCTTATAATTACATAAAAAAACTAAGTTTTTTAATGTAAGTAATGTAAAACAATGGCGAGTAATAAAAACATTTTATTTATATAATATATTAAACATAAAACATGTGTTCAACTTTCATAAATTCATCGAGGTTAATGTATTTTTTATTTTTGTTATATAAGACATTTTTTATGACAAAAATTTTCATTATTTGTTAATAATTATACTCTTCTTATATGTAGCAAACGTATAAAAGTAAATAGTGATTACAAGAATCAACTGAATGATACAACGAAAAATGGAACTTTAGATGAAAACATTTGGCCATATCATGGAGACTTGAATTTTGTTGAGCCAGACGTTATGGTAGATTTGGGGGTCGGTATGTTGGAAGATGGAGAACATAGCTGTGATAGTTTAATTAAATCACAAACACAATCGAGAAGTATATCCCCTTGTATTTCAAAGTCGAATGAGGATTCATCTAACAGTGAATATATTTCGAATGAAATCGTGTCAATAAATGAGAAATCTACTTCTGAACCATGGGGACTAAATAAGTATGTACTATTCATTATTAAATAATATTACTAATACATCTAAGTTCATAACAAATTAACCATATAAAATTTTCCATTGATATAAATGAATTTTTACTTAATATAGTAATTGGTAATTATGATAGGATAATTTACGAATTTTTATTTGAAAAATTTTCTCTTTTTAGCATCGTTAATGAATCTGGATACGGATCCCACATGGAGAGTGAAAAATTTACAGATAAACAAAATTCGATTGATTTAAATTCACAGTCTTTGAATGATATAAGCCAATTCTGTTTGTATCGAAGAAAAAAGCGTGGTTCTTTGATCGAAGAAAATAAGTTTAATAAACTGTCTGATGAAATTATATTGATGATATTGAAATGGCTTCCAAAAAAATGGCTTGTTCAATCTATGTTAGTTTGTAAAAGATGGTGTGAAATAGCTCGTGATGAAGCATTATGGAATCGATTAGACCTTGGTAGTAAAGTATTAAATCCGGGTACACTAAACCATATTCTACCTCGTGGAGTTCAAGTGCTTAGATTAGCTCAAGCTGAACTTGCTGATCCTGTTTTTCTGACAGGCAATGATGCACTTGCTGATAATTATCATAGTAAATTACAGTATTTAGATCTATCAATGGCAGTAATATCTTCAACAAGCTTAGCAGAACTCCTATTCAAATGTAAGAAATTGAAAAAATTATCACTGGAAAAAGGAAATTTAAATGAAGAATGTTGTAAGGCCATAAGTGAAAATACTGAACTAACAGTTCTCAATTTAACTATGTGTGAAGGAATTAATGTTCACGGAATTCAACATTTAATGAAGCTGACAAAGTATGTTGCTAAAAATTTTTCAAATTCTTTTATAATAATTTTCAATAATTAATATGTTTCATAATTTATCATATTTAGACTAACCACATTTAATATTTCGTGGTGTTCTTTGGATTCTCGATCAATTTCATTAATATGCAAATTATTATCTCGATCTATAACTAGACTGAATATTGCTGGATGTCGAAAAACTATTACCGATGAAGGTAAATATCTCTAAATTATTATTTTCAATATATGTACATTTTATTATTACTAATTTATTTTTTTTTTGTTCGTAGATGTCCAAGAATTAGTTACTTCTTGCCCAAATCTAATTGAACTTGATTTAAGTGATTGTACTTTATTAACAATGAATTCAATTCAGAGTATTTTAAATCTCAAAAAACTGGAACATCTGTCATTAAATCGGTGTTATAGCATCCCACCCTCGACATATTTAAGATTAGCATACATGCCTTCTCTAATGTTTCTGGATGTGTTTGGTTTGATGACTGAACCGATGTTAAAAACTCTTCAGACTAATTCAAAAGGAACAGAAATAAATAAATTTTTATACAGTTCAGTAGCAAGACCTACAGTGGGAGTACGAAGAACAAGCATTTGGGGATTACGCGTAAGAGATTGATGTTTGGTTTGAAAAAAATTTTAAAATATAAAATTATAAACAGAAAACTAGAGATATTTGAATTGTACGTTCACTTCAAAATGAAAAATGTTGGAATTAAGACTGAAAATTTATGTAAGCAAATTAATGAGTATATTTTTTCAAAATTCCTTAAAATGGAATTTTGGCAATATAGTAATAAAACGTCAAGTACAGAATAATTCTAATAATTAATTAAATTTTTATAAGAATACAAACTAAAAATTGAAGTAAAATATTCGATTATATACAACTAAACTTTCAAAATACTCATTACAACGTAGAGATAGAAATCATAATATTAAATTATGTTAAACGGTGTGGAGACCAACATTTTTCAGCAAATAATGGGTACATTTAGCAAATAAAAGCTTTTATCATAATCACGTAAATATTAACATGTATTTTTTAATCAATTTAGCACTACAAAGAGCTTTTATTAACTAAATATATTCATTGATACGTTTTATTCAAAATATTTAAAATTAATTGATGTTAAACTTGAAAATCTATAGTTACCGGGACCTTATAAATCTGTTATAATTTTCCATAATAATAAATCACACTTTCTTGTTTGTACAAATTCCTTCAAAGATTATTCTTAGGGCTTTAGGTAATTCTAGTATATCATATTTTTACAAATATCATATTTTACAAATAATTAATTTTGGTGCAAAACCTATTTGTTTATACTTATCAATAAGAATAAATTTGTAAAAAAAAATTTCATAAGAATTTACATTAAACTATATACTTCATCAATTGTTTTCAATTTATTGTTTTTTTTCGAATCTTACCAAAATATTTTTTAATTTAAATCATTCATATTCTAAGTTGATAAATTTAATTATTAAAAAAAATTTCGTCCAGAGAAAAACCATCTTCATTTATTCATAAAATTTACGAAAAAATATTCTTTAGTCAATTGCTACATAATTAAGATTCTATCAGAACTATCAACATTTTAAATATTGAAAATTATAAACATATGTTAAAAATATTTACAAAGTATAACATTCAAAAAATTTACCCGATTATGTAATTGCTAGTCAGAGTATAAATTTTCCACAATCTTTTGGTATAGTCAAAAAATAGCCAAAATTTTCCCTAAATGGCTGTCGTAATTTGGTATAGGAGTGTATAGATTCTAGAGCAATCGCATATAACCTTCAACAAACGAGATAGACGACTGCACATGAACCAAAGAGACGTCTTCGGAGTTTCTTTGCATGGGCATGACTTTGGTGCGCATGTGTTTTTCGAACACAAAAAAGTATGGCGCATGTCAAATGATAGATTCGGAATCGAAACCGATGATACCCGAAACCAACTCCTTCTCTCAATTGACTATATATACTAAATGAACAGCAGGCAGAAGGTCAATAAGAGCAGGTGCACATACGAGAAAGCCCTCCGTTGGCTGTCTCAACGTGTATGCATTTGGAATAATTACACCATGTTAATGAGTTTTTATCTTATAATAATTAAAAATCAGTGCAGTGGATTCAATATACGACCGACAACTACTAATATAAGACATTTGCCATCTTGATCGTTTGTTTAAATTATCAGTTCAAATTGTGCAATAAGGTGATCAAGAAACATGCCTGGAAAAAGAGGAAGAAAAGGCAAATCTGGTAGGTTAATTTATTTAATTAACATATGCGAGAAAATCTATTAATTTAAGAAATACTCTCGTTTTATGATTATTTACTATAATAAATTGTTCAAATACATACGCCACACAATTTGGCTTTTATTACCTCAATACTTCATTATGCGATATGTATGTCACGTGATTCTTTAAGATCGAATAATTATACTCATATAATGTAATTAATTTGTTTTACGAAAAAACGTTAGTTTTTATTAACCATGATAGTTAATTTTTTATGAGAACATACGATTTTCAATAAATAAATAAAATGACTTTTGTGAACTTTCATAGGCCAACATGGAAAACGTGCTGAAGTAATGTCCGATGACGATTTAAGTACTAATGACGCTGCTAGTGTGACCAGTGGACAGTCGGATAATAAAAGTTTAGCAATAGATGATGTAAATGACAACAATGAAATTGATGAGATTAGCCAACAAGAAGTTTTTGAGGAAAAACTCAAAGAAGCTATTGATGGATTGTCTCAAAAGAGTGCTAAAGGCAGAACATTTTGTTTCAATGGGATTGAAAAAATGTTTTCGCTTAAATACGTTCCAGATTTTGTAGAAGACAGAAAAATGACAATCACTGATTGCGTTGAACGTGGATTAAAGAAAGGAAAAAATGATGAAAAATGTGTTGCTGCAAGGTTAAGCACTCTTTTATGTGTTCAACTTGGTGCATTTGAAAGTGCTGAGATTGTCTGTAAAGATCTGAAATCCATTCTTATGTTGATTGCTAATGATAATACTGTTTCAACTCAAGTTAGAGCTGAGGTATAACTCAAAATAATTATGAAATCAATATGTTTATAATTTATTGGATACGTAATTAATTAATTTATTTTTAGTGTTGCTGGGCTTTAAGTATGAATCATTTCTTATCTGGTAATGATGCTGCTGATACTGTTGTTAATGTTCAACTGTTATCAAATATATTTGCCGGTTCATATTTAAAAGGTAACGGTGCTGCTGCTGCAGTTTCTGTCGAATTAGGCACACTTCATGCAGCTGCACTATCAGCTTGGACTCTTCTTTTAACTATTATGACTCCTTCGGATATTTATAATTTACTTGCTAGTAGCAGAATTAATAACTTTATGCCGTAAGTTGGAATTAATATTCAAGTAATAATACATTTTAAGAAAAAAAGTAGGACAACTCGAACCATGTATAAAATTATCATCCAAACCTTCACCTTAGCATAGTCAGTCTAATTGTCTTCCACAAAATTCATTTTCCATCGTAAAGTCACAATGTCCTAATTCTCGCTCAATAAACTTTGCCATGAATTTTTTCTGTGGAAATAAAATATAATTATATTGTTGCATCAATTATGATAAAACAATTACATAAAGTAATTTTTTTTATTTATATTAAGTTTATTTGAACAAAATTGAAACATTATGAGCTTTATCTATATATAAAATTTAATTTGTCCCAAATATTAATGTTGATTTTTTACAAAGACATGGTCAAAAATCATTTTCCTTGTAATCTTACTATTAATATAATCATGTAAATAAAACTTTTAGATCTCTTGATCGTTTACGTCAGCTTCTGGAATCTCCGCATCTTGATGTGCGCATGTCAGCAGGTGAAGCCCTAGCAGTCATTTTCGAACTTGGTCGCGAATATTCTGAAGATTATGAACATGATTGGGCTGCTGATGAACTCGTTGATGTATTAAAAGAATTAGCTACGGATTCCAATAAGTCTAGAGCAAAAAAAGATCGTAAACAACAACGAGCGAGTTTTCGAGACATTTTAAGATATATCGAGGTAACGTTGATGACAATTATTAATTGTTATAAATAACCATTATGCTTATTCAAAGTAAAATATCTTTAAGACGATACATGAATTTTACTATTAATTATTACTTTACGTTTATAGGAGGACATTGTACCCGAAATGCAGATTCGTTTTGGCAAAGAAACATTGTATCTTGAAGGATGGTGTCCACGTATACAATATAATGCATGTTGCAGAATATTAGGCTCTGGTATAAATATTCATCTTGCTGAAAATTTACTTTTACGAGATATATTTCATCTTGGTAATACAGTACCCGTAACAGCTTTCCAAAAAACAAGTAAACTGGAACGAACTTTGATGAATGCAGCAGCATTTAAAGCTCGTACGATATTACGGAATAAAACTCGCGATAAACGCTCGGTAGCAATGTCACAATAATTTATCATGCTTTTGTCTCTACATAATTAAATTTTGAATGTAAACAATTTTTTTTTTAATATATTTATTTCTTTTATGTTCAGATTATACTATTCTAATAAGTATTTTAGTATTTGATCTATCTACACGTTTCATCTACATACCTTAGCTTTATACATATATATATAGATGTCGATTGCTAGCGTAAATAAACAGTGATTCATATAGATGTAAATAATATTGAGGTGTTGTTTTGATATTAAAATAGATTCATAAATTTTCATAAAATTTAATGTGGAACTGTATGGATACATTTTCTATTGAATTATTTTTTTTTTTACATTTATTCCAAATTATTAGTATCATCATTGAATCTTCATTAACGTGTAGTAAGATAAATAGTGAATTACATAGACGATTATTTTTTTAATATAGCGAATTACTTTATAATAGCATTCCAAGTAAATGGATTGCTTGAATGAAGTTCAAAGTTTGGAAGTTTTTGTTTTACTGGAAATTTAACTTTTATCGATGTACATTATACTCAATTAATAAAATAAAAAAGATTATAGTAAACTTTATTGACAGTTGTGACATCATAAATTAATAATAAAAATTTTAGAATTTATTATTATAATCTGCATATTGTGTTTACTTATTTTATTTTAATAATATTACCTTTATTTCATAACACTTGAAAGTCAGGTTTAATTCTTGTGTCCATAATTTCTTACCTAATAATAGCCGAGGTGAACGTATAAAGTAATTTGTCAGTCAGTAAATAAATTGGTATAGATCATTATTAAAATTTTTTTCGTAACTCACAAATATTTTATCTTACCTTGAATATTTGAAATTCAATTATATAAATACAAAGTCTGATTTTTAAATTCTTTTTCAGATAACATTCGCCATCGGTATCCTAGTTTTTTTGATACTTCTTTCTCAGTACTTTCATAAGAATTACTATTAGTTTTTATCCATTTTTCATGCTCAGGCGTCCAATTGCTAATTAATGATAATGTCTTATCACATCTCTTCAACACCGCATTCCGTCGAACATATAAGTTTTTCAAATTTTTAGCTATTGATACGATCTCTAAGATTGTTGCGGTTGATATTTTATCATGAATCATCTAAAATTGGAATAATTATTTTTATTATTGCTGACAATCATATTTTTCAGTCTTGTGAAATAACAATATACTAGTAAAAAAAAACAAACAATTCTGTAATATCAAAAAACCATTCAATATGGAGTTACTTGTTACTTCATGTTATGTCGATAATTTGCATTAACTGATATCAATCTTTTTGAATGTTTTTTTAAATATTTCATTATTATTTGTTTTTGTTTTTAAAACAAATCAGAGCGCATAGATAAAATATTTCAATTATTTGCAGTCTTATAAAAATTAGAATGAAACAAAAAATTATTATGATAAAAAATAAAATAACTTACTAAATTATTGATTAGTTGTTAAATGTCAAGTTCAAAACAATGCACACACACACGTGTTTATTAACTCAAACATAGAGTTAGAATATTTTAAACTGTCATAGTTGGTTTAAAATTTTCAAGAAATCATCAACCACCAAAATTTATGATAAAGAATATCTACCAGTGTTTGAATATTTGAACAGGTTTTACATAATCGAACAAACACTTCATCTAAACGTTTCGAAAAATTGCGATGTTGGTAATATTTTGGAATGCATTTTAATGCATATAATGTTAATGTTGATTGAAAATTGATTGCTTGTGCGATCATTTTTGATGTTGAAATTTGTACTATTGGATTATCTATGACAATACTATAACAAGGAATTGACGAATGCTCAGGAAATTCGATTGGTAATATTATTTCTGGTTTACAACTTTCAATTTCAAGATGAACTTTCAATTTTGGATTATTTTTTCTTAACTTCACCCAGCTGAAATGTTTAGGCTGAAAAATATTATTTTAATCATTAGATTTTTCAGGTACATCAAAAAATAAGAGAGACAAAATAAAATTTGTATGTTAATTATTATTTTACACTCATAATGAGTTAGAGAAACTTTATAATTTTATTAGTTAAATGTCTGAATACGAGATTTTTTTAAATGCTGATATTATGTAAATTTATTATTTATTCCATAATGAGTAGACATAGGCTATAAGAATAGATATTGAATTCGTTGAGTATCGTTAAATTATAATGGTTTTTAAATTTTCAAAATTTTATTTTGTCCTTCTCTTCTCAAAATTGTTTTTAAATATTGGTTAACTTACTAATTGAACAGTTGTATCAACCGGACTATAACGATTTTGAAAAATATGCATGTGGCTTAATCTTGTATATCCGATCAATTCTAAAACGTCTTCATCCAAGTTTTGAGGACTTATAACTAGGACCTAATAAATTTTACATAATTCATTATCATTTTTAAAAAAAAAATATTTCTATAGAAAAACAAAGTAGTATTGAAGTCAATGGACTAATGAATAAACAAACGTTAATGAATTTATGTTAATTCATTGATTTGCTTTTCCTCTTAAACTTACATTTAAATTTAAAAAAACTCCTACATGTAAAAGCGGACAATGCAGTTTTGTAGCATTAATAAGTACAAGACGCTTCAAAGTTTCAGTACAGTTTTCACAAATAACATCTAAAAAATAAAGAGCTTCGCTACTATCCAACATAAGATCAATAAATTCAATAGATCTTAAGTTTTTTAAATTTTTTGTTAGTCTTTTCAATGCTTCCAAGAGTTTTCCACCCGTTCCAAAAACTTTAATTTGTTCTGGATCATTTTTATTTGCCATATTACATGGAAATATAAATTTAAGATGCCTTATCTGAGTGCCAATTCCTCCTATTTCTGATGAATCGTCGATATTTGATTGTTCAGAATACCACGATATCATAGTCATGAATTCATATAAATTATAAAAATTATACACTGGCTCAAAAATAAGGGATTTAAAATTTTTTCCGACTTTATTAAGACATGCCGACGTTCTTATGTGATCTAGGACATAACACCAGCCACTGTAATAATTGAATTTTCCTCTTGTTAAAGTTGTATCTTGCAAAGTAAATGTTGACCATACTTTTGGCAATTTGAAAGCTCTGTACCAAGCACGACATACTAAAGATGCATAATATCTTTCTTTAATCGTAAGATAGGAAAATATTTCTTCGAGTAAAATATCAGGAAGATGATTCCAAGAACTGTATGATTTATTTTTATCATCATCGTCATTTTCTTTTTCAATATCAATATATAGAGCTAAAAGTATTATAAATACAAATTAATAACGTATGTAAAACGCATCTAAAATAATTATTGTTAGTTTCTTTAAATAATCAAATAAATCAAGATTTACTGAGAGAAAAAAAAAGTTTTTCATGTACACTTATAGACGTTAATTAATATCAATATAATATATTTATATTTATAATACCTTTCTCTTGCTTATTAAATATCCAACTACCTTTGTTCATTATTAATAGAAAAATGGTCTAAATAGCAGCAATAAAAAGTGGCGTTTCAATAGAACTCGTTGCTTCAATGCTTTCGGGCTCTCTACCACTGATGTCTTACCCCTTCTAACACGTTTTTTACTACTGCGCAAACGTACACCCAAACGCATTAATGTCTGGTCCATACACTCGAGAACATTAATGCCTGGTCTGTATCCTATGAGCAATTACCGACCACGGAAATGATTTATATTCATATTGAGTTTCCAATCTAGATTTTTTTTGTTTAGACTGAATTGAAATTGAACAATATTAATGTTGATAATAATGTTATGTACCTATACTATCACTGTAATATAACAAAGTTATAAAACAATGGTATATAACTAAGGCGGAAATAGCAACATCTATGTAGCTTCTATGGTACATAACTGCAATAAAGTATATAATAATGATATAAAAATATTCACTGAGTACTTTATTTTAAACAATAAATTTGGATCGTAATATGGAGTTTCAACTTTTTTCATTATTATAAATAATACTATGTAGAGGTGCCTTAAATGTTTCTGCCGATTGCTGTTGTATTTGATATGCTAGTGGATGAATTTTAAAGCCATATAATCTGTAATTCACAAAGAAATTCATATTCTAGTTAGTTTCATTAAAATATTCATTCAACTTTATATCAAATCAATTGAATATTAATATACCTCGGAATAAATTGATTTGAAGCTTGCTTAGGTCGATATTCAGGATGAACCATGAAAAGCATATGCGGAAATCCAGTGCCAAAGTAGGCGCCGTCATTGTTATGATGTCGTGAGCTTTTTGGTGTATAGATATCCATGCATTTGGGACAGTAACTTTTTACCATAGCTTCACCGGGAACATCACTTAATCCTAGTGGCAACATTTTCTGTGACTCACAATATACCCGAGGACAAAAACCAAAATCGGCAGCTTCATATTTTCTAATCATTTGAGCTATTCCACGATTTGTCAAGATGTAGCGAGCATGGATGAGGCCATAGAGCCTTTCTGCTGCTAGGTCGATCCAATCTGACTTGTCAGAAATATCGTAGAAAATATCATCTGTAAAATTATAATGAACACCATTGAAAACTTTTTTTCAGAAAAAATTTTACCAGCATAAAAAAGATTTTAGTTTTTTTTAATATTGTTACTCCAAAACAGCATACTCCAAAATATTCTATTGAAGTAACAAAATTTTTTTTACTATTTTTATAAGTAAACTACTCATTGATATTTAATTAAAAACGCACTTAATAAAACAATAAAGCTTATTTCATAATTAAATGATTGTTTTAAACACTACGTCGTACTTAAATATATACATAAGTATATATGATACCAGGCTCAAAATCTAGAATCACGTCTAAAGCCTGCCGATAACGATAAACTTGTTCACTCAACCCAGTAAGGTTGAATTTGTCTTGAATGTAGTCTTCATCGACCTGAAATTTAAATAAAAGATTAAAATAAAACAAATACTGATTGTTAAATAGAAAAATTGGATAATTACCTCACAGAAAAATTCATTACCCTTCAGTCTACAAAACGATGAGATCCATGACGTCTCTTCTGAGCTGCTCATCTTCAATCTTAAATCTATCCTTATGTAGGATCTAGATCTTAGGAGGATACTATCTACATCTATACATAAATTTTAACAAATTAAAATTATAAATTATAATAAATAATTTCCTTGTATAACCTCCAAGTCTACTCTTTCAATGTTTTGACTACACTATGTATACCTCAGATAAGATATACATATATCGAAGCGGCTACAGTGGCGTATTTCGGAATAGCCTCATCATATTGAATCACGTGTCTCTATCATTAATTAAACGGAGTAGGGATACACATAGTACCTCTGACTATAGTTTAATTACACAATTTTTCATTTACATTGTTTAACCAAATGAACAATAAAGTGTATTTAATAAAATAATAATCAATTAATTTTTATATAGTGATAAACATCATTAACACATTTTAAGTACATACTTGAATAAAAAAAAAGTTGAATTTATTAAGTATTATTACAAACTATGTATACTTCAATTTCGTGTATTTTGCATATGACTGTCACACAAGATGACAGAAAATAAAAAAACTTTAAATGAAAATCCTTTTGTTATTTTTGAGGAAGACTTTCTTTATCAAACGCAAGAATTAGAATATGCTCTGTGTAAACCAAAATTACTTCCATTGAAGTCAATTACTTTAGAAAAATTAGAAAAAATGCAAAATGAAGCTGAAGCAAAAATAAAAGCCAGTCTAGAATGTGAACAAGAAATTGAAGAAAAAGAAGATATACAAAAATCTAAAGAGTCGTCAAATGAATAATGTTAATAATTAAAGTTTTATGCCTTTATAATACAAAATAATGAGTGTGGGTCCTTTGATAACCGAAATTGTTGTAGCATTTTGTCTAGCAACAACCTTACTGTATCGATATGGAAATATTTTTCGAAATCATATTGTTGTCACCATTTCAGTACTTATCGCTTGGTACTTTTCATTATTAATCATATTTGTATTACCTTTAGACGTATCATCAGTAAGTATTACTATTTCATTACTATTTTATATAGAGATATTTTAATAATAATGACTTATTTTATTATAGACTGTATATAGACAATGTGTAGAATACAACAATTACGTAAATTCATCAAATTCACATATAGATACTGGTAATATTACGACAAAATGTAAAAAACCTTGGTCAAGTGTGCCTGATGATATATTCCCTAATTTATGGAGAATAGTGTATTGGACTTCACAATGCTTAACTTGGTTAATTCTTCCAATAATGCAATCTTATATTAAAGCTGGTGATTTCACTATGAGAGGAAAATTAAAATCAGCTTTAATTGATAATGCTATTTACTATGGAAGTTATTTATCGATATGTGGAATTTTATTGATATACATAGCATTGAAGCCAGATTTAGATCTTGATGGGTTTGTTAAATATCTTCTATCTTAAAAAAAAGAAAAAAAATTACTTTAACAATAATTTTGTTTCATTTTAGACAAAAATTAAAAGCTATAGCTTCATCAGCTTCAAATACATGGGGTCTTTTTTTACTAGTTTTACTTCTGGGTTATGCTTTAGTTGAAGTGCCTCGTGGGTTATGGAATGCTAGTAAACCAGGATTTGTACTTCAATATAGCTATTTTAAAGCATCCAAATTATATTTGGAAAAATGTGAAGCTGAAGAGACAGTTGATGGAATTCTGGAGGTAGTTATTCATTTTATTTTAATAATTGAGTATTTATCTATGCTCAATTATCAATAATAATCTCTGTATTATTTAGTTAACTTTTTATAATAAGTCTGAATATTAAAGTTCTAAATTTCAATTCCAATATTGATTAAAAATCGTTATAGTTTTGTGATAACCAAAATTTCTATTTGATTGTATACATAAAAAAAAGTTGTTTAATCTCTTTCAAATATGAGAGTCACTTGTATATAATTTTTTTAATTGTTTACAGTCACTGTATATGGCTTCAATGGCTATTGGTGCAAACCATCCATTTTACCGAAACTTAGAAACAATTTTTCAAAAAGTTCCAGCTGAGCTAAAAGATCGTATGAACAGACGGCAGTCTTCTGAAGATTCATCTGCTATAGTACCGTCTGAAAAATCTTTAATTCGATTGCACAAACAAGTAATTTAATTATTTGACCTTTCATCAATTTAGTGATTAGATTAGAAATATATTATTTCGATTTTATACAACACAATTGTTTTCAGACTATCAAAGCGTTACAAACTTTACAAAGAACAGAAACTCAATGGGGAATTCTAGTTGAAGAAATATTTCATTTAGAAGATATTGCCAAAAATCAAATGAATATTGAAAGAAAATTCAATTCCTCTTTTCCTGTTAATCGATCATTATTTATGCGATTTGTCTATAATCCAACCATAGGTACCATTTTTTCGTTATTATTACAACATTTTTTAATTATAAAAATCAAAAAACTAAAAATAAAATATTTTGTTACAGAGTGGTATTGGAATTGTTTAATCAAAAATTACATGCAAAAAATTGCAGCTATTATTACCGCTTGTCTTTCTGTTGCTGTTGTATGGTCTGAAGTTACTTTTTTCAATAAAAGCCCCGTTTTATCATTGTTTGCACTATTCTTGAATCTTGCAAAAATCAGCTATGATTACTTTACAATTGAGGTATTTTTAGAGAATTTTATTTTTGTTTTATTAAACGAGTAGAATTTAATAGTAATTATTTTGTCTTATAGATTTTATCAACAATGACAATAGCCTATCTATGTTACTGTGCATACTCAACAATATTAAAAATTCGATTCTTAAATTTATATTATCTAGCTCCACACCATCAAACAAATGAATATAGTTTGATATTTAGTGGTATGATGTTGTGTCGATTGACACCGCCCATGTGTCTTAACTTCTTAGGTTTGATTCATATGGATTCTCATATTATAAAAACTCATATATTAGAAACACATTATACTCAAGTAATGGGTCACATGGATGTAATTTCAATAATATCGGATGGTTTTAACGTATATTTTCCTATGGCAATTTTAGCATTTTGTTTAGCGACATATTTCAGTTTGGGAAGTAGATTACTATCTATACTTGGATTCCAACAATTTCTCGATGATGATCAAGTTACTACGGATCATGTTGATGATGGCAAGGAGTTGATACAGAGAGGTATCTAGAAGTTATTTATCTACACTGCATATCTAAGATGATTCACATATGTGTGGAATTCATTCATTGAATGTGCCTTACGTGTATAACATCATTAATAAACTATACTATATGTGTATTTTTTTACACACTTTTATGTGTGTAGAATGTTCCTACACAATTACTACAGTTTATCTATGGTATTATACATTATTTGTGTGAATTTCAAACATGTGTTATGAGATTTGCAGGGTAATTTATTTATAAAACGTAAAAATCATTGGTGACTTTTCAAGAAGTTGTGTATAAATTTTGACCAATTTATCCCAAATATTACCTTATTAAATCAGTCTTATAATGTATAGAAAAATTGATTTGAATGCAATTAGAAGTACCCACATGATCAACTTATTATTGTATTAGTGTTTATTACTCAATTTCTTATCATTTTAATTTACGAAATAATTTTTTAAAACTCATTCTAATGAATAATTAATTAAATTACTTTAAAAATAATTACATTTTTCATATACAGAAAAACGACGAAGATTACGAATCGAAGAATCGAAAATCCGTCGACAACAGTTTCAAGGAAGAATTAACAACCAATCTTCAGTAATATCCCGGAATAGAAATTCTGTACAACGACAAAACACAGATATTGGTAAATAAATAACAAAAATTATTCTAAATTTACATATGATCCAAACAGAAATTTCTCGTAGTACAATCATTGAAGCGGAATGATTCAAGTGAATCAGTAAGAACCAGTCTTTTACGTGATATCGATTCTACAGATTACTCCATGGGCACTACCTTCAATACATCAACAAATTTTCATGATTTGGGTACTACCTACAGACACAGTGGATATCAAGCTGATAATTTAAATGATTCATTATCTACAGAGTCTAATTACTCCGCACTACCAAGAAGAATATTCGACGATGTTTAATCAAAATTAATATAGATAATGAATTAATTCTATTATATAAATGTACTATTTATTTCAAAGAACCAATGGGCAAAAATGAACTAGAGTTTATTACACATAATAATATTTATTAGAAATCCAAAAATATTTTATAGTTATTTCCATTTATTATTGTTCCACTTTGTAATATAATATCATGTATTACATGTTTTAAAAATATATGTATATATAGTATATTATTTTTTTTGTTTATTGTATTAGATATTAACATAATAATAATTTATTAATTAATATTAAATTTAAAAAGTTTACATGTGATCGGATCAGATTTATAAAATTGATAACATTCAACAAGTTCAGTTTAACTTTTAATTAGATAAATTAACATTCAATAAATATTATTTTTAAAATTAACATTAACTCAGTTCTCAAATTGAGTTACAATAATTTTAATAGGTTCAATGAAATGCCGTTATTATTTAAATCCAGTTACACAGACCATAATTTAATTTAGAGTTACGTGTATTAAAATTGTATGAAAAATGATAGAAAAAGCTTTTAATAATTAAAGATCAAATTACTTATGATTGTTGTCACGTATGCTACGTAATTACTTGAATTATTTAGAGAAGAAAATTTGATTCTAGTGACACAAATTTTTTATCAAAATAAATTATTATAAATTTTATATAGATTTCTATGTATAATAAATAATTAACAGATAACATTCGATAAAATTTAATCAATTAATCAATTTTAAAAAAAATAAACAATATAAAATGTAATAAAAGTTAAAAAAATAAACGAAACTGAATATGCGACTGCCACTCGTACAATTTTAATATGTTTTGACTGTCTTATACGGTTATTATTAGAATTACTGTTTTTTGATATCGTAAAATCAGGCATTAAAAGAAGTGGCTCGAGCATCAATAAACTAGTTCTATGTTGGCATAATCGTGAATGTGATAAATTAAGCTTACGATCATTTCTCAGATTTAAAAGTCTACTATTTTTTTCAGAGTCTGAACTCCAATATTGAATATTATCTTTATCAATATAATCTTGCATTGAATGATGGATTTTATTTTGAAATGTTTTAGGTTCCCAAATACTCATGTTTGGAAGACGATATTGTACATTAATAGAATGTCGCAAATAAAAATCAGTATCTGTACACAGATTATGTATCGAAATTTTATCAATAGATGTATTTTGATTATTTGTTGTTGATTGAAAAAATTGAAACATTTTTGTTTTAGTGATATCAACAACAGGCATATAGTCATTATTAAAGAACATTGATGATAAAAAATCTTTATTATTTGACTGGCAATAATAAAATATTATTTGATTAGTTAGTATTTGAAAATGATATAAAACAATCTGACGTACGTTACATAACTTTTTTTTGTAAATTAATGCATCGCTATATACCATTGAAATATTTTTATTTTTCTTACAGAATAAACAATCTTTTTGATTACGTGAAAATAGAGTACTGTTAGTATGATATTCCGTTTCATTTTCTTTCTTTGTGAAATCGTTTTGAGAATGAATTTGTTCTAATTCACTGAATAACTTATCATCTTGTTCATTATTACTCATTTCTATGAGTGTAAAGTCAGAAAAATTATCCTTATCGATATTGGTTCCATCCGCATTTAGAGTAATATTTTTATTTTTTTCTTTTTTGTCAAATATAATATTTATTGCTGGTAATATTTCATCATAATTTTCAACAGAACTAACAAATGCGTGTGTTTTCCTAGATGCTTGTTCTTTTTCATCATTTAATTTCGAATTTTTATCATATAACCATATATTGTCATACTTGTCACTATATTTTTGTTTCATGTTTGAATATGTTAAGTTTGAATGAGAGTGATGAACACACGCAAAATCGTATCAGTTAATAAGTTCACTATTTTTTGATAATATTTGAGATTTTAATGTTTCAAGTTCATGTAGAACCTCTAATATTGAAGATATACTCCAAGCTTGAGTACGACAACTGTCTTTACAATATTCACCATCTTTATTAGTTAACTCTGGAAGACCTCGCCAGTGATTTGTTGATGCTTCTACAAAATGTTTAGAAATAATGGCCTCTGTAGATTGAATAGTACGTTCTAATTCTTTTGAATTATCTAATATCTTAGCAAAATAAAGACGTGCTCGTAAAAAGTATCCAATAGGCCAAACCCACTCAGGACCTTGATGATAGTTCCATCCATGAGCAACTTTAACATCTGTTGAGTCATTGGAGTTATCATAATAACCATTATAAGCCCAATCTGCTGGGTCTAGAGTTTTCATTCCTAAAGGGCCAAGTAATATTTCTTCTGCTTGTTTTAGTGCTAACCAAGCATGATTAGGATTGAAGAGCTCTGGTGCTACAACCATAGCTATAGGAAAATTTGGTCTAAGTTGATAATCTGCCCAGGATTGTGATGCTCCATAACTATCTTTATAAATTCCTCGTCTGTGAATCAATTCAGGATTCATTTCACCTTTTGTTGGTGTTTGATTAACATAAAAACATCTTTCAAAATTAGCTGTTATTTTATCTGCCCACTGCTTATAACTCCACGTTACCATTGTACCATCACGATTATGCCGTTTTACACTTCCATAAGGAAAGAGATTTTGTTTATATAATTCGGCCAAGAAAGTTAAAATAGATTTACTAAGACCAACTATTTCAATAGCTGAACCATCTCGTGGTGTCGCTGGTTTTCCTTTATTTCCAGCTTTTTCCGATGATCCCATTTTGTCCATCCAAGTTCCACAATTAGCATCATTTCCACCAAAAACAAACCCGGTTTCTGGATTTACTCCTATTTGATTATTAAAACCACGATCTGTCATGTGTTCATCAATCTGTTTACCAGCATTTCGTTCTCGGAAACATAAACCTTGAAAATGTACACTCAATGCCTCTTGAATAACATCATGAAGAGGTTGATCAACTTTGCCAGGTGATAATGCTGGTGAATCGTCAGTAGGAAAGAGTCTTGATACTTTATCAGACAATATTTTGATTCCATCGGGAACATATTGAATATAACATTGAATTGTATATAACCACCACCAAACAGCATCTCGGCAATTAAATCGAGCATTGGCTCCTTTATCGAGGAGATTTGGAATTAATCCATGTCTAAGAGTAGCAGCGAATCCAAGAATAATGAATCTTGCTTCTTCATATCTTCCAGTTAACAATAGGACACCACGAAGAGCAATAAACGTATCTCTTCCCCAATTTCTCATGTATCCAACAGCAAAATGGGGTAAGCCAGCTGATATAGTCGTGCATATTTGCTCTTTAACACCATCTTTTATTATGACTTTTGGTCGTGGCGGTGCCAAATTTGGTGACATTTCAGGGAGTTGGGCTGATTTTATAACACCATTGACTTGTAAAGAAGCTAATGAAAGTAATTTAATAAAATATGATCCATCTTGAACAAATTTAGACATTTTTGTATAACAATGGTCTATCAGAGCCATATAAACATTGGTAATAATGGTGTCAAAATAACTGGGTACCAAATATCTTGGAATTAATGTAAATGGTTCAGAAATTTTAGCAAACCATTTACCGAGTTCTAATGTTTCTGGATAGTTTTGCAAACGTTGCCAAATATAATCTATTAACCAGTTGCCTTCTCTTAAATTAACACACAAGGGATGGCCTAAATCATTATTAGGACGAATATCAGCAAGGAGTGACATAATACCTTGAAGACCAGCGTAAACAAGTGGACCGTAAGCAGGAATATTATAAACACCTATTTGACCATTACTTTCATCGCGTTCTTCTTGATCACAACGATATAATACCTTATTCATATCTGATAGAGACATTTGTGATATAATGGATTTTAAGTCTGACGAATTAATATTAACCGTTATAGAACGAAGAATATCATTTAATTTTTCAAAAGCAGGTTTAATATTGGCATGAAGAGAAACACGGAGTGCAACAACTGATCCTGGTTGAAAATTGATGAAATTTAATTGAGTGATTTTTAAGTTTCCAGAATCAACTTTTTCTACCATTGTAGAATCTGGAATTTGAATATGTTCTTTAATATCAACAATATAATTAGCTAAGCCGTTAATAAAATCAGCATCCATTTGATGATTATTGATAGAACTACCAGATGTATTTTTATCCGAATTTTTATGCAGTAATCGAGCTTCAAAAATAATTTCTTCAACAACACCTTCAACTCTTAATGGTTTAATATATCTTTTTGAATCTTGAACATTTGATTCAGGATGATTAAAAGAAGTGAATGCAACTAATATAACACTTTCATGTGTTTTAGGCGAATGTCTAGTTACTGCAACTATATCAGAGTCTATTTGATCAACAAATACCTGGTTAAAGTTTTGATTACCTAGAGTATTATGTAAATCATTGAATGCTCTTTTTGCCGAAATTATTCCAGATGACTTACTCACAAATTTAAAATTTGAATTTGGTAAATTTACATCATCAGTCCATGCAGTGTACTGCCTTGTTTCATCAACAACGTGAATATGATGTGGTACTAATTCATCATATCCTCTATTACTTCCACTAGCACAACAAGCCATTGATACTAATGCTGCTGAAGGAAGTAAGTCATAAACACTACGTTTTTCAACTGGACTTGGATTATCATGGGTCTGGTCCATAAAAAGAGCATGCGCAATGCTAGGCATAAGTGGTCTTTTTTGTGGTTGAAAGAAAGCTCCAACTGGTTCACCGCCGTATCGGTATATAAGTCGTCCTTCTTCATGACTATCCCACGCTGACATGGCTTCCCGAATAAGTGAAGTAATTCCTAGACGATTAACAAATATATTATCCTTTTGATCGGAATTAGTAAAAAGCTCAGCAACGACATATAAATCAGGACGAATACGTCGAGCAACATCCAATAAGTATTCAGCAACAGGTATTGGTGTTGAATGACAATTATCTAAACGTACTCCATCAAATATTTTAACCGTTTGTTCCACATATTCAGTCATATGCTGCCAAAGAAATGGATTATCTTCAGGTTTATTACCGTACCGTAATTTAACGCTATCACCCCAGGCAATCAATTCTCTTCTTAGATAAATATTCGAATCAGGATCAGCAAAATTTTTTAAAGGATCTCCATTAATTACCCAGCCATTATGAGCCATCAAATAGCATCCAGAGTTAGAGTAGATAATTGATTCTCTTTCCAAAAGTGAATCTGGTGTTCCATAATCTGTAAAATATCTAGGAACTAATGGATTTCGTGCACTAACTTCTTTCAGTTGAGGGCCATCAGATTGCACTCTAAAATAACGAATCGAAGCAATAGTATTTTCAATTGCAGCATTTAAATGGTTTTGAACTGTACCTATAATTGAATCGTTGAGCTCTTGAATACATTTACGAAACTCTTCAGCACAACGTTTTAAGCGTGTTTCTTCATCAAAACAGTCAGGCCGATAAATATTATATAATTGTAAAGCCAGATTCATATCGACTGTTGATTTCAATCGACGAAATTGTGGATCTTGTATTATAACTATTGATTTTTCTTGAATTGGTATTGCATCTTGTGGCATTTGGGTACGTGCCAAATTCAAGAAATCTCCAATCACTTCATTGACATCAAGTGAGTAAAGTTCATGAATTTTAACTAAAGGTAGAAAATGAGTATGAAGAGCATGCCGTATAGCATTTAGATGATCTTCTGTTTCCACGACACATGGAATACCTTTTAACTCCCATTTACCAGCAGCTATTTCTAAGGTTAACTCAAATAGTGTAGCATCTAAAAGATAAGCTGGTCGAAGATGAGGAGAATTGAGACAGTTGTAAGTACATTCAGGATGTGAAACCAAAAATGAGCTTTCATTAGCTGTATGATTAAGAACAATATCACATATTGATAGCATATTCCACTCTTGTCGTAGTTTTTTTATCAGTTTCTCTACATCAGTAAACGTAACAGGTTGCTGTTTGTCATCGTAAAATGATGAATTTATTTTTAACTGATCACTCAAACTGTAGGCTGATTGAGACCCACCGAGTTCTTGGATTGGCGTAAAATGAATCATGTTATATCCAGAATTACGAGATACTTGTAATTTTTCTTCCCATGTAGAAAAAGGTCCCAAACATTTCGATAAAACTGTTTGACATTGAATGCAGTCTAGCGGTAAAATCATTTCGGGCACACCTACACGTAACTCCGGTTCAACCAGAAGATATCCTGATGATATAGCTTTTGAATCATTCTTCTCTCTGAAAATGTAACAAAAAAAAACTTTTTGATGATTTATTTTTATTTGTTATTAGATAATTAAATTTTTCGCAAATTCAAGTTGAAAGAAAATTGATTAAAAATTCATATAATATTAACTATTATCTTTCACTGATTAACCAAATTTATTTACTTTGCATCTGTAATGTAATAGTGGAATGAACCAGCTCTTTTCACTTTAAGAACTGCTACTTCGTTACACCATGGTAATTGATAATACGTGTCTCGTTCGAATACATTCTCCGAAGATGATGGATGATTGGTAAATATGTTGATAGTTTTCCCAAATAATGAAGGTCCAAGACGAAATTCTACTGTCCATCCTTTAAAAGAATGAAAAAAATACTTGTAAATCAACCATATTTCATGAGTAAAAATAGATTAGAAAACATTTAGACTTTTTTTCTAATATAAATAGTGTTTGTCAATGCATAATTAATTATTTATTACATAATAAATAAATTATTATGTTATTATATTTAAATTTTAATTTTGTTTTGAGTAAAAGTAAATAGATAATTTTAAATTGATTGTGAGTTGATTTTTTGATAGTCTATGATCTAGAAAAGTTTATATTTTCATGTAATCTACAAGCATATACTTAACATATTAATTTTTAAATGAATAACTAGTAGCTGATAAAAAACATACCTTTTTTAATTCTGTATAAAATGCTATCTAGATGTTCTCCTTTGTTCAATGTCAAAATACGAACATCAGAATCATTTTCATGTGGGGTATCACTCATTACTGGTGTATTTGTCATACTGTTTGTCAGTGACTGCAATCAAATAACTATTTGATATAACGAGTTTATGAGAAAACCGTTGGTTAATATAAGTTATTATGACAAAAGAGTATGGGTCATGCTTGGAATAAGATACCATATTACTTGGAGTTTCAGACAATGATTCCAGACAAAACGACTAGCTTATTTTACTATAGAATTTAATGTATACGTTTAAGTAAATCTACTTTATTTAATTACTTACATAAGTACAACACATTAGTGTAAAATATTATTCAGTGAGCAAGGGGGTTCAATTACGATGTTTGTATAAACTTACATAGGACCAAATAATTCTCAGGTAACTCCATTGAAATATTCTGTTAAAGAAACTCTTAATCTTCTCTAATATCATCATCATGGACTTCCAAACAAAGCCAAGCACGGAACCCATCAAAATTAACAAAGCTATTAAATATTGAAAGCTTTGAATACTTTTGTCAATCTTGCTACCAATATATTATCCAATCAATCAATTAGTATTTTAATAATTAAACTTATTTATAATGACTTACCGATCTTGAAATTTCACAAATTATTATTTCTATGCAATGTTAATAAACGATTCTTGAGGTACTCAATGAAAGCAATGTTAAAATTTATACTTGAAAAGTCATTTAATATAATGTTATCAATTACAGTGCTAAGTCAAAATAAAGCTGTGCAATAATAAAATAATATTGTTCAATGATGAAAAAGATTAAAAAATGTAGTGAAGAACAAAGAATGTTGACACTTTAATAATGGACCAAAGTCTAATAAAAAACACTGATTATTAAATGTATTATTATATATAAAGACAGTTAAGATATGTAGATATTGATGTTAGGCTAATATTTAGCTCTTATGTCAAATGATGTTAAGCTCATCGTTCAATATACAAAAGAAATTGGTATTATTAGTGAAAAAGCAGTTAAATAAAAATTTTAAATAATAATATATAATCTTTTTATTGGATTTTAAAATTATTTTACCTATATTGTAATATTAAATTCTCAATCGTTCTTTAAAATACGTTCAGCTAATGTAAACGGTCTGTACTTTTGAATTTGACCTCTGAGTTTAAGAAAATATCGTGAAGGACACAATTTTATATACATATACACATGTCTATATATGTATTAAAACACATATGACATCGAGGGAAAGTAAAAGAGTAATGTGACTATTGATGATTTCTGTTTTAGGAAAATATTAAATTTATTGTATTTTAAACTTTAATTTTTAATACTAAACAATATAGAATATTATCGATGTGAATAAAATTATATTTAAACATTCTACGAGTTTACTCATTTCGAATATAACCTATAATATTGACACAAAATTAATAAGGAATGTTTTTAACATAATAATAAACAACTAATCAATATTATTACTATTTTATTATATTTTAAGTTGAAAAAAATATTTTACATGGATTAAATAAGTGTTGATATTTAACTAAAACTTCAAAATAATACTATGACTGTTTCCTTCACTCATAAATGTATTAAATATTCATTGTTCATATTGAATTATTTGTTTCTAGAATTAAAAATTCTGTTAAATATCGTTAAGAAATTTTTTTTTTAATATTATTGTTTATATTAACAAAATTTATTTATAAACTAACGTATAGTAATTGTATATACAAAACACTCTTTCTATTAGGTACTTCCTATTGCTCACTCATTCGTTATTATACATTTAGTTTCAAAATGGCAGCAGCCACAGATGAGCTGAGTAAGTATGTTCTGTAAATAATTCCATTTATTTAAAATTTAATTTATATTTATTTATTTATTTCACGACATTCTTTGAATCAAGTTGAAAAAATTATTTCATGTACTAATACATGGATCATTATAAGTATAATTACAGATATAGAAAAAAAATTTAATTCACTCGTCACTTTTTCGCATATTTAGCAACTTACGTGAATTCAAAACTAAATTGTAATTAATATTATTACAGTGCTATTGGAAAGAGTATTTCTATGTCTTGGAAATGCCGATACCGATGAACAACTCCAAGCATCAGTATGCAAATTTTTACCACCAGTGTTATTAAAGCTGTCGAGCCCTCAAGAGGGTGTAAGAAAAAAAGTTATGGGTTTATTAGTACATATAAATAAAAGAGTTAAAAGCCGTCCCAAAGTTCAGCTTCCTGTTGAAGCTTTGTTGCTTCAATATCAAGATCCAGCAGCTAGTTCATTCGTTATTGTACGTAAATAAATATTATGCATCATTATAATTATTTATTATAAATTTTTAAATTAATTGAATTTATTCTCTGGATAAAATATTATATATTTTTGTAGAATTTCACTATAATATACATCAAGTTGGGTTATCCACGAATGGAGATGAAAAAACAAGCTGAATTACTATCTATTGTATTGAATGCCATAGAAGGGAAACCTTTGTCTCATCAAGACAGGTGAAATGAGCTTTATTATTCTTTAACTGGCAATAAACTAATAAATTTGTTAATCATTTTTCGTTAATGAGTTAACTATATGCAGGCATATACATTAGACATTATAACATGAGTAACAAATAAGTTACAAAATCTTTCATTTTATATTTTATGAGAAATATAAATAATTTATTTAAACAATTTTTTAACAATATTGAAAGAAATTTAAGGTATTTTAAGTATTAATATATAAATATTTATGGATAGAAACGAGAGAAAACTTTTGTCAGTAATTATAAATAATAACAAATGACAAAAATTTAGATGAATATCCCATCGAAATAAAAATTTGAAATATTATATTCCAAAAAAGTTAAGTCATTTTCAATTAGTCAGTAATAAACTTTATCTCACTTCATTTCATTGAAGGCCATGGTCTAAAGATTTTTCTGTAGGCTTTTCCAAATTTTATTCACAATGAATATAATGAATATAATTTACGTTGTCTTACAACTATTTCATTATTTTATTTCTAATAATTAAATTTTATGTTTTAGCCTACTACTAATGATAATGCCTGCCCTGGGTTACATAGACATTCCATCGAATCCTGAAAAACGTGCTGCCCTTTTGGGTCTCCAAGATAAACCTTACGTAACAAAACAACTACTGAATTTTATGTTGGACATGTTACTATTACCTTACGGCTCAATAGGCCAAGTGAATGATCGAGAACCGGGACAATCTATCGACTGGTCTCAATATCCAGTTCCTCCTGGTCTTAGCGAGTACTCATTTAAAAAAGTTATTGGTGACAATCCTCCAACTGCTGAGCAATTAGAAAAAATAAAACTAGGTATTGTAAAATTCGTATCTGGAGGTTTCTTTCCAGAATCTGATATATTAGTACATCTAATCGTAGCCGCAGCAGATACTCGTTTTAGTGTTGCTAACTTAGCTGATGCAGAATTGAAAAAAGTAGTCACCAGTCTAGATTGGTCATCAATGGAATTAGCTGTTCCACTTTACACACTATATTTAGGAAATACTAATTTAAAATCAAGCAAAAACATTAAACCAGAACATAAAAGGCAATCAGCAAATACACGAATTCGTTTGAAGCTTCTTCATTACTTATGTCGTGTTACAGGCGCTGGATTTATTATATCAGCATGTGTAGCATTAATTTTTGATACACTCTATGGAACCAATACGAACAAAAAACTTAAATCTCTTGCTCTAGACTTTACTCTTAAAATGGTCATGCAATGCAATCTCGAATCATTATCTCGTGTAGCTATGATCATTCATAACGGAATGATAAAATTCATTAAGGATGGTGAACCTGAGTATAAAATAAAAGCTTATATAATAGTTGGTCAACTGGGAAGTCGTATTCCAGATTTAGTAAAAAATGATTTTCGTTTTATTGGACATTTCTTTAAAGCTTTAGCAGATGCTGATGGTGAGACGAAAAGAATAATACGTGAAACATTAGTTACTTTATCATCAGCATTGGTATTAAATCCAGATGACGAAGTATCAATTAATAGTATGATTGAACTTCTTTCTATTTGTATTAAATTAAAAGCAGAACCAAGTGTGAGATCAACTGCTGTTCATTATGTAGCAACAATATTTCCACCTAATCATATACCATCACGATATTTATTACTTGTATCTTGTGGTGATGAGAAAAATGAAGTTTCATCAGAAGCTATTAAAGCATTGTATGGAACAGCTTATAGAAATGAACGTAATAAATCTGACATCAAAGCACATTTTTTCCCCGATTTCCCAGAAATAATTGTTTATCTCAATGAAAAAGCTCAAAAGAGATTGAGCTCAGCTAAAACATGTGTTAATATTGGTAATCATACTTTACCATATAATATAGCCACTTTGAACGAAATAATTAACTATCTACGGCTGTGTCTGGCTAAAAGCGCAAAATTACCATTACATGAAGGCCTAATTGAAAATCATCCTTGTGAATATACTCCTATGATTACTAGATATTGGAAAGAATTACTTGAACAGCATCCAGAATATCTAGATTATTATTTGGAACTCGTTACATTACCTGCTTATGTGACATCAGATGTAATTCCTCTTACAGCATTGTTAGAACTTGTTGGCACAATACCACCTCCAATGACTAATCGTTTTGTTAAAGATTTACCCTGGATTAGAACGCTACTTGGTTCTAAAAAAGCTGATGTCCGAGAATTAGCAGCAAAAATTCATGCAATAATTACGACTTATAATTTTGATTTGAAAGAATTTGAATTGCAAGTTGGTGAGTTAATTAATTTAACGAATAATCGAGATGTTGAAACACAACATGGTGCTGTACTTGCACTTTCATACATGATGGAACGTAAATTATTTGAATTGAGACATACTGAAAATCCTGATATGCTTCTTAGTTGGCCAATTTATAGTGAAACAATAAAGACAATGTGTAATTTCTTAAAAAGCAATACGATTCTTTTATCTGAAGCAGTGGTGCAAGGTATTGGTATTATTGGTAAGGTTTTTCCTTTGCCATTACCAGCAGAAACTACGGATGAAGGATTGAGCACGAAACAAATAGTTGAATATTTTTTTGAAATTTTGAATAATCCTAGATTAAATCATAAGATAAAAGAAATTGCCGTGCAATCATTGGGATTTTTATGCATTCAAGAGTCATTTGCACATACAAAATATATTGTAGAAAAATTTATTGATTTCGCTAAAGAAACTAAAAATTCTGTGATGCATTTTACCATTGCTGAGACTTTAGTACTTTGTATACAAAAATCAGGAGCTAAAGAAGCTCGAGACATTTGGAAAACGTTGCCTGATGAATATGAACAAAATTTCTCACAAGAAAGTGATAATCTCTTAGTATTTTTACTTGATCGATTATTAAAACTTGCAATTGATCCTCATCCCAATTCAAGACAGGCCATTTGTATTTGGTTAATAGCAATTTTACGTCATAACGCAAATCGTAAACAGGTAGTAGAACGACTAATCCAAATTCAAAGTGTTTTTATGGACTTTTTAGCAGAAAATAATGAATTAGTTCAAGATGTAGCGTCTAAAGGTATATGTTTGGTGTATGATAGTAGTGATGAAAATAATCGTGATATATTAATATCAAATTTACTTAATCAACTGTCAGATGGTCGTAGAAGTGTTCAACAAGTGACTCCAGATACTAAATTATTCGAAGAAGGACAATTAGGTAAAGCACCAAGTGGTGGTAATATAACAACTTACAAAGAAATTTGTTCGCTAGCATCAGATTTAAATAAACCAGATTTAATTTATAAATTTTTACATCTTGCTAATCACAATGCTGTCTGGACATCGAAAAAAGGTGCAGCTTATGGATTTTCAGCTATAGCATCAATTGCCAAAGATGAATTGAATAAGCACCTACCAAGAATAATACCTAAGCTATATAGATATCAATTTGATCCAACTCCTAAAATCCAACAAAGTATGGCAAGTATTTGGCATGCGATTGTTCCATCAACACAAAAAGTACTAGAGCAATATCATAATGAAATACTTGATGATCTTACATCTAATTTGGTCCACAGTCATTGGCGTGTAAGAATTAGTTGTTGTAATGCATTAGGAAATTTATTAAAATCTAGTGCAGCAATTGATTATGAAAAACGTGCTCCAGAGCTGTGGAACCAATTATTCCGAGTAATGGATGATATTCATGAAGAAACAAGCAATACTGCGATAAATACTGCAAAGTTGTTTAGCAAAGTATGTGTTTCACAATGTGATATTCAACGTGGTAAATCCGGGGAAAAAGTTTTACAAGCCATTTTACCTGTTTTATTAGATGTAGGCATTCTACATACAGTTAATAATGTAAGACAACTTTCATTACAAACAGTAGCACAATTGGTATCAAGTGCTGGAATTTTATTGAAACCATCATTAGTTAATCTTATTCCAGCGCTATTAACGGCTACAGATGTAGAAAATACAGAGTTAACTTATTTAAGTACCAAATACGGAGGACAAGAGGCTCAAGAAGTAGTTGATAATATGAGGATGAATGTTGCTAAAAATCACTACGCTACAGACACTATGAAAAAATGTACGCAGTATATTGATGCATCGATTTTAAAAGAAATGATGCCGAAGATAATTGAATTACTTAAATCAAGTATTGGTCTGGGATCTAAGGTATCTATTTCATATTTCTTAGTTTTACTTAGTTCCCAACACAAGCAAGAATTACAACCGTATGCTGGTAAAATTTTAAATGCCTTGATGAATGGTTTACTTGATAGAAATGGAACGATTAGAAAGACAAGTGCTAATACAATTGGTCATATTGTGGGATCAGCTAAAGATTCAAATCTTGAAAAATTGTTTAATACATTAAACAATTGGTATATGGAAAAAGAAGACGACTTCATAAGTATTGCTATTGGTCAAACTCTACAATCTATAAGCAATCATAATCATGATGTTATTAATAATTTTTTGGATATTGTAATACCATTGATATTTTTTGCAATGCATACAATTAAAACACCAGAAAACAAAAATACAATTGAATTATGGACTGAACTCTGGACCGAAGTAGTTCATGATACTGAATCAGCAATTAAACAGAATTTAGTTATTATTACAGAAAAATTACGTCTTGCTCTTGAATCACCTTCATGGACGATAAAAGCACAAGCAGCTAACGCAATTTCTACTATTGCTCAGAAGATAAGATCACCAATGGATGAGAACTCTCGAGTTATTTTATTGAATATCTTGATTACTCAATTACAAGGAAAAATTTGGAATGGTAAGGAATATCTTGTTAATGCACTAGCTGCTCTAGCTTGTAATAACAATGATGCTCTGGTTATGGTTGACAATGGTTTAACTGCTATGATTCTTGATGCATTGTATAAAGAAAGCAAAAAAAATAATATTGAGTATCGAAGACATGCTTTAAAAGCATTTGCTGATGTTTTACATGGATTTAAGATTGATCGATTTACACAAATATATGAAATAGCCCAAGAAATTTTAATTAAGATGTCAAAAAAAAGTGGTAATAATGATGATAGTAATAACAAAAATGACAGTGACAGTGATGATGATAATCCATCAGCAGAAGAAGTTGCAAGTATTCGAGAAAATAAAATAAAATTACAAGAAACAGTTTATGATGCTTTAGGTAAAGCATGGCCTTCTTCTCCATCCAACAAAGATACACAAGATAAATATTGTTTAGAAATTGTTGAACATTGTTGCAAAATATTACCGAATAGCACGAGGACTATACAATCTGCTATAATGACGACATTGAAATATTATGTAGAAAAACTCATAATTTTGCAGTTAAAATATGTGGAATTAACTGAAGAAGATAAGGAGAAATTAAATCAAATTTGTAAAACGCTTTATCAAATATTAACGATGGCTGTAAATATTCCTAAATATACTAAAATTCGAAAAGAAGCATTAAATATTGGATTAGTTTTAGCCAAAAATTTAATTGAAAGTGAAAATATACAAGAAATTGAGTCATTAAAAAATGTATTCCATCAATTATTACCAGAATTAACTCAGGATAATCAACCAGAAATTCGTAGCCGAGTAATTGACATCAAAGCCATACTAAAAATTCAATCGTGAATTACATTTTTATAATTTATTGTTTAATTATTTGTTAATCACCATCTTAACACTACTTATCTGATATTTTTTGTGTCAATCACTTAATTATCAAGTTGATTCAGATTTTTAGATTATTTGTAGATTCACCTATTCATGTCAATGGAAATTTGATTTTATTTATTAATACTAAGAAAAAAAATATTTAATGAGTTTGTTAATTAAACTTAATATTGATTTATTCAAAAGTTATGTATGTTTACAATATAATCACATTAGTGAATTATTATTAAAAAAATATGAAATTAAATAATATGATGTAGTTTTAACCAAAACTTTATTTTAATTTATTTATTTTTCCTAGTAAAATTGAAGCAGCAGAAAATGTCTTAGTTTTCAATATTTTATCAACAGTTTGTAATTTTGATATAAGAGTATCAATTACTTCTGTCTTTTCATTTTCGATTAATAAAATTAGTAAAAAACAAGCTCTATTAAATTCAAACCAATTTTTTAAAATTGAGCTATCCAGTTTATTAACTAATATTTCCCCAAAAGTTATATTATTCTTTTCAATACGATTCTTATCCGAAATGATGAGTTTTTTTAGTACCATATGGAGACCAGGATGTTCTAATGCTTTAAAGATTTTACCTTTATCGTTAGATGTAGAATCAGGATTGACAAGAAAGTCGGCAATGGCTTCAAAAGCTTGTTGTAATTTATTATCAAATCCAACTTTTAAAATAGCTAGAGTAACCATTGCAATAGAATTATTTGCAAGCCATTCACTCGTGTGAGTAGATATCGATTCTAAAAAAGGTTCAATAACGCCTTCGAGAAGTTCTTTTTCTCGAATATCTGCAGCTTTTTTACTAATTGCGTTTCCATCACCTTCTTGAAGTTGGGCAATTAGACTTGGATGAAAGTGATGTGTATCTCTTCTTGCAACTAAGTATAAAATAACTTTTTTACCGTACTCATTAACCATAATTTCTTTCAAATTTTCTAGAAATTCTGGAATCAATATTTTTTTGACAAGCACAGTATCATCAATCGAATCAAATATAGATAGAAGTATTAAATATCCGTATTCAGATGTAGCTAGATCTTTGATATGATCCTTTATTGATTTAAGTAACATTTTTCGATCTTTCGCAGTTCCATGCCATACACAAGTCATAGCTACTTTTGTGCCTTCTTTGGTTTTTGATAAACTCAAAACTGAATTTCTTAACATTATTATCATCTCACTGCGATCTTCTGATGAGCATACAGATAAATACTCTGCTAAGAGAGTTTGAATCAGAGGTGATGATACTAGATCTTTACTTAAAACTTTTATCAAGTTTATTTTTATGGCTGATAATATAGCTGTTTTCATATCTGGTACTTGTTGTAATAAGTCTGTTAATGATTTAATATTTTTATCTTTAGAATTTTTGTACATGTCTCCGAAAAATTCTTGCTGGAAATAAAGTTTTTCTTCATTCGATGTATGATGGCTATAAATGGTATCAATGATTGGAGAAGCAACAATATGTGTAATTAATTTTACTACGTGACCATAACAGACAGAAATGATTGCGCTTTTGACATCTTGTGAGCCATACTCTAAAAACATTTTTATACAATGCCTGGCATATTTTGATTGCATCATATCAAATAATGATGGTTTCAATTCATTTGCAATAGATTGCCTTATTTCCGGGTCACAAAATTTTAGGAGCCATTGAACAACTCGAGAGAGATCGTGCATAAAAACGAACTTTGGATAATTTCCTTGTAATAATTGATGTAACTTAATGGTTAATTCTTTTCGTTCTTTTTCATCACATGTTTTTTTTCTCATTGTTTCACTTATTTTTTTAGCTTCAACGGCTATCTCGAATATGTCATTTAATTTTTTAGATTTGCGATATATTTTTAATTTCTTTCTTTCTTCTTTAACTTCTCGCCAATTTGGCTTTGTTAGATTTTGTGGAGTATGAGAATAATTTTTTGTATGGAACCCTTTTGATTTTTTATCAAAATTAAGAGGTTTTTCAAATTTTTTTTTATTGGGCTGATTATTTATCGAGTTTTTACTCAATACTTCAGATTTAAATTTCTTCTCCGAAATCTCTTCATCTCCGCTTGGTATCGTTACATTTTCTTTACGCTTCATTGTTTATTATTTCCCTTTCTGTAACAAAGTAATTCATTGCAATAGATTATAGATTTTATCTCAGATATGCATGGAAAAATTAAGTCAATCATGTGAGAAATTATGTGAAAATGAGATTAGTGGAAAAATAATTTATTCACAAATTCGAATAGATCAAGTTAATTACTTTACTAATTTTATTATAATTTTTTGTAAAAGATTGATAGTTATAAAACTTGATGTAGAAACTATAAGATCTCTCAGAAACAATTTTTTAATTGAATGTAAATGAAACATGCACAATTGTCATTAGATTATTAGCTATTAATTGCTTTATTAATGAATTCCAGTATAATTATTATCGTTCAACAGTTTTCAGTAATAAAAAAATTGCATGTACTTGAATTTTATAAAGTAATAACAAATTTAAAAAAGTGCTTACGTATTGATTATATCTAAAATGTAAATAAATTTTTTTTTATATGAAATCAAATATAAAAATAAATGAAAATTATATTTACCTGTGTTTTAAAATTTTTTTATTGTTATTTGTAGATAATTTAACTAATTTTATTGTTAAAAATAGTAAATTTTTCACAATAAAAGAACTATATAACCTCTACTAATATTGTGAAAGCGGCATGGAGCCCTGTTAACACATGTTATTTACAGTAAAATAAACTAAGGAGTCTAGCCTACTACAGTGCTGGACATAAATGCTGTGTGATTTTCTATAGGAGGGTATAGGGAAATCGCACGTATATCCTTCAAAAAATTAAACAGCATTCATGTCCGGTACTGTACACTGAAAAAAAAAACGTGATACCTACAATGTATGCTAACAACGGATACAAAGTATACTCAAATCAAGTATAATTATTGTTAAGTACAAGTATTCTTTCTACAAGAAGGCTGTACAAACATATACTCATTTGTCACTAAAAAATTTTGAAAATTGAAGTAGACTTGGTATTTTGTTATACTAATCCAACTACAAAATTTCAGTCAAAAAATGTTTATAGCTAAAGTTTTTGCTGCTCAATGCTAATGAATCACTTACTCACATAAAAATCATCATTTACTAAATATACTTACATTATTTACTTGTACCACGTACATTAATTATTCATTTAGAATAAATTTATTACTTCTTGAAAAAAGAAGATTACTTAAAAGCATATGTACTTTTTGCTCATAGAAAATACAAAAACTACCTGTCTTGAAAACACTTTTTACGCTGTTTTTTATAGAAAATTTATTAATTTTGAATATAAAATTGACTTTTTATGAATATTAAATTTCCTTCTGTCGATAATGTAGCAATTCCATACCGTAAATATTATTTACTTATCTCAAGTAAAATATTAGGAAATTTTGGAATATTATAAATTTGATTACAGTAGACTATTTAATAATGTTATAAATAAATATTACTGACATAAAACATAATGTTTTCTATAAATGTAATTTATTTTTTTTTCATTAGAATAATTATTTTTACTTCTGTTAGGTATATTCTAAACTTTAATTATAGAGTTATACAATTTACTCGTTTCAAAAACATTGGCTCTCTACCAAAATATACTTTTTACTGAAAGTCAGTATACGAGTTACCCGCACGAAAAATAATCCTTTCTTCAGGTTTGAAACTGAATTACTTGCGTCAGGAATATATGTTAATTGAATAAAAAATATGTTTCACTCGTTTTAGATGCACTGATGTTTCACTAAGAGCATACTTTTTATTTAAATTTGACATGTAAATCACACATGCGATAAATTTTTTTTCTTAAAGTTACAAAAACTTCTACTTGTACCCAGAAGAATTGTTGGTATATGGAAAATGTGTTTTACTTGTTTCAACAAAACAATCTACTCAATAGAAACATAATGTTTAGTTGACTTCAGTACGTCGTAATACGAATATCTTTTCAGTATACTGGTTACCTGTATGAAGAGTGCTTTTCACTTGTTTTTATAATATTATTAATTTCATGACATCAATTATATTACTTAATTCAAGTACAATGATAAATAATATAAAGAATATCATTGTTGAAATATTAATTTACTATTTACTTGTATTGAAATAATAATGTACATATTTTTGACTTATATATTTTTTTTAATTGGGTATATAGAATTATCTTGTGAAAACATTTTACTATTTATATTAAGTATAATTTTCTTTCATTAATGACTTTATTATTACTATTTTCTATTATATTTATTATTGGTGCTAAAAATATAACTTCGTTGAAATTTATGTATCTCTTACTTGTAATATAGTCATCTTATACTTTTTTTAATAATATATTTTTTTAAACAGTCTTTATTGAATATTCGCTCAAAGTATAAATTTTTATTTGTACAGAGTATATTATCTTTTTAGGATTATTATAATACTAACACTTATAGAATACATATTTTACTCGTTGAAAAAGTATTGCCTTTTTTACTCCACCACTCTTGTTACCTATTTGAAGAATATTGTTTAATTGTATTAAGAATGCTAATAATACTTGTCAAGTACATGTTGTACTTAAACTGAAAATTATGTTTTTTAAAAAATAATACGCTGAGTACTGTTCCAATATATAATGGATTTTAAATTGTGGTGTATGCTAATCATTGTATTTTAACATTTTACTTTTTTGTTATTTATGTAATTATTGTTGTCTTATTGTTAAATTATAGATTCATATTTCTAATAAGATAAATAGTTATTTAATAAAGTCTAATCTCATTAGGAATGTAAATATGAATTCATCAAAAAGACAACAATAATTATATAAATGGCAAAAAAGTAAAATGCTAAAATATAATGATTATTAGTATACATATATACACCACAATTCAACAATCCAATGTATGGACATGATGTTATTTATATGATGTAAATAATTACAATCATTAGATATAAGTACAAACTATTAGTATATATTAAGCTCATAAAAATCTTACTATATTACATTTTTTTTTATAAATATTACATTACAATTATTCTGCATTGAAATTTTTATTTTTTATTATACTTTCTTTCTACATAAAAATTGTAATCTTAAATAACTTAAAATTACTTTTCCCATTTACATAATACGATAATAGTGATAAATTTAAGTATATTAATATTATTTTTGATAACACGGGACAGTTTTCTTTATTTCATTTTCGAATAAAAAGTAAATTATTTTAGTTATTAATAATAGATTATATATAAGTTGGTTGATGCTAAAAATTATTGTTAAATTATCTAAATTGTATAATATTAATTAATATTTATAATACAAAAAGTTAACTAATCATCAGCTCAATAATCATGAGAATACTTTTTATTTATTTGTGGCAAAAATACAATTCTTAGTGTATAAAAGTATAGTTTATTGTCGCATTGAATAAATAATTTATAAAAATAAACCTATGAGATTACTTGTAGTTATCAAGATTAATAACAATTTATTTCATTATAATAGGGTCATAATCAACGTTATACCAAAAGCTATTAACTATTAAAATGAATTCTTATTTTGGTTAAACATTCTAATTTAAATCACAGAATCCAATTGAAAACTTTGAATCAAATTTAATCAGATTAAAGAGAATCAACTGAAATATCAAAACTCATCCCATCATATTTTTTGGTTCATTCTAAAGCCTTATTAATGATTTCTTTTTAACAGGTGTATTTTCATGCTATGCTTACTACGGAAGATAATATTTCAAGTGATACTTTAATTAGTAATAATCGTAATACATGGCAAGGAAGGAATATCAGCGAATTAGAAAAATTACTCTGCAAGGTTGAGTGTATAAATTTCAAAAATAATCTACTAGCTAAATGTAATTTTTGTACGTCTTTTCTATGCAAATAATTTAAACCCCTTATGAATTTTTTTCACATTATTTTTAAAAATGAAACTTATAAAATACGTTTCTAAAAGATTGGTTATTATTATATACTTTAATAGAACGATTCATTTCTATTGTCAATTAATATGAAACATCTGTAGTTCTATCAAGTGTTAATTCTTAAGAAAGAATCACATTATTAGACTTTCATTTCTATATTTCTCATTTTATAATATTGATCAACTTACTGAGGAAGATGGGACGTCCGGAGCAACAATAGGGTAGGAATGAGTATGAGGAAGATAGCGCAGTAGGGACGGAGAGGAAGGGGACAACGGGGCGAGCTGAGAAGCGAGGGCCGGCTCAAGGATACGGGGGAAGAAACACAAAACGGGCCCGTGGTATCAAACCAGAAGATGATATAGACGTGAAATGGTAGCACGAGGAGCGGCTGAGGGAAATGGGATAACGTTAGGTAAGGGGAAGGGATGGAAGCGGACCTAATGGGGATGGAGAACGACAGAGAATAAAAAATAAACATTTCAATGCACAAAAAAACAAAGAAAATGAATGTTACTTCATCTGTCTAAAAAAAAAGCATAGAGGACGCTTGGTATGCGCGGAAGAGCGACGAATAGGGGTGTACGGAGAGCGAAGGAGGGGAATGAGTTTACCGCCAGAGAAATAACAGCAGGTGCCATACATGGTGGAGGTTTGACGGGGGGGGTAGGAGCCTCACGAATGCCTGAGCCGGGTAGCAGGGACGGGTGGGCCCAGGTAGTAGCCGATATGGGTGGCGTGGTGCGGACGTCCGAGGGACATGCCTAATGAGAGGATGACGTGCGTAAATGATACGAGGTCTCTTCTTCGCCATCTGCAGCTATAAGGTCCCACGAAGACAACAATATGACTACCTACACCAAAAAAAAAGGAATAATGGGAAAAAATACAATGATGAGCTGACACCACAATGGAAAAGCCAGTAGCTTTGGAACAGGACTTCGCGGATGATTTGTTAAAACACATAAGGGTCAGTGTACGTACCACAGGTCCGGGCCCAGGCTGCGTAGCATGCGTCATACAAGGAAACATCTCGGCGGCAAAGAGGGAACAGTAGGGGGAGCGAAAAAAGGCAAGACGTGGGGCAACGAGTGTCAAAATATTTCACTGGCGAAGGGGGAGGCGAGAAAATCCGACTACCCGAGACGTCGGACGCGGGACAAAGAAAAAGGGCGTCCGCTGTAGCGTCTAGGCAAGCTATCGAGGGTGAAAAAAAAAGGAGTATTCAAAGAAAGGAGAAGGATGACTGAGAGGACAAGGAAGATGATACAGTAAATTGCACCGCCGTCTGCTGTGTAGCACCACTACTCAAGAGTAATGAGCCTCAGCGTCCCTACTCAAGTCCTCATGAAAGAATAACGGATGACGGAAGAGAAAGCGGCAAATGGGTTCACAAGAGAATGCGAGCTGACCCAAGGAAAAAACGTCGCATCGGCCAAATCTGGACAGGAGGATTTCAATACCCGGTAAATAGAATTTAATCTTTCAACACGGAGAGTGTCTGGATAGTATGTAGCAGGGACTGTGAAGGATAGGAATAAGGCGGGCAGGGAAATGAAGAATGTAATATGTATAAAACAAGTGAAAAGCACTCTTCATACAGGTAACCAGTATACTGAAAAGATATTCGTATTACGACGTACTGAAGTCAACTAAACATTATGTTTCTATTGAGTAGATTGTTTTGTTGAAACAAGTAAAACACATTTTCCATATACCAACAATTCTTCTGGGTACAAGTAGAAGTTTTTGTAACTTTAAGAAAAAAAATTTATCGCATGTGTGATTTACATGTCAAATTTAAATAAAAAGTATGCTCTTAGTGAAACATCAGTGCATCTAAAACGAGTGAAACATATTTTTTATTCAATTAACATATATTCCTGACGCAAGTAATTCAGTTTCAAACCTGAAGAAAGGATTATTTTTCGTGCGGGTAACTCGTATACTGACTTTCAGTAAAAAGTATATTTTGGTAGAGAGCCAATGTTTTTGAAACGAGTAAATTGTATAACTCTATAATTAAAGTTTAGAATATACCTAACAGAAGTAAAAATAATTATTCTAATGAAAAAAAAATAAATTACATTTATAGAAAACATTATGTTTTATGTCAGTAATATTTATTTATAACATTATTAAATAGTCTACTGTAATCAAATTTATAATATTCCAAAATTTCCTAATATTTTACTTGAGATAAGTAAATAATATTTACGGTATGGAATTGCTACATTATCGACAGAAGGAAATTTAATATTCATAAAAAGTCAATTTTATATTCAAAATTAATAAATTTTTTACAATGATACAGTAAACCTTCTTTATTATAAAAGTAAAGATTGTATTGACATCAAGCAAGAAAAAATCAAGATGCAAGTCATTGGTATATTTACAGCCAGAATACTATGAGGAAAAGTACAAATTTCTTTTCAATATACCGAAATGTGGTAAACAGTATACCTGGATATCTTAGGTTGTCAATTATACCAAATATCAGTGTATATTGTACTCATATCAAGTTTCTAGATTTTACAGACTAAGTTTTTAATGTAATTGATATTAATATCCTTGGTACATTTATTACCACTCTAGTTTTCTAATGGGCTGTTTAATCTGCACTTTTATTAAATACTTTTTTGTTTATTCACAAAATTTGTGTTTTCTCATTCCAAGTAAATTATCTATATCTCCATCAATACTTCTTTACCGATCAATTTTTTACTTAAAACAAGTAAGCTATATATTTTTGTACCGCTAAAACCTCCTGTGAGTGTACACTCGGCTTCATTAATGCTTTCTCTATACCATAAGATCAATTACCGACTGAAATATATTATTTTTTTAAATAAAGTTTCCAATCATGCATTTTTTAAACCTGGGTAAAAAAAATGATAACAATGGATGAATATATGTATTTTAAGTTATTTTCAGGTATTATAATAATTAATGGTAAATAAGTATCATCATTTTCATCTATTTTAGCTGCAATAGTCATCAAAGTGTAGGGCATTGTAAAGTGTCACACTCTATTTACATCACATACATGATTATAGTTGTCCCGGAGAAAGTTTTCTTCGGGTGTTTCCGTGAAGTCAAGTCCGCAAAAAAAAGTAGTCCATCCAAAACTTTGACGCATGCGCACAATACTTTTATAGGTAAGAAATGTTCCGTTTTTACCGACTTAAGATATAAATGAAGATCTTTTGGCGGTTCTACTTTCAATTGTTTTGAATAACATTGATAACGTAGCTCTTCATTATTGAACAATATTACCAAAAATACTCATACGTTATAATTAATTGTTATAAACATCAAATTTCACTACGATTACATAAATAGCATAATTAGTTTAATAGTTTAATTATAAATAGTTAAGGTTTTGGAGTTCATGTGTGTGAAAATTTGTTGCTTGTGATTGTGATATCATTGTGGTTTTGATATTAATATTAATATTCATTTATTGGATTGTGTTTCTGTCTATCTATATCTATTGTAAGTTCGTTATTAATTGGATTTTTTTTTTCCATGACAATGAAGCAACATTCACCCAAGAAACCAAGGAAGCTGAAGAGATGGTCAATTTATACGAACGATAAAAGAGGAAGATCCTTTAATTCGCAATTCCAAGCTGCGATTTGTAATTTACACGAAGCCTTAGAAGTGGAGAAAAAGCTTGGAGATCTTTTAGTTCCTTTGGAAAACGTCAGGTATTTATATTCAATATTATCTTCATAAATAAATGGTAATGAATTGTAATGAAAGATAATATTTTTTATTTTCAGAGAAAGAGTTGCTACATATTTGAACATATCATTACCTAGTGTGACCAAATATGTGGAGATTGGGGCCACAGGGCAACAATTTGAGACTCCTGGGAAGGTTCGACCTCATCCTGCACCAAAACGGAGTATTCCTGATAAGGTAAAAGATGACATTTACCATGTTATTTATGACATTTACAATCAGCGAAGGACTGTGACAGTAAAGGAGTTATTGCAGATAATAAGGTAAGTTTGCATGTTGTTTTATGGTTGTTTAAATTATAATTTTGCATGGTGTGGCCACTACATGGACGCAAATAAACTGGCATTTTACTTTGCTTTGTTTGGGGAAAATTTTGCCTGTGTTTATTCTTCTTTTCTCGTTCTTTTTCTTCCTATCAGAGAAAAGAAGATCGAATTTCACGGTGGAGAGGAGATTTTCCGGAAAATCCTGCATGATAAGGGATTTTCCTACAAAAAAAGGGATGGCAAGCGTTATGTGGTTGAACAACCACATATCATTTTTAAAAAGATTAAATTTCCTGAAGGCATATAGGGACAACATGCTGGATTCCAAGAGACGAGACGTCGTCTTCTTAGATGAAACTTGGACATTTCAGAGAGGAACCGGAAAAACTCGCGATTGGCAGTCTGGAGATTTCCGGAGCTGTTCCATCAAGAGTGCTGCAACAGGGAGTAGATATTTGGTTTGTCACGCAGGTGGTGAAAATGGGTTTATTTCAGGTGCTTCACTACTGCTGAACACAAAGAAAAAACCAAAAGATGGAGACGATTATCATGGAGATATGGATGCAGCTTTATTTAAGAAATGGTTTTCCACGCAACTTCTTCCCAACCTGAAGAAACCATCTCTAATTATCATGGACAATGCTGCCTATCATAGTAAAATGGTATGTATCACAGTTTTAACATGAATTAATTTATGTATATTCATCTCAATAAGTTACTTAATAAGCGCCATCATCATTCTTTCAGGTAAATCCACAACCTTCATCGAACTGGACGAAAGCCCAACTCATGAAGTGGCTTGAAGAACGCAGCATTTCTTTTAGGATCGACGAGAAGAATAAGGATCTCCTTCACAAGTGCCAGGCTCATAAGGAGGATATAAAATATGAAATAGACGAAATAGTGGCCCAAACTGAGCATAAAATACTTCGTCTGCCTCCATACCATTGCTGTTATAACCCAATCGAGATGGTTTGGGGGATAACAAAAAGGTATTTTGACAAACATGTTGGTCGAGGGAATGATTTTTCTGAGGCCAACATGTTGAACATTTGGCAAGAGGCACTGGACCAGGTCGACGCCGGCATTTGGAGAAAATGCTGTCAGAAGGTGGAGGAGAAAATTTTACACGATTGTGCTCGTGAATTGGATAATCCAAATGTATATTTGTATATTTATATCTCGTCGTATCCGACTTTTTCCTATTTTTACTACTCTAATTTCTTTTTTCAGCTCATACAAGAAGTCGATGACACAAGCATCACACCAATGGATGTAGACACTGATGAAAATGACGATGATGATGAATGGGAAGACATAGCGGATGAAGAGATTGGCCTATTGAATGTCAGTGGAGTAGATTTTTTGCCAGAGCTCCGTGAGATGGAAGTGCCTTGTCAAGAAATCTCCAAAGTTGATAGCCAATCGTCAATCTTACCAAGGCTCCCTTCATGTAAAAGATCTCTTTTTGAGGCTTTCAACCAAGAAAAGGTAAGATTTATTTTAGTGCAGTTTCGAGTTATAGTAAAATGCTTATTAACGTTTTCATTTTATATTTGTTTCAGAGTGATCAATCACTTTCGCCTCCTTTGCCCCAAATCTCTCAAGAGGAACTTAATATGGCTGTAAGCTATGTTGTGGATAACTCTGAGCCAAAAGTAACATCGCTGCTAGATGATTATAAGGTACTTCGTCATTATTTTACTTTTATTGCATTACAACAAACGCTAAGCTTATATTATTAATAAAAATTTTAGGACTGTTTGGGCCCGGATGACACACTAATCAAAACAAAGGTAAAAATATCGATATATGTGAGGGATTTAAAAACATTGTACCCTCCAACATGGCTGAATGATCAGGTAAGTGATATGAATTTTCTCTAGTAGACAGAGAGCAGATTAAGCAGCAGACTGTCGTAAATCTGACGCAGTTTTGACAGAACAGAGCAGAACTATATCAGACTTACAGCAGTCTGCTTCTTAATCTGCTTTATGTCTACTGGGGGTGTTACTACCTTTACATTATATCTATTCACTATGTATTAACTTGTTTCAGATCATCAATGTCTACTTCGAGATGATTGCAGAAAGGGGAGCACCGTCAATTTACGCCTGCAACACCTTCTTCTTTCAACAGCTGGTACGTGGAGGATACACATCTGTAAAATCATGGACTAAAAAGGTAGGCATTATTAAACTATACACCTCATTTAACATTCTTTGCAGAAATTGATTCTTATGGTATGCATTGTGCTCTTCAACAGGTTCGAATATTCTCCATGCGAATGATGATGGTACCAATTCATCTGGGTGCTCATTGGTGTTTGGCGGTGGTAAACTTTGAAGATCAATCGATCATTTATTATGATAGCCAGTATGGAAAAAATGATCCATGCCTCCAAGTAAGTAGTTGATTAAAATTGTATATATTTATTGCGACAAAAAATAACCATCTGTGCAAATTATTTTCAACAGGCTTTGCTGGATTACCTGTGCGAAGAGCACCTGGCCGTGGAAAAGAAGCCCCTCGATCGAACTTTATGGACCCTACATCACGCCAAGGTAAGTAAAAAACTAATTCCGAATCTATTGTTTTCATTCGTTCCATAATATTGTCAATTTGTTCTTTTCAGGGTATTCCAAGGCAATTTAATGGGTATGATTGTGGAGTGTTTGTCTGTGCTTATGCTGAGCACATTTCAAGAGGCGAGCCACTCAATTTTTCAGCGAAGGATATGTATAACATTCGAGGACAAATATTGGATGAAATAATATCCAATGTGTTACACTTCCCTTCGAACACAAAACACTACAGGAGAGAAAACTAATCAGTAAGTATCATGCATGCAAAAGATAATAATTAAGTACCGTGTAATCAAAAATGTTTTATTTCCAGGCATTGGATCGACTACCTTCTTCTGCTGCAACCTTGGACCCTGTCGTGATCGGAGAAATAAAAAAAAAAGATAAGTATTTTTTCAAACATAACATCTGTCTGAAATGCTGATATTGGAATAGTATATTAAAGCTGTCTGTCGATTTTCAGATTATCCTGACTAAATTTAATCGAAGTATAACAACAAAAGACTTTACGTGCATTGAAATGCAGACTGGTCGTCCATGGACTTATCAAACTGATTTATATTGTGTAGCTGTTTCACCTCATTGTCTTTATTTTGAGGGAAACACATGAGAGCTGTTTTGTCTGGTAACCGTTGGTTCATTAATTGAAAAATGTCAAGGTAATGTATAACACTTTCATTGAAACATTGGTTAATTTACGTGAATTATTTTCAGATTAAATATCAATCCATTATAGTAATAATAATAATAATAATAATAATAATAATAATAATAAAATCAACTCTAAAGAAACTGATCATAAAGGACTGAGTGAAGTGGATATTCAATGGAGGAAGTTGAATCAGATGCCATGCAATTATTATTATAAGTAAATATGAATTTTTTCAATTACAATAAATAATAGAACGCTAGTCATTTTATTTAATAGTTATTTTATTTTTGCAGAAGTGAGGAAAGCCTTGTGAAATATTTGCAACTGTGTCCAAGGAAATATGGCTGTGGAAAATGCTCTCTCATATTCATGTCTCATATCAACTGCATGATGAGGATGTCGCCTTTGCTCATGCAAGTGTTGAAGAGCCGAATGAAGATGAACTGTTAATGGAAGAAGAAAGGTCGAATGATATAAAGCGGGAATATTTCGTGAATAATACTCAATCTTTCACTTGTCCTACTTGTGACAAGGTATTTTATTTATTTTTTTTAATTTATTAGACTTTTTTCTATAAACTTCCTGTTAAGTTGAAATTATTACTGTTATTTTTATGTAGGTATGCACCCAACAAAGTGCTTTTTCAAGATACCGGTGTGGAGTTTGTCAATCACATCATTTGTCCTTCGAGAATTAGCTGTAGCACATATTAGATCTGTACATCCTCTCATGCCTTGTTAATGTCCATATTGCAAGAAACGCGCAATAATTATAAAAGAGGATTTGTTCTAATACGTGATAATGAACCTGTAGCCTGTTTATGTTAATCTAACAAATTTTTGCGTTAGTTTAAAAGAAAAAAAATGAGAATAATCCTTACTTTACTTTAACAATGCAACAGCAAAGTTATGTTTGTTAATTAAGAAGTAAGAAGCTGGCTTTACCTAAAATAATGTAAAAATAAAATTAAATGATTTAAAATAGATCAATTGGAGTTATTAATCATTAACCTTTATTTTCATTAATATTTGCATAATAAAATCATTGGTTCATAATACGTTGCACCGGTGAAAATATTCAGCGTTTCGTATTTACCGCGCGGCGTAGTAATATGTAAAATAGTACGGCGCATGCGCTTTTCATTTAACCCGAATTAACCCGAAGGAAACTCTTTCTCCGGGACAACTATACCCGTACACACACATACACAAATTACTCGCCAAAATGCAGGACACCATCAGTTCTGGATACGGATTGAGCATTTTTTCAATATGGATGAGTGGGATCAAATGTAATCATGGTTCCGCCAGAGAAGAGAGACCATACAAAGTATAGGTCTCTCTTCTCTGGTTCTGCATCTGTTAGACTTCTTTGAATGAATTCATTCATTAATGTCTAACGATAATCATCCCAAATCGTAGTTTTCTAATTTCTTCGTAATTATCCAATTTTACCACCTGAAATAATTTTTTTTATGCTTAGAAATGTTGCAAGAAGTGCGCTAGACAACATTTAGGAGCTGAAATGAGATAGAAAATAAATAATTCACGATTTCTTTTCATAACCTTGTAGCGGCCATTTTGGAATTGAAGCGCGGCAAATCAATTCATAATTATTCAATTTTCTTTTTAATTTTTTTATTAAAAAAATTAATTGGATAATCGAAATTGCTATCTAGCGTACTGCATCATAAAACAAGCTTTAATTTGGGACCAAAATTTCCAAGTAAAAACCTAAATTCGCGGAGAAATTAGAAAACTACGATCCTATGTATTTGGGTAGGAGGAATCAGTCGCCTCCGTGACTTTAGCCCAGCCTTAATAATAATTTTGTTCGCGAAAACTATCGATTTGCGAATATAAGGTTCCATATCAGATCGTTTCTATTTATTTTTTTACATAACATATATCCGGCTTCGCTATAAGTTACAGGACACCCTGTATTTTAATTTAAAGAAGCATAACCTGCAAAAATCATCTTATAACTTGACACAGTAGAGCCTCGCTTGACGTAAGGGCAAAATGGCGGTGATGGTGGTGATTTATGCTTGACGCCCGAGATACTACTTAATGGACGTGTTTCTTGATTATGGAAATAATGTTTTTCGCAAAGCATCAAATTAATTATTTATATATTTATGAATAAAGCTCATAATTACTTCAGATAAAAATTCATTTTGGTACGATAACCACGCGGTTTTTCAAACAACTTTTATCTTGTTTATTGTTATGAAGAGGATTTATACTATGGATTTTTCAAATTCGCATAGTACTGTTCCAAACAAAAGTAAATATTTTCATGCAAATACATGTTTATTTAAATAATATTCATTAATTATTATATACATTATTTACTATGACTTTTCAGTACAACTTTTAGAAACTAAAAATCCAATTGAAATTTCACCGATCACTTTGACACCAACTAAGGCTCCTGCGGAAGATTTACTTGCATTAGCAACAGAAATACAGAAGGTAATTCTAAAATTGATTAAATCAACTATTAAGAAGTAATAACATCATTTGAATGATCAAAAATGAATTGTTTATAGGCTGACACTTTTGTCAAAGCAAACGCAATAAATAAACTTCAGATAATTACAGAAAATATAAGATTTTTGCAAAAGCAAACTGAAAGAATCTTATTTGAAGCTAAAGAAAATGCCATATTACACCATGCTGCTTGTAATTTTATTAAGCATCCCGGTCATATTTACCATTTGTACGAAAAACAATCTGGAGAATATTATTTTTCCATGCTTAGTCCCGAAGAATGGGGAGAAAATAGTCCTCCTCAAATATTCAAAGGATCTTATCGATTAGAATGCGATCAATCATGGACACCTGTATCACAAATTGAATCCAAAGATGCAGAATTGAGTTTTTTAAATAAAAGTATATTAAGAAGTCCGGTTTTAGCATTAAATCCTTCAGATTCAATGAATATAAGTTAAGTGTGTGTTATTGCTACAGAGTCGTTAGTTGTAATTAAGATTTTTTTCGACCGAATAAAAAAATATATACTTATAAATAAATAAATACATATATGTTGTAAATACATGAAATCAAAAAATTAGAATTAAATATAATAGTTATGGAATAAAATCTAATTTCTTATTTGTATTTCCCTAATTTATAATTTTTTAAAATTTTAATTCATTCTAATAATAATTATCATTTAGTAATAAAAAATATACCAAGAATAATGTTTTTTAATAAAGAAGTGAAATAAATTTCTTTTATTTATATTTTTTTTTAATTTCAGTCAAGATTATTTAAACTAATTTATATACAATGTAAAATATCGTCTTATCATTATTCAATATGTACATAATTAAGTAGCTTTTAATTTAAAAAGTTTCAAAAATTAAATGTTCAAGATACCCTTACTCAATCGATCGGTATAAATTACGATTAGATTGTTGTCGTTCGGAAGGATACATATAATAGTCAATTGACTATAATACATATTATTCCTCTGAACGAGAAATGAATACATTTCCGTGAATTCATATCACGTAAATTTTTACAGTAATGAATTTTATTTTTATTGACCAGTATAATTGAAAAGTCAACAATCATATCAGTAAGCTACTCATTAAACTTTTTTATATTGAACAAATTTTTAATTACAAAAATAAAATACTCGGTGCAAATGAGTTTTGAGATAGTTTTTATCTTTACTAACCTAACATTGCAGTTTATCGGCATTTGTTTATTTCACTTATCTGTTTAATATTGTTAATGTTTTTCTACCTTTTTATTTTTTTTACTATTAATCTATAAATTTGTTGTAAAAAATATATATTCCTTGGATGACAATTCTTATTAACAATACATTATTTTCAGATATGATTGAAATAAGCGTCGGAGAAACAGACAGTGATAACATAGAAGTATTAGTAGATTCAACATTAAATACTGAAAAAAGTATTCATTTAATAAATCCATTTGCACAATTTAAATCGAAAATATCAAATAAACGATTTTTAGATCAATCTCATAATAATAGTGATATTGAACAATGTGCAAAAAAAGTACACCAAGAATTACGACCCATACAATCAATTATTGAGAGTAATAAGCTATTAGATCATGACATTATTGAAATAGAAGACGAAGTAAAAGAAAAGAGTGGTAATACAGAAGGAAAAATGGATAAAACTGAACTATCAAAGCTTCAACATAATAGCCATGATCGACAGGTAAATTTGATTTTCGCGTAAATATATTAACATATTAATATGTATATATATATTGTATATATATATATATATATATATATATATGTTCTATTATCATAGAATAATAAATACTAAATAAAGAAACTTTTCAGAAAAAAAATAACCATAATACACAAAATTTTAATAATTATAACAATACTCTAGTAAGTGATAATAAAGAAGAATGTGAGGTTGTTTGGGCAGGAATTGGCGATAAATCTATGGAAAATTACATAAAGGAAGAAGTAAAAAAAAGAGTAAAGGAAAAAGTCGAAGCATTTGAAAGTATGACTAAAGCCCAGATGGAACATGAACGAATTTTAATGAATAAATATAGAAAGATAGAAACAGAGTACGCTTTAGAATTAGAAAAACAAAAAAATGAAAAAGAAGATAAACAAAGAAAAAATGAAATACAAGAGGAGTACAAAGATGAGTTTGTACAAGCAATTTTATTTGAAAAAAACTTAGAAGAGAAAGAATTAATATTGAGGAATCGAATAGAAAGATTAAAATTAATAGAATCAAAATTTGTACAACAAACACTAGAAATAAAATTACTAAGACAACAAAATCGAGAATTGTTGAAAATGAAAATAAAAGAATGGGAAGATAAAGAAAAATTAAACCAGGAGGGTCAACAAGGAATATCGATTGAAGATTATAAAGTTTTAATCAACAATAAATCCATAGATTGTGAGTGCATAGATGACATAATCACTAATAAATCCAAATCTAGCACTGAAGAAATAAAGTATGTACCGAAATTAAATGAATTACAAGAACGTAGGAATACTCAGTTATTAACGAACAGAGCAGAAAGGGAAAAATGTAGACCCACTCGAATGTCTCATGAAGAGTGGGAGAATGAAAAAAAAGAAAGAGATAAAAGGAACCTCAATCTTAAGATTAAAGGTTTGAAATCTGAGATGGGACCAAAAGATTTAGAAACATATTTGAAACGAGAAATGGGAATAATAGTGAAGGTTAAACACGTAATGAAAGTTGGTAAAGATATAATTGTTCAATTGAAAGATATGATATACAAAAGGAATATTCTTCAGAGAGTAAAACCTAATAATAGTGGAATAAGTATAATAAATGATTTTACATGTAGAGAAGAAGAGGTACAAAAGTGGTTGAGGGATGAAGCTGATTGGTTACGATTAAACGGATATTCTGTAAAAACTAAACCCATGAGGTTGATGATTAACGGAATCAACTGGGTTTGGAATGAAGTACTTGGAGACTTGATACCTGAAAGAATCTAATTAAAACTTTTTATTTGTATAATTATTTTATGTTTGTTTAATTACAATATTTCATAAAATTTCTTCTTTTTTTACAAATAATTTTGTTTCCTCATTTTTATAAATAAAATTTTATTGTCTAAAAGATAAAATTATATCATAATATTATGATAAAACTTCACTTTATTTCAAAAATCATAAACTTTAAAAAAATACATTTCTTAAATGTTGTAATACGAAGTTATATTCAAATAAATATTTTTATTATTTCATAATAAATTGTTTAATATTGAATTAAATATTTATTTATTTACACTCTAAATTTAGCGAATGGATGGAAAGTACAGACTTACTTTATACATAATTAAAACTACATAATAACGAACAGGATGAAATAATAATAGAGGGAGCTAGATTCAGAACTACTCCAAAGTATATTTTTTGGCCAATGAAACTATATCTCTTTTGTCAGATGTACTATATACATATTTAGAAATGTCTTTTTGTTGTAGATGAAAATTCCGTATCAAGCATTGGCTTTTTTGGGTAAAAAAATGATGTTCAGTCGTAGTTAGTAAACGTGATTTAGTGTAAAAATATATATGATTCATTAGAGATAAAGAAAGATGTGTGGAAAAATAACATAAAAGATTTACAAGCTTTGTTCGTGCGTTTTATTAAGTGTAATGTATCCAAACACTAGTAGTTTAACTCGAGTACGTGTTCTATAGTGGTGTGTTATGAATATAAAAATTCATCAATAATCGATAGTATAATTATACAATCGTATTAATTACTATAATTCATAATATTTATTATTATAATTGAAATAATAATAATACTTATATTTGTGAATATTATAAGATTACGTAAAAAAATTTTCACGGAAATTGTATTCATCTGGATTTTATCAAAATGGCAGATTGGTGGTCTACAGTAGAAACGACAGAGTCTGAATCGCGTGATAATCGTCTTCGTCGAGAAAGACGTCGAAAACGCAATGAAAAAAATCAATTATTAATGATTGATTCTTTTTCGAAAGATGTAAATAGTAAAAGTAACTATTTAAATATTTTTGACTCCGCAAAACAATCTGATAATAAGCAGATTAATACGATTGAAACCAAGACAACTAACGATATATTAAAAAATATTAACAATATGTATAATGATGATTCTAAAGAATTAATTAATTTTGATGATCAAAAGTCAAATAGTTGTAAAAATGAACCTCATGTATCAACAGATATATCAAGTTGTTTGGTAAAATGTGAATCATTATCGTCATCACATTCTTCAGGACATGTGAAAAACAAAATGACTGATTGTAAAAAAATCATTCTAAAGCATAGTATACCAGAAAAACAAATAGATAATAACATAATGGGTTTATTGGAGTTCAATGCATCTGAGTATGGAAGTGACAAGATGGAAGACGTAAAAGATTCTATAAAAACTATTGAAGATTCTACGGCTGCAATTGTTGATACTTCTGCACATATACAAACTGAACAAGAAGCATGCCAGAATAAACAAAAATTGAACAATGATGTTGTTGTCAATCTTGGACAATCATTTAAGGGACAGATAAGAATGGCCGAAGAGACTCTCATTGGACCTTGTGGCAAAAAGCGATGTTCCGATCGATACGACAGTTCTGAAAGCTCTGACAGGTAATCATAAATTTTGAATCTCTTTCTAAAAAATATTTTTAATTTATATTTTTAATGAGAATTAAGATAAATTGCTCCGAAAAATCTGTTAATTTTTTAAATTACAAATTTAATAAATATATGGTATACTTGATCACATGAAAATGTTAATTGCTTATAATGTTATATAGGGTATCTTTATATCTACATAATTATCATCAATAGTTAGGTTCTAATAGTAATTGATACATATCAAATACTTCCGGAGTAATTTTTTGTGCCTGCAGTAACATATAATAACGAACCTTGATTCTAAATAAATAGAAGAAAAATTATATCCTTACTTATTCTCCAAGGTTATCATCACTTTTTTTTTATTTTAACAGAAATTATATTTTTTTACCCTACAATTTAAATTTGACAATAAATTTATAAACTAAAAACAATGGAAAATTGAATTTGCGAACTTCCGTTAATCCGATTATTCTAGTATGCATGACTGATTCGTGTAATTTATTAAGAATATTTCTATGAATAAAAACATTAAATTTGATTGTAAAGAAAAGTTTAAGCATTAGTTTATTTTTAGAATAAGAAATAAAAATAGAAAAAACGTAAGAATTGATGATATTAAAATGAATTCCGACTTAATGTTTTATGTATATATTCAAATTTATTATACTATGATAAATTTTTCTGATTATCAACAAGAAAATTTTATAATGAAAAGGATGAGACGGGATTATTTGCTAAAATTCATCCTCGAATGAATAAAAGGAAAAAAAATGAAATCTCGATAAACGAAAGCAACAAAAGTAAAAGTAGGAATTAAAAAGTGTATGAATGTGAAAGGTAATAAAAAATAAATCTAAAAAGCATAAGTTATAAAGATTTAAAACAAAGATGGGAAGGAATTGCAGATTCCAAGTACAATAAGTGGTATAAATAAAGAAGAAAAGAAAGGACAAGTTAGAATATTAGAGGCGTATGAAAACGACAAGCAAACGGAGTATAGTAATAGGATACTGAATGCTAAAGAAACGAAGTATTAGGAAAATAAAGAGAGACAGGAGTGTACAGCATGTGTAGATATAGAAAAAAACATGGAAGCATATGGTGGGGAGGTGCATAGGAATGATAGGAAGTGAAAAGAATATAGATGACTATGTAGAGAAGTTTTGTAGCTACTGTATGTGAGTTAAAAATGAAATGAATGAAGGAAATCAAAGAATTATATGTATACATATAAAGATAAATTATTATTGAAACAAAATTATATATGAATTTATGGATTATTAAATTCAGAGTAAATAATTAATTTATTTCATGCAATAAACAGATATATTATTCATTTATTTTAACTTGAATTTAAATTATAAATACTTCAAATATGATATTAAATTTTCTTATAATAATTAAAAAAATATTGATTGATGTATAATATGATATGTCAATTATTATTTTTTTCTGTTATAGTGGTGTTGTAGTATCCTGTGGTGAATGTAGCAGCAGTGGAACAAGTGACATAACAGAACCAGGATCGCCTTGTAGTACAAGTAGCGATGAAGGCCTTGCAGTTTCCGGTAAGGAATCAAGTTCGTCGCGATCATCTTCCACACTGTCACCTTCAATATCATCAGAACTCAATGAGACCAGATCTAAATGGTCTTGGGATTCTTCAACAGATGCGGTTTCACCGTTTCCGTCACATAAGCAACCGAATCAGGAATTGAAGACAGATTTAATATCGAAAATAAATGCAACTGATGTAACTACTAAAACAATTAAGAATTTTTCAAAAACTCCGCTTCATCAACAAGAATCACAAGGGAAAATTACTGAATTTTTTAAAACTCAGATCAAACCTCAAGGACACAAGGTATATTCGAATATTTTTTTTTTTGTTGAATATATTGAGACATTTTAATGTTCATTTTTTTTCGTATGTTATTAGACAAAAAAGAATTTAGGAGACATGTCAGTTCTCGTGGCTAAACATTCATTGGAGTTTCGGAGACCATTAACAGTTCATCGAAACGTAGGAACACTTACTAAAAAATTGAATAAAGTTGATTCGAATAATCGACTCAATGACTGGAATGTAAAAGCGACTGAAAATTCAGCATTATTGATAAAAAAATTGTCAACTATTACTCCTCGAGTCAACGTCACAAAGTTGGATAAAATGCTTGTTGCTAGGTCATTACCAACTTTATTAATATCAAATGATGTACTCCCAAATATTACTACAAGCAAAATTACTTTAAATTCAACAAATGAAGTTCATTCTAAAGTTAATCAAGAACCATCACCACTTACAACCACCTCAGTTTCAAAACTAGTAGCTTCGGATTTTGAAAATATTACAAAATTTATTAACAAAAATAAAAATTTAACGAATTCATCTGCAAACATAACTCGCACCACTAATAACAAACCTTACTTAGCAAATAATCAAGATTGTCCAATTACCAGGTTATCAACCAGTATAGCGAAATCCCAAGATAGGGAAGACTCATTAACTCCAGCAAAAGATGAGGAAGATGAAGTAGATGATGAAGACTCACCTAGAAATAGTGAATCTAAAGAGTTAGATTCTCCAATCTTGTCTGAGCCTACTACTATTCGATTTCCTGCTCGAATTGATACAAAAAGTGGTGTTCAAGTAACTGAAAACGGCATTTGTCGTTGGGATAAATGTGAAGCTATTTTTGAATGTAGTAGCGCATTGCTGGAGCATCTACAGGTAAAGTTAAGTATATTTTTGTATCATTATTATTATTTCTATAAGTTGTATGATTTCAGTCGGCGCATATTAATACACAAACTGGTGGAGACAATTTTGTATGCCAGTGGTTAGGTTGTAAAGTCCAAGGCAGAACATCATGTTCCAGACGGTGGCTTGAAAGACATGTTCTTTCTCATGGTGGTAACAAACCATTTAGGTGTATCGTTGACGGTTGCGGAAGTAGATTTAGTTCGCAGGTATATTGGTTTATTTTTAAATATTTTTTTTTAATCTTTATATTACGTACTTTTTTCACTATTTAAATAGTTTAGAGAGAGTTAAAAAATAGTTCAAAAATATTATTCATACATAAAAATAACTGAAATGATCGTAATTGTTACTCATTTCACGATTAAATTAACACTATTTGTAGAAAAATTGTGTAGTATTGGTAATGCGACAACTTGAGCGTTGTTAGGTTCGGTCACTGCTCCAGATGACGGCTGCTTAACTGAACGATAGCCCACTTGAATGCTCTTCAAATACTTGTTCAATGAAGGCTGAATTTTGAAGTCTTCACTTTCATGAATGATAATGATTTTAATTTGTGAAATTCCATGTAAACTCATGTTTATCATTATACCTTCCTGTTGTTTTAGATAACTTTAGAGAGGCATGTTAATAGTCATTTCAATCAACCAGAAACAAGTAATAACAACAGTAAGAGAAGCTGTGAAAATAGTGGAAAGTTGGTTCGCAGAAATGGCAAGAAATTACGATATAGGCGACAACCATGGTCAGGTAAAGTATTATATCATTAAAAAAATTTTGAAAATGGATACAATAGCAAATCATTTTTTTTTAGCGAGACTTTTTGATTATTTCGATACGGGAGTTATGGAAGGCTTGCAACACAGGTTATTAGAATTAGCGAAATCAAGAACTCATGGGTTTCTAGTAGATACACCGGGAAATTCAATGGCTTTGACTAGTCAAGTACGTATAACTTGAGCAATGATCGATTATTTCATTAGTAAAATTTGTTATTTTCAACATAATTATTTTTTTGTATAAGGTATTAGCTAAACGAGTCGAAATGGATGGAAAAATTCGAGTGCTATTACGATGGTATCCACAAAACATGTAAGGAAATAATTAATAGTTGTTTTGCAATGATTATTGAAAACAAAATAATTCAATACTGATTATCTTTATTACAATAGAGTGCCAGATGAATGGGTTCTAGAATCCGAAGTACAAAGTATGAAACATATAAAAATTCGCAAGGCTGCAACTACTTCAATCGACGAGATAAGTCTGTTATTATATCCAGCGATGCAAAGTGGAACCCCATCACCAACAAGAGTAAAACAACGCCGTAAACCATCTAAGTTTTCATGATAATAATTACGATAATAATTATCAGTGTTTATATATATTTTACTATTAACAAATCTGTAGTGAATATTATAGATAAAATAGTTAAAATCGAAAATTTTCAATAGAAATAAATGTCCCTTAAATTTATAAGTAAATTTAAAAACATGTGTATTTGTATCAACGAAAAAAATATGAATCATATCAATTTTCGAGATTGGAAATAAGTAATAGAAAATATTAATTATCTCTATACATATAATACGTAATATACACAAAAAGCCAATAGGAAAATAATAGTAATAGTATATATAATAACAAAGAACGTTTATACATACCAGTACGGATTTATATAGCAATTCGATGCTTTAAAACTCCTTAGCTTCAGAATTTTTTAAATAATTGTATAATGAAAACTAATATCATTTATCTAGAAATTTAAATAACATAAAATGTAAACAAGTGTTTTGAGACTATTGAAATATTGATCTCAACTAAACATTAAGAAAACGTAGAAGTAACAGGTTCAGTTTCAAAAAGTGCCTCACTCTTATATTTTAGTGGTCTTTGACGAAACAATACTGAACGAAATTCAGAATTAATTTAAATTGATAGTTGTAGTAAAGAAAAAAACACAACATGATTGCTTCTAAATTCAATCAAAACAAAATTTATCGAAATACTTTTCTAAAAATCGTATCAAGAAAATGTTTAAATAAATATTTAGATTCCAATAAGTATAAGAAATAATGACTATGGTGGCCTTATAAATTCATTATGTTAGAACTCAAAAGAAAATCATTACATTTCTGGTCGTTTTAGGATTTTCATTATCGATGATATAAAATTATTCATCTCTTATTCATGATAATCTAAATTTAATTGTTTTAATTATTATTGAAATAAGACAAATCAATTGGGAGATTTTTACATTATCGTCTTAACATTTAAATTAATTAAAAATATTATATTAATAGGATGTAACAAATTTAATGTTGATTGTTCTTAGAAGCGATATTTCAACTAAATAGGGTGATAGGGGATATAAGTAAAAAATAAGATTATATAGATGAATGCATATAATGGAATAATAATAATTAATTTTCCAGAAATGTATGTTTTTTTAACTTTTTAGCAATCTATAGACTTGACCTCATCAAATATTTTTCACTGCCAAAGTTTCCTTTAAATTAATTCATCTAGCTAATTCGATTTTACTACGATGTATTATACAAAATTTTTCTGTTAGTTAAATAATATGGTTTTTTTGTAACAACTTTTTTAAGATGAATTTTTCGATTAGTAAAGTATTAGATAATATTAGTTTGTAAACTTAGTATTAAGTCAGTAGGTTATTTAATATAATCTTATTCATCGATAGCAATGTTTTCTACCACCCTGTGCTAATGCACATTAACTTTTGTAACATCCTAAATAACACCCTAGTAGTAATAAAACAAAAAAAAAATTTTTTTGAGGCTTTGTCCTTAAATAAAATCAGTATTGAAAAATCAGAAAATCTTTATTTCTAATCAATTTTAAGTTATTTTAAGGTTTACTTTAAAAAAATTTAAATACTGTCTTCTCTATTAATAATTAACTTAATAAACATAATTACATTTTATATAAAATTATAATAAATAGATATTATTGTTTTTACTCTATATTTAAGTTAAATTTTTGATTTTTTAACAAATATTGATCAACGATACGTTTAATTTTTAAAATTGAATAGACAAGATCATATCTAAACGCCATTTTTGGTAGAGAATCATGCGTACATCATAGTCTAAGATATTAGATTCATTTTTCTTTACTTTTTGAAATCCGTCATTGTTTACTCAAGTACTCTAGATAGTTACAGAAGCAATAGATTTTACGGAGATCCAAAAATAGAAAGTATTTTACTGTTTTGACATGTAACATGACTTATATTTAGTACAATTATAATACATACATAATGCCTATTATGCAGTTATGAATAACTTTAGATCTAAAATTATGGAATATATTGCTCACAATCTGATAAAATTTAAACATTTTTATATATAATGTCAAATTGTATATAATTAGATTATAAAAAAGAAAAACTATACAACGATATGAAGGTGGTATTAATTATTCTATCAGTCATTTGATTCCGAAAAGTGTACGGTAATTAGATATATACGAAATACGCGAAATTTATAGAACAAAATTACTGCAGGCACGCTTGAATTTTTTCTATCCATTCTTGTGCTGTAGAGGCATCTCCGGCGCAGAAATTGTATGTTCTTCTATTTGTACGTAGCTGATCGAAAAGAAAAAAAAACAATTAGAATTCATCGATAATGATAATAAATCATTTATTTATAAATTACTTACATCAAAAAAGGACTTTTCATCAGTTTTTTTAGGAGGTCCTGGTGTTGGTGCAGCTGGGTTAACCGAAACGACTTCAGCTAAATCTAAAAAATATTTCCATTAAAAGACAATAAAATTAAAAGACATAACAATTAAATTGTATAACATTCAAATTATACCTATGTATCCTTTACAATGAGAATCTTCCATAGCATCGTAATACCTGAGCTGATGTTTAATACAATCAAGAACAAACCATCTTTGTTTCCATCCTTTCAATAGTGCTCCACGTTTATACAAATATCCTTCATGAGTACGATTTTCCGCAACATTACTTGAGAATTGTTCATAATATTGTTGGGATAATGTTTGAATTGTAGTTACACTTGAATTCACAGTACCATTATCACCACCATTTCGAGTTAATGTACGTGATTGTAAACTATCAGTTACTGTTTTATATTTAGTACAATTTTTTGGAACTACATCAGCACATTTATCATGGCATATGTGTCCACAATCGACGCATCGTAAGCCAGCCTTCACTGGTCCCCACAATACTCCAGAGCATGCATCACAGTGAGTTGGTGTAGCTGAATCAAGCCTTTCAAATCTATGTGGATGTGCATAAATAGAGCTTTCATTTCCATTTGAATATCCACCAGATAGTTTTCCGCGTAAAAGCAATTCTAATGTTGATCTTTTGTGAATTAATTTGCCATGATATCTAACTAAAGCTGAACTGAAAGATGCATGCCGAGCAAGTGTATCAGTATTAGGGAGTTCAAGTTTATCCCAAATGACTTTCCATTTTTGTGGTAAATGTCCTAATTCCGTTTCAAGTCTACGAATCTCTTCTAGTAAGTGTGAAAATTGGTCAGGTATCATGGTATTTATATCATCATATCCCTGAGTAACTATTTTTCTATTTTTTTTAATAGTTCCATCAGCTGCTTCAGCCTCTTCTTCTTGTTGAGAATCTTGTTGTAATATTTCTAATTCATATGCAGGACCGTGTGCCAATTCTTCTTCAAAATAATATGGCCAAATATCTAAGCTAGATAAGTGTGAAACAGGTCTTAGTATTGGATGTTCAAAATTTGGCGTGTACATAAAATTGAAAAAAATTGGACATCTAGTATGTTGTTTTTCAATATAATCAAAAATACTTTGACCTAAGTTTGATCCATTATTATTTCCTACTAGTCTACCACCGGGATATACTACTTCATCATCACTTCCAGTATCTACACCTTTGTGGTGACTTGTTAAAGAGCCTCTTTTATCTTCTACAGCGGCGATACCGCATTCAACTCGATCAAATTCACAATCCAATAAAAATGTTCTAAAGCGGCAAGATACTGAATGATAAGCCAGAAATCGTAAATAATAATCATTGAATTCAAAAGCCAATGGAAATTGTTTACGAATTTGATGAACTATGTCAAGAAACTGAAGGAATGTTGGTGTAAAATTCGTAGTTTGTGAATGTACGGCTAAATTATTACGATGACTAAATCTATGACCAAAACCAAGCCATTCTTTTTCAATTAATACTCGAAAGCCTTCAATAGTACGATAATGTGGATCGAGACATACTTGAGCAACAGAGCATACTATCGTAGTTGTGTCCCATCCATCTTCTAAACAAACAGCAACCGATGATCCTTGAACATCCATTAGATCTATTACCGCTCCAGATAACTGCATGAGATTCTGTAACTGCAGTAACCATTCAGAGTTTTCGATTAATTTATAAAACGTTTGATCTGGTTCAACATTGGGAGAACTTGGTATACACGCTCTCATTAATTTTTTAAATGCTGCTTTAGTGTGTCTTGAATCATAATACTCTACAGGAATATAATCTATTTTTGAAGCTGACTCTGTTTTTCCTCCCCTCATATTTGATTTCTCGCCAAGTATATAAAGCGCTGCTCTTTGAAGAGTATGTATACATTCAGTACCGCTGTCTGAATCCGTAGAATGTCGAACTGCGTTTCGATGGTTAAAAGATGTTAAAGAAGTTTGAGAATTATGTCTCTTATCTTTTAAAGAACCCCATCGTCCAAAATTCTTTGGCCCTTTTCCAGCGGACGATCCCAGTGCACCTATTGCTTTGTTGAATGGATTTCGTCGGGATTGTTCTGGCGTAGCAATATTCCGATCATCTACTTGCAATAAAAGTGAATCGATACTCAGCGAACTATCTGACATTTCCCATGCTGAATTTTGATGCAAAACAGATGATGGGGTTGCTGATACCAGAGCCATTAAATATTTCTCCTGTTCTAATGTAGAAGTAGTAGTTTCAGAAGATGTTGTTTTGAGATTTGAAGCAGACGATGGATGAGGTTTAAGCATTCCTATTACCTTTTCCGTGATGACCAGCTCCTCTAATTAATAAAGCTTTTGTTTTTTGGATGTCTCCATGTTAGAATCGGCATCCGGTTATGTCTGTAAATCCGACAAAATCTTCTAATACTATCATCCGTTATTGAACTTGGCACTAATAATAAAGCTGGATAACTTCTACAGATCATGTACGCACAATTAACGGATGTTAATCGAAATGGTTCATTCTTGCGATTATTTTGTAAATTGTTTGCGTATAAACCTAGTCGACACCAATCTCGCACATAACTCCGTTCAGATAAACGTTCTAATGTTTTTGCATCTGTTGGAGGTGCTGTTGTAAAACCAGATACTTCAAATTCATCAACTAGAAAATAATAAATAAGTAATGAACATAAATATTTTGATTTATATTGCAAGTTTTTTAAAACAGAAAAATACTTACCACTAAGATCATCGTCATGACTTAAATCAGTGTTTTCAGTCATCGCAAAACTCATTCTACCTGGTGAAGTCATATATTTATTAGTATTCATAAAATTCATGTTAGGCAAAACATATTTCTGTCGTTTTGATGATGGTTTTGGTTTAAAACCTGCTTTTCTCGCAGTTTTGAGAAGAGTCTTTTTCGCGAATCCTCTAAAAAAGATAAATTAGGAGATTGATAAATTGTTTACATTAACTAAATAATTTATGAGTAATCAAATAAATACAAACTTTAGTGTTTCATTTTTTTCCTTTCCTTTTTGATGAGTTGTTGGTGCTACACATACTTGCCCACTAAATGCAAAATGATGGAAAATATGAGGTGGATATCTAGCTTTGTGAATTAATTTTCTGAGCGTATCGATATTTTCTGCAGTAACCTCTTCATCAAACGCAAGTTTAATAAGTTGGAATGTGCATGATCGTAATTGAAGACCTTCTTGTAGATACTGATCAAGATGGATTAAGTGCTGCACTGCAACTCGTTTTTCTTTTGTTAAAGAAGCAACTGGAAAGGCTCGAACGATCATTTGTTCACATGCTAATGAAAAAAAAGTAATTTTTATATAAATTGAAAATATTGAATATTGTAAAATTAATTTTTAAAAACTCACCAAATGGATCACAAGGAATGCCTTTAAATACTATTCTATAATTTGTAAGAAATACTGCACCCTCAGCAGGCAAAAATGGTGGCGTTCGTGGAAGCCCTATATTTTCCTCCCGTCCATCAGGAAGAAGATATACTCTTAATCCATCCATAATTATTTCTTCCCCAGCCAATAAATTTGGTGTGAGTATTTTAGGCTAAAAAAGTATAAATTGTTAAAATCTGCTATCATAGAGCTGGAATGATAAAATGTAAATTTTTTTTATACCTTTTGAATTGGAGGTAGAGTTTTACTTTCTCGATGCACAGCTTCTAAAGTTTCGATATGCATATGAACAACACCGGGAATCATTTGGTGTAAGCATCTCACATGTTCAACACTGACACCGCCTTCTGTACAGACACGATCAACAAACCGCGAAACCATTCTTATCACTGCAATACCTGTTTCACCGGGATCAGTCTCTTCAAAACCAGACTCTGCATCACCACTATCACTAGGAACACTGTTAGTAATACTATTACTAGCTCGTTCGTCATCGAGAACATGATCTTGTCGATGAGTTTTTGCGCCAATATCTGGAGGAACAAGTAGATAAACCATTCGATTTGCATAGTGTATGGCTTGACTGTATAAAATACTTTCTTCACTCGCAATGAGTTCTTTTTGTTTTTCTGAATCAGTTAATGACCAAAGCCTCATTTGTTCAGCTGTAATTTCTAAAGCTGAAGGTTCATGAGTTCGATATATTGAATTTCGATCCCTCAAAGAAATCTCATCATATTCTCTTGGGCTAGATGGTGTTATAAAACTTTCACATGCTAACTTTGATGAAAAATTATCAACTGGTAAATATAAACGTTTTATGTCTCTTTGTACGTCTTGATAAAAAGCATCTTCCCAAAATTGTTGGTTTTGCCACACAGCATGTTCTTGTATACATGTATATGCAAACTGTATTACACCAGTACATAATTTCCGACAAAAAGCCGTTGCAAGCGGAAGTAAAGCAGCAGCAACACCATGTTCATCCATTGTTGAATCATCTTGTAAAGCACAATTCATTAAACGAACCACCAAATCAAATTGTTGATGTTCTAACACAGCTCTATTACCAATAACATGTTGAGATAGTTCCATACATAAAGCTAAACGTGCAGTTTTACTTTTCAAAGCACGTAATACCGCTGGAAATGTCTTTCGAGCGTCTGAAATTTTATTTTCAAAAATGCAATTTACACAACTTCGAAGAACTTCTAATCTTCGAGCTGAATTACTGACTAAATGTCGAGTATCATGAAGTAATGATATATGAGGTCCTGATGGCACAATTCTTGGTTGAGCAGGTTTTAGAGCAGATAAACGAACTTTTAAATCGTTTTTCTTTAAACCTTCATCAATTATTGCTTGCACTTGTGATGAGTCAATATGCGGGAAAACCGGCTGATGAATTCTTGTGAAAGCCCCTTCTGGTGGTTTTAAAATTATTTGGACATGAGGTTGGGGATTTGGATTCTCGTTTCTATAAAGTTGTTCTGCTAAGTCTCGTATATGAGTAAGTATTAATTCTGTTCAAAAAAAAATGGTATATTAGAAATGAACTATTAATAATTTATTTACAATAATTGATCAATTGGTTAACAGCTTACGTTGATTTTGTAATTCTTGCTTGAGGTGATCATTTATTGAACTATATAATTCATCCCAAATATCACAAGGCCGCCAAGGAGGTCCCCTTTCAGCAATAAACGATGTGAAAAACATGCAGTCTAAGACCCTCAGAGTAAAATCACAGTCTGTTAGACCGCGTTCTCCAACGAATGCTGCCTTTAAAATAATTTGATATGTTTGGATATTTTTTTAAATTTTAAAATTAATTTTATAGCAGTAAAATGATACCTTATGAAATGTGATAACTGGTTTAGGATGTATTCGAATCATGGTTAAACAGCTTCGATACCCTTGAAGTAATTGCGCAAAAGTTCGCATAAATACTGCTCTTAATTCTTTATCTAACATAGAAGGTTGTACCATTCTAGTATTTAGAGGAGGAAATGCATAGTCTGCTGAAGTAAGTTCTGGCTGAAGAATAAGCGAAAGAGCATCTTGAGTTTGGGATAATAATGGTTCTGGTAGAAGAGCTAATGAAATTCCATCTGGTACTGTTAGAGAACCACCATCTAAATCAGCTATTATTACATCCATCTGTGGAGATAAATATTTTATAGATCAGTTACCGAGAAAATAAACATATAATATTGTGAATACTTACAAGTTCAGCAATTTCAAATTTTAGAGAGCTATGTACACCCATAATAAATGGTGTAGGTGTGCTAAGTACTTCAACAAGTGCAGCTGGCAAAAGTGGAATGTAAACATGAGTGTATCGAAACGGATACATAATAGCAGTAAGTGCTCGACAACTGTCAGTTAGTCTGGAATAACTAGCTGAATGGAAGAGAATTTTATGTTCAGTCATAACTGCACAAAATAATACGAGAACGTTGCGAATTCCTAAAAAAATTTATTAATAATTTCAACTCAATTGGCAAGATCAATAGATTAAAAAAATGAAAAAGCTAATGATAAAATATAGTCAGTACCTAATTGTTGAAATAATAAATTTACACTAGAATGAGTTATTGGCAGCGACGGACTTGTTGGTGGTTGTAACGCTTGCCTATCACCAGCACCTATACTAAATCGAACTTGAGGTCCCCCTGGAGGAGGTACTTGAATACATCCAAGAATATTTCCGACCAATGTTTCTAATGGAATAGATTTCGAATTTTCAACATAAACTGTGTAAATAATACCAAGACAGTTCTGAAAAGTATAAATAATAATTTTTTATTTATTTTTAACTAATACTGCACTTGATTTGAATAATCTTGAGTCATAATAAAATGTTAAAAATTTACCCGAAAAGTTTCGATGTAATCTAATCTTGATACGAGTACTAAACATTTGGGAGCATACATGATACTATGATGTGCTATTGGTGGAACTGTTCTCATTAATGTGCGACTATTTTCATCAACAGGTTCTTCTTCTTCATCTACTGGTTTACTTGGCATTATAGAAACTGTTTCGTTGAAACACATGCACGCACAATAATGACGATTTGCGTCTATGTCGGTAAGAATAGATACGAAAAACCGTGGTTCTTGGGTTTCTGTAGACAAAGCCCATCCTTGTGGTTGACAAAACTATAAATATATGTTAAAATATGAATATATTCGCAACAAAACTAAAAAGAAAATCGTTTTTAAAATACATTATTTACCCATTCAATGCCTTCAATGAATGGTGTATCTGGCCAATCAATTTCTGGAAATCGCTGGACAATAATGCCACTGCTCATTCCACCCCCTGAAATATCGAATTTTTTTATTTTAAATTGAACTTTTTATAAAAACATAAATAACTTACTTTCACGACTGTGATCATATCCAACAATAATAAAATAATCTGCTAATCGAGACATATCGGTACAACTTTAATATTGTAGAATAACAGTAAGAATCTTCATTCTACAGTATTTAATATTAAAACGTTCTGTTCATAAATTAGCTATTAGTATTGCAAATAATCCAAATAGCAATAAGTATTTTTCTTTTCACGTAAAACAATCATTTTTATAATTTCTGTTTAAAACATTAACACCTGGTGATATCATTAAAACAATTTTATAATTGAAAACAAATGAATACATAAACTTTGAAAGAAATTGGTAGGCATCACAGCACTGAACATAAGAGCTTATGACATTGGACTTCAATCGTTGATATTAAACAGTTTCGATGAGAAATTTTAGAGCGCGTGGATTTATCATATGAATCATTTTGCAATCACATATTTTTTATGAAATATAATATTTGGACAATTTGACATAATTATTTTTTAATGAAATGAATGCCACACCCCGAAATCTCAAAGCCTAAATTTCTAAATCTGCCTAAACTCAGGCGCCACATCAAAATACTATACGAATTGCGCTATAGTTTAACTCTGGCCCAATGCACGCAAGCGGCAAGTGACGTGAATTTCCTGTACACTTTTATCCATTACTATTATCATTGTTATTATTTTTTTCCTTATTATTGTAATTTATTTTCTAGACTAGATATAAAAATGATCGCTTTCATCGTATGCGGAAAATAAATGATATGGTATTTTAAAATAATTATAAAATTTAAAGTAATGCATGATTAATAATTTTATCATTTAAGGTTATTATTCATTTTTACAAAGGGTTAAAACCATGAATATCTTATCTTTATTTTTCAAATAAAGAAAGTACATGCATCATATGCAAATGTGAATGAGCCCTAAGGCTCATATTATTATATTATATTATCGCCATTATTGATACAGACCAACGTCAAATTAAAAGACTGTATTTTTTATCATGGTATTAAAATAATTTTTCATGATTTTATAATATATTTTTATCTTTTATAGAGATTTTATAAGATAAACTTTAGCATCTTTCTGAAAAAAAATCAAATTGATTTAGAAGTGCTCATGATAGAGACAGACAAATTTTATTGATTGAAAAGTACAAAAAATGTTAAAGCAATTTTATTATAAATTGATTGACTAATCAACAAATATATTTTTTCTTAAACAGTTACACCTACTTCTCCTAAAATCTCGGATAACTTCTCTAAATATTTACTTATGGAAGCATGCTGTTGATGACTTCTCGCAATTAGCTGAAATGCATTGATATATTCCAGCTCTGAAAATTTCGCTCCATTTTCTAGAATCGAATTCAAAATATCTTCAGGCGTTTCATAAAAAAGTTCAAAATATTGTCGAGCATAATCAAGGGCTAATTCACGGGCCATAGTAATATTTGTAAGAGTTTGTTGAAGCGTAAATACATTTCTGCACATTCTTTGAATACTGCTTTTTTCAATCTTTTCAATATACTGTGCAGAAGTAATTAAAATTTTTGTTATCAAATGTCCAAGTCCTTCAAAAATATATTTTGTTTTTTTTGGATGCAAAGTAGATTGTAAAGCTTCATCAATATTTTGTAATACTCGACTAAGTTCTTCAACTCTTGGATCAGCTTCCTGAGGGTCCTTAACGCCATCACATAAATGACTGTATTCTCCGTGAGGTAATAAATAATAAAAACATTGAACTCTCACTTCAAGATGGAGAAGTAAAATACAGTTATTGCCAAGTTCTTCAAATTCACCAGCTACTTGCTCAAATAACTCTAAAAAAGAGTCATCAACACGAGGAAGTAATACTTGTTCATCTTTTCCATTATTTCTCGCTCGTTGCAGTTCTAAAATTAATGAACGTATTGATAAAGCAAACCATTCTACACTTTCTTGAAGTAGAGCTAAACTACGAAGTTGTCCAACATCAGAAAGAATTTCATTAGAATTTATTCCACCCTCTCCCAAATTGCTAGCTAAAATTTCGGCTTCTCTTAAATTCCTTTGTCGGACATCTTCTGGGCTCTCTTCATCTTGAGTCTCTTGCCTCTGCATAGACCACCGACCTTTACCTCTTTTTCCAGTAAATTCACTTTTCATATTATCCCAGTTAGGCAGTGATTTAATAAACCTACTTATATCATCATCTTTTAACCATGTAGCTGAACAAATTTTTTTGTCCTCATCTCCAAATTGAATTATATTTCGGTAAGCTCCTTGACAAGTTTCGCGATAGTTATGTAAAACATTTAATGCTAAAGTACAAAAATGTTCACCTTGAAGAGGCAAAGAAATCATCAACGACCTTAGCTCCGCTAAACAATGCTCAACTTTAACAGTACTTTGGAGTAAAGGTCGAGGTATTCCAAGTTCTTTCATTAATTCTGGTGGTGTAACGGCTTGCCAAGCATCAGAGCTTTTTGTAGCTGCATCTATTGTCGTTGCTACCATGATATGATGTCTTCCAAGAAATACTTCTTTTACATAATCTGTTATAAAACTATTTAAAGTACATGAGCAACCAGGTTTAAAATCTAAAGCTCTTTCAATCTCTTCAATAAATTGCATCATTGGACAAAAAATAAATGTTATATTTTTTGGATCTGGTTGACAAACAAGTTTTCCTATATTTTTTGGAACGTGGTTATTATCTGCTAAATTAAGGTTGTTGAATTTCTGATCTTTTAAATAACTGTTGAGTGTTTTAGAATGGGAAGTAAAATCAAATTTAAATAAAGTTGAATTTTTTGAACGTTGAGGTTTTTTCTTAGCAAAATAAGTGTTTATATCAACTGTAGCTTCATTAAAAGCTGCTGACTGAAAAGGCTTATCAACCATATTTTGAATATCCAAATATTCTGTCAAAAGTAATTGTAATACCGTTTGAATTTGACTCCATACATCTGGCATTTCATATAAACGCACGTCTAAATTATATTTTTTACATACATTAGAAAAACTTTTCAAAGCATTTGAATGCACCCCAGCTATTAATCTAAACTGGTCAAATATAGTTTGAAGAAGTTCCAAAAGTAATGTCTTGTTTTCTACATTATTTTCACTTAACATTCGAATTTGACTAACTTCAGGAATGATTTTTGTAGAAATTAGGAACTTTTCAGCATTTGTTTTGATGATTTGTCCCGAAGTTCTTGCAATAATATTTAAGAGTTCTGTCTGCATTTGAAGTTTAATTACTTCAATGGCTTCTGGAATACAATTTAATAAGGCCAGACACTCAATTATAATAGCAATGAAATGTTCAGAGTTTTCTTCGGGGTTTAGAGAGTCTTCATCTTCAATTATAATTGTTATATCTTCATTATTAGTATGATGGTTTATGCTTCTTGTTGATTGATTATTACTATAATTAACTTCTAATAAGGCTCTTTTAATTTTAGCCCCTCTTGATCCTCTTGTTTCGTTGCCTCGCTGGAAATCGCGACCTGATCCCTGTCTTTTTAATAAAACTTCACGAGTTGTCTCAACGTATAAATGCCTATTTAATTCTTCAAGTAATTTTTGTTTAAGTTGTTGTTTTTTCATTTCTAATTCCATTTTTAATTCTCTTAAAGCTTCAACGCCTTCTAGGCTACCATCTCCCATCGTTAAAGCTGAGACAAGTAATTGTGTAGCATGTAAATATAATTTTTTGTTCAAATAATTACTAAACTTTGATGGAACTTCTTTTAATTGTTCAATATCATTTAATAATTTTAATACGTGTTTATGTTCTACACCTTCCAACCAGAGTTTCATCAATTCTTCTCGTCTACAACGAAGTAGTTGTTTACAGGCATTTAAATTTTCTTTAACTGTGTGGATTTTCTCTCGAGCTGATGTTACTCTTTCAGAAAGATTACTGAAAATCTTGATATTTGAAAAAAAGAAAAAAATAAGAAAAAAACTTATAATTATATTTTGTCTTTATCAATAAATTTCTTAAAATAATTTTTATAAAAATACCTTCATAACTTCAGTTAAATTTTTATCATGGACTTTAACTAAATCATCCAACTTTTGATCACTTTTTTTAAATTCTTTTTCTAATTTGGCTTTTTCAACTTCCCTCTGTTCATTTGTTTCACTAGCTGACAATGCACGAATCACAGATATCAACAGCCCACTCTGATAATAAATAATTTATTAATTAGTATAATTTTTTTTTATTAAATATTAAATAATTATAAACAATGTAACATTTAATCTACACAGTAGAGAAAATTCTTCCATTGTCATTAATCTTACCGTCTCTTTCGAAGTTTTTATACCTCTTGGAGGTTTAATTGGCGGTGTAGTAGACATTTTATAATTTATTATAAAATTAACTTAAAGGAAAAATTAAAATTTTAATCAAATAATATGTTACTTATGCCAAGAACTCTAGAATACATGGATCATGTATCCCCTCTTTAACCTTTCTAGTGGTGACGTTTAAAACTTATCCCATCTTTAAGCGTCGTTGAATTCAACTGCGCATGACACAAGTAATCATATTACAATTTATTTTATCATACTACTAATTATTATTATTTCATATGTTTCTTTCACAATATAATAAAGATACTCAGTTCAATGAATAATCTACATTGAAAGTATTTAATAAAATCTAAATAGTTAAAAATTTTATAAACATGAAAAATAGAAGTAATTCTAATTACATGGAAATAAATGATTTGATTCAAGGATGAATACAAGTTTTAATAATCTCTCTTACATGCACAATACTTATTTATTTATTTACAAAGATGTGCATGGTACAAATAATCTGGATCAACATTTAACTATTTTTTAATTCTTTTCGTATTTATGTGCTATATCCTTCCACAATTTCTGAAAAAGAAATAACCATGAATAATTATTAAGACATAGATTAAACAATTAATATAATGAAAATAAATTAGAATAATCAATCATAATTTCTATGAAAATAATGTAAATATTATTGTTCAAATAAAATCTATAATTAAACTTACTCCTTTATTGTAATTCTCAAAAAGCATATCTGAACCTAAATCAACTGTACGTTCATAGACAAAAGCTCCAGCTATGATAGTTAATGCCATCGTTGATGTTCGTTTAAATAAAAAATTGTACAACTTTGATAAAACCATTTCGATAGTGTTGTGCTATAAATACCAATAAAATCAATAACTGAAATAACTTAATAATTCTTTTTTTATTTAATGTTGATATCTCCTTACGTAAACTTGTAGATTGTCAGAGTGTATGTAGATTTTAAGCACAAACCAATAGGAGCAATGTTAAAAAATCTGGAGTAGACAACCCCGAACATTAAAATTAGTTCTTTTACCGAGTTATAGGGAGCGTTTGTGTTGTCTAAAATCGATGTTTTTGACCAACAATGAAAAAATTAATTTCTAGGATAGATATTCTATGATTAGATGTTTGTTTTAATTTAATGAGCGTTAGATTGGTAGAAACAAGTTCTGGAGACAAGCTTAGCTGACGAAAGAAAATTTCTGCATTGCAGGTCCATAGGTGAAGTGGATTGTGTGTGAGTGATATTCTGTCAAAAAAGTATAGTAGGAGACTAAAATGATGGTAAGTTTGTTTAAAAATTTTTGGAAAGTAAATAAACGTTTATTTAAAACTAAACTTCATTTATCGGTGACATAGTTTCACATATTTTAATAATTTATAATTAAAATATATATTTTACAAGGTTAATGCGAATATTTAAACGAGTGTTATAAATATATTTTCATCAATACTTTGGAATTTCGATTTCAACTATTGTAATATTTATAAAATTAATTTCAGAGGATGAGAGCGATAAGATGTCCTACCGATGAGCTGAGTCTAAGAAATTGCGCAGCTATTAATCCATATGATTTTCCGAAAGATGTCAAGTGAGTATTGAACATTTGATAATCGATTTTAGCGAAATTAAATTGTTGTATATTTACACTTGTATGGTTTTAGATACATAGAAGTTACTACATTACCTAACCAAAATTACGTTTTCACTGTGGAACCTCACGAGGATATTCCCCGTGGTTGCGTCGGTTTTAGTTTACCACAAAGGAAATGGGCAGCACTTTCTGTTGATCAGGAAATTGATGTTCGCCCATACAAATTTGACTCTTCATCATGTTCCGAGATTTTATGTACCATTGTATTAGAGGCAGATTTTCTTCAAAAAACAAAGACAACTTTAGAGCCTTATGACACAGAACAAATGGCGAAAGATTTCTTGTTCAAATTTTCAGGACAAGCATTTACAGTCGGACAACAGTTGGCTTACCAATTTCAAGATAAAAAGATGCTTGGGCTAGTGGTAAAAGATTTAGAAGCTCCTGACATAACTGCTATTGAAGCTGGACAAAAACCTAAGCCGAAAAAAACCAGAATGGGTCGTTGCTTAGGCGATACTGTTATTCAATTCGAAAAAGCAGAGAATTCAAGTTTAAACCTAGTTGGAAGTGCGAAGGGAAAAATAGTCCGTCAATCAATTATTAATCCAGATTGGGATTTTGCAAAAATGGGTATCGGTGGTCTTGATAAAGAGTTTAGTGCTATATTTAGACGCGCTTTTGCTTCTCGAGTTTTTCCTCCAGAGGTTGTTATGCAATTAGGATGTAAGCACGTCAAAGGTATTTTACTTTATGGACCTCCTGGAACAGGAAAGACTTTGATGGCCCGACAAATCGGAACTATGCTAAACGCTAGAGAGCCAAAAATTGTCAATGGTCCTCAAATTCTTGACAAGTACGTTGGTGAGAGTGAGGCCAACATTCGAAGATTATTTGCTGATGCAGAAGAAGAAGAAAAAAAGCTCGGTCCAAATAGTGGCTTGCACATAATTATTTTTGATGAGATTGATGCTATTTGTAAATCTCGAGGTAGCGTTGCCGGAAATACTGGCGTCCATGACACGGTTGTCAATCAGTTACTCGCAAAAATAGATGGTGTAGAACAGCTTAATAATATTCTCGTTATTGGTATGACTAATCGAAGAGACATGATTGATGAAGCTTTGCTTCGACCTGGCCGATTAGAAGTACAAATGGAAATTAGTTTACCCGATGAACATGGTAGATTCCAAATCCTTAATATTCACACATCAAGAATGCGTGACCATAAAAAAATAGCTCCAGATGTTGACCTAAAAGAGCTTGCAACACTCACAAAAAATTTCAGTGGAGCAGAATTAGAAGGTTTAGTGAGAGCAGCACAGAGTACAGCCATGAATAAACTCATTAAAGCCTCAAGCAAAGTCGAAGTGGATCCTGCAGCAATGGAAAAACTCATGGTCAGCAGAACAGATTTTCTACTTGCCCTGGAGAATGATATTAAACCAGCATTCGGTACAGCTGCTGATGTTTTGGATCATCTGTTGACTCGAGGCATTATTAACTGGGGAAGACCAGTCGCAGAAATCATTGCTGATGGAAATCTATACATTCAAGAAGCTCGAGCAGCTGAAGGTTTTGGTCTGGTATCAGTTTTATTGGAAGGTCCACCTAATAGCGGAAAAACTGCATTGGCTGCTCAAATTGCTAAAAATTCAGACTTTCCATTTGTGAAAGTTTGCACACCTGATGATATGGTTGGCTATACCGAGACTGCTAAATGTCTCTCAATACGTAAAATTTTTGATGATGCCTATCGTTCGCAGCTCAGTTGTATTCTAGTCGACAATATTGAACGGCTGTTAGATTACGGGCCTATTGGTCCAAGATATTCCAATCTAACACTTCAAGCACTCTTGGTATTGCTCACAAAACAACCTCCACGTGGGAAAAAATTGCTTGTCTTATGTACTACTAGTCGCAGGTAGTTTATTACTCATTATTTAACACTGTAATTATTTAGAGAATGATAGATAAATATTTATACTCACTTTTCAGACAAGTTTTGGATGACATGGAATTACTATCAGCATTCAGTACAATACTCCACGTACCTAATTTGTCAACTCCTGATCATTTGTTAGCAGTATTAGAAGATCAAGATGTATTTTCTAAACAAGAGTTATCGTCTTTACATGCAAAACTCCAAGGAAAACGGTAGGCATAAATAAAATATATCTGACAATCTATATCATTTATATCATTATTTTGCATTTTCAGAGTATTTATTGGTATCAAGAAACTACTGGGCCTGATAGATGTGGCTCGTCAAGTCGAACCATCTTATCGAATACCAAAATTCTTGTCAAAACTTGAAGAAGAAGGTGGTTTGGAGTAAAAGGTACATAAACAATTTATGTGATACATCATATTTATTTATTTAATGAAACAACCTTAAATAATAATATACTGAATTTAAATAGGATTTATGTTTATAAACATCACATAATTTAGCACTTTCGAAAATAGTAATTAATGTTTTGATGTATATTGAACAAAATGAATGTTGATTAATCAACTGAGAAATATTTCATCTTGTGAGAAGAATTGTCAGTTTGTAGTAATGCATTTTGGACTTTTTAAATGCACCTAAATATCCATTAGAATTCATTCCAAGACGTGTTTAACGTCTGCTATTTTATTACAACCTTATTATTGAAAGGTTACCTTCTAGTATTTGAAACCGTATTCTATAATAAATTAACATGTTAATTGCTGTTGTAAAATGTTCTGATACCTGATATATTATAAAATGAATCTCTAGTGGTTGATTAAAGTGCAATAAAGGAATTTTAGAAATATTATTAGAAAATAATAGTTCAGCCGAAATCATCGTTAGTAAACTAAACTGAATGCAATAATTTTTTTGTGTATTTAATTAAACAATCAAGTGTTTGCCATCAGCAAAAAACTTTGTGTTTGAAAAGTTTATATAGTTTGTATATCTAAAAGCAATAAATTGGTGCACGACAAATGGTGTTGACAGATTTACGTAAATCATAAAGAAATAAAAAAATAGAGAAAAATTTACTGAAATACATGTGGACTTGCAGAATAATATTTAGATAATAATTATAAATAATACCGGAAATACTTGTCATTGTTCATTTTGAACTAATATCATTCCAGCCTATGGGCCTAATATTATTTTAATGCATTTAAGTATATGAAATTACTTATTTATTGCCTTTATGATTTTTTATTACGTATATTTATGTTTAATTTTGAAGACCATAATGATGTTTTGTAGATTGTTTTTGAAATGTAAGACTATTGTACCGTTGGAATGACTTTAAGCAAGAGAATATTAAATTATTATAATGAATTTTTTAAATCAATTTAAAGTTCTTTTATTAAGAGCAATTTAAAGAATTATTAATAAAAAGTTATTGTTAATATAACTGCATATTCAACATTTATTAAATATTATTGTCTCTATGTAAAATAAAATAAAATTTCTGCGTGTTTAAAAAAATGCTTAATTAATTCTTTTTTGAGTAGAATGATTTGAGTGTAATCTAAACTTTTTTTTTTTTAATTTGTTTTCTTTAATTTCTGATTCAGTAAAGAAATTTCAAATTATTCGATTAATATTAAAGAAGGATTATAATACATAGAATTTATGTTTTATTATCATTTATTCATCACGTACTACAATTTATCAATAAATATGATTATACCAACTACAATGATAATAATGTATTTACATAAAGTTTCTGAGGCCATTATTTTTACCTTTCGTAGCACTTTTTCCACAACTTTATCCACTAATAATTTTTATTTTTATATTACTTTTTATACATAACTTTACATTTATTTTTTGCATTTTGTAATCGACAAAATCAAAATTTTTCTGTTATCCAGTCTTATGAAAAAATCTCAATTTTCAGGTCATCTTTTCTGGTATCTTAATAATAAAATTTTAAATAATTGACCCACCTATATGATATCGTTTTTTTAAGAATCTTTATGGGCATGAATGAGATCGATTTCTTTATTAACGTTCCATTTATACAAAGTTTCATAAACAAAATTGCCTCACTATTACTACAAATATTCCCTATAAATTTTAATATTTGGTATTATCTCGTGTGTAATCTTGATAATGTTTTGCACGATTCACAGTGTCATTTACTTATTGAGGTAATTGATTTTATTCAGATAACAAATGAAAAAAAAATATCAATAAAAAATTAGTAAAATTTGTTATTGACTTCCACGTTTTTATCAATCATTATATCATCATTCATAAAAAGATTCATTGTTAGTTTAAACGTCGTACGTTTTTTGTCATATTCATTTTTTATTTTTTTGATCTCATTGCTTGTTAAGAAATTATTTAAAAATTAATTTCTACAACGGTGTTTCTTTTCGTGCTTCAGCTTTCCACTGAAATCCATTAACTCGAGTAGTAATTGGTTTATTTCTGTTAGTGGCATTTTCGAAGCCATTCCGAACACCTGCTACAAGTCTCATCGCTGGATTTGATACTAAGCCATTTCGTTTTGGTTTTGAATTCGCACTGAAAACAAAAATACTCAAACGTAAACAAACATTCCCAAAAAAATACCATTGAAAGTTTTTAAAATATTATTTCAAACTTATAAATCAATTACCTTGGCGTAATATGATCAGTGGTATGTTTAACATTTCGTCCCACGCCTGCTCCACTATTTCCTAAAATAATTCTCATGTGCGTATCTCGGGTAAAGTGAGGGTCAGCAGAATTCCGTTTTTCATCATAGCCATTTTTTTTATCTTTATTGATTTTAAGACCTAACATTTCATTGGTAAGCTCAAAGGGTTTTACACCTTCGTTCCTATCAATAAGTTCAGTTTTTATATCAATAGGTTCATATATTGCAGTTGGGGTAATGAAATTTCCACGTTGAGGTTTATACTGTATACTTTGATTGCCAGTGAGCAATGAAACCCCCAATTGGCTCTGTATAACGCTTGCTGCAGTTTGAGCGCTCGGTGGACTGATATTAGTTGGTGAATATGGTATAAGGCTGTCACTCAAAGGCGAGTGAGGTGGCGAAGCATAAATTGGACTCTGTGGTTCGCTTTTTAATGGTGATAATAATTTACTCAGCGGTCGGCTCTTTGCACCTCTTGAACATTGTTGAAGTTGTTGTGTGAAAGATAATGGAGTTTTAATTACTTGATTTACCATAGGATTTTGACTAAATTTCCCTTGATCACTCTTTGTGCTACCAGTCAGATTACTACTCGATTTACTATTGCTTGATCCATTTCCCAGCGATACACAACTTCGTCGTTTAGTTGAATCAGGAGATTCTGCTGGGCTGTATTGAGTCGAAAGGGGATTTAAAATGGCAGAGGAGGGTTTCGTTTCTGCAGTTGAATTCGATGTTACAGACGTTGCGCTACTGCTACCACCTAGAGTATAAAAACAATTTAAAAGAATAATAGTATTTGTTTATTTGATAGCTTATTTAGATTATTGATCATTGTTCTTGTTGTATACCTCCATTCATTCCAGGACGTAAACTTCGTTGACTTGCCGAATGTTCTTCTAGCAGTCGAACAACAGTATCATGACCACTTTTGGCCGCAACTTTTATTGCGTTTCTACCACAGTGATCAGAGTGATTGGGATCAGCACCGTGATTTAGAAGAGCTCGAACGCAGTGTTCATGACCCTCTTGCGCAGCGATACCTGACAAATTTAGTACTTGATTAGAATTAATATCAAATTGAGTGTAAAGTTGAATAAATTGTCGCCATAAATAGAATAGTCACCTAATGCAGTTGCCCCCTGATTACAAGTATGATCTGGTGTAGCTCCATGTTCTAAGAGAAGCCTGACTATTGCTGCATGGCCTTGCCAAGCAGCTGAATGAAGAGGTGTGCGATTTTCGTTATCACAGGCATTGACACTAGCATTTCCTTCCGTCAACAACAAATGAACCATTTCTCCATGTCCTTGCCAAGCACTAACATGAAGAGCAGTTCTTCCTTCAGAATCTCTACTTTCTACATCGGCTTTTGCATGATCCAGTAAAAATTTAGCCATCGTTAATCGGTTTTCTAAAGCCAAGATGTACAAGGAACTTCTACCATCAGCATCCTTAGCATTCACATCTGCATTATATTTAAGAAGTACACGAACTGTTTCAAAATGACCTTCAATTGCAGCGAGCCTGAAAAACAGATTTTACTGTGACACGAATGAACACTATGGTTAAACGAATAGTGGACAAATGGAGTACCTTAATGCGGTCTTTCCGTCGTGGGCGTGTTGGTCGATGGGAGCGCCGTGATGCTCCAACAGTCTCTCTACTAAAGAAGTATGTCCCTCCTGTGCCGCAAGCATGAGTGCACCCTTTCCATCGTTATCAGCTTCATCGATTTTGGCCCCTGCTTCTAGTAAAGCTTCACAGACATCTAGATGACCTTCAAACGCAGCATAATGCAGTGGCGTCCATCCAGAATTATCTCTATGTTGTTCATCAAGTCCTATTTATAATAATAGAATTTAAAAAAAAAAATAATCTATCCATAACCATCTATCGATTAATTAGTTTTTTTTATTTACCTCGATCAAGCAGCTGTTTAACAACATCAACACCACCCTGAGCGGCAGCTACACTCAACACTGTTCTCCCTTCGTTGTCTATACTATCAACATAACATCCCCAAAACAACAATAATGCAACAACACTTCCATGTCCCATACTTGCTGCTGCCCACAAAGGAGTTCTACCAGTAGCATCACAATGATCTACATCAGCTTCATATTCAAGCAACAATTCACAAACATCTCTATGGCCTTCAAATGCTGCTACTAATAAAGGAGTCATTCCATCTTTATCCTGATGATCAACGGCAGCTCCTCGTTCAAGAAGAATGGTAACCACCTGAAAAGATATCAACTCATGTATTAAATGAATAAACCTTTTTAATGTCAAAGTTCAAGCGATGTTCATGCTCACTTTTGCGTAACCGTGATTAGAAGGTACGCATAGAGCTGCAACGCTGAGTGCTGTTCTACCATCACTATCAGCATGATCAATTTTTGCTCCATAGTCTAATAGATGTTCCACGATTTCGCTGTGGCCCATGTAAGCTGCGGCTATGAGTGCTGTTCGACCTTCATCATCTGTTCTATTGACATCTGCACCATGCTGCAATAAAGCTTTCACTATGTCTTCGTGACCTCCCCATGCTGCAGCTCTTAGGGCTGTTCTTTGATCCCAATCAGCGCAATCTACCATTGCACCATGTTCTAATAACATTTCGACAACCTAGAAAATGATTATAATTTTTTTAAATGTTTGATTTATCATTTAGTTTAGCCTTACAAAAAATTAGTGGGTAAGTTGTAGTTGGGTGATTTCACATGATGTATTAAAAACTGATAACAAAAAAGAGATGACAATGAGTCAGAAATCATTTGAGTTTGTTAGCCACAATGAAGTAAATCAAGAATAATAAATCACACTAACTACATCAGAGTCTGTTTTAACAGGCTTGTGGTTTCGTGGAAGAAGACTTGGCTGTGAATGTACCTGGGTGTGTCCGCCCCAGGCTGCAGCTCTGAGTGCGGTCCAGCCATCACAGTCTGCATGGTCGGCGCTAGCACCAGCCGCCAAGAGGACTCTTACAACATCTGCATATCCATGTCTAGCTGCTAGATTTAAGGGTGTCTGTCCATGACGGTCTGTAGCCTCTAGTTTTGCCTGAAAGTATAAATAAATGGAACTCCAATAACCAGTAGTAAATAGGATGAAAAAATATTTATTGCTTTTGGGGTAAATTGTCGAACTAGTAAGTATATTTAAATATTTCTTACAAATAAAGTAACTACGAATGCTTATTAAAAAAATGTAATTTTTCAAAAAAACATTACTTTAATCGTTCACTTGACCAAGTGCTTAATTAAATTAAAAATAATTCTTACATGAGGGCATGCTGCGAGCGCAAGTTCCAGCAACGATGCATTTCCATCGGCTGCTAGAGTATGAAGTACTGTACGACCACACGAATCAGCTTGATTTATGTCTCCACTGTCACCGAGTAGTTCTGTTAATGGTTCTCCAGGGGATTCATCTACGGGACTAACGTCTTGTGAGACCTGTAAAAAAGTATTTTCTTATACCACTTATACATTTTAATAGTTTATGTACTGAATAAAATGTGAGTTACCTGACTAGAAGAAATTGGATCCTTGATGGACTCATTATCAACTGTTTTCTCCGATGGTTTAGCTCCAGCATCTACTAACAACCTCAGTAATTTTGTATCTTGTCTTGGCCACATAATACATTCAGAATTGTCTAAATAACATTGCTCAATAGGTGCACCAGTGCTGATCATCCACAAAACTTGAAGTGTGTGGGAATCCAAGTTACAAGAATTACTATTTACATTATTAATAACGCGTTGAAGATGCTGTCCTAAAATACATATCTCATCAGGATTGAGATCAGGACTCTTTTGAGTGTAATAAGCTGCTAACATTGCATGTCCTTCAGTCGCAGAACAGAGATATTTTTGTGTACAATGTTTAACATCCAAGAGCCATTCAGCAAAGCTGTGATGGAATAACATGAGTGCTCCAGCACGAGATACAGATATTACCCTCCTCAATAAATGAAGTCTACGGTTAAAATCTTCAATGGTGATAGTTGTATTGGCTGTTTTGACACACTTATACAAAATTTCTTGAGTTATCGGTAATTTTGCTGCGAGTATAACATTAAGCAGTGGCTGTACTTTAGCAAATTGTTTTCTACTAAATAACCTTTGACACAGCCATAGATAAAGTCCATTAAGAGTTCCTGGAATCTCCCTGACTTCTCTTAAAACAATAAAATTTTCTGCTACTCCATCGAGAACTTTTTCTAGGTAGAGAAAGCAGCCATTACTTTTGATGTGTAATTGATTGAGCATCTCGGCTGTGTCTCTAGAGATGTGTTGTCTGAGTGCATCCTCTTGGTCTAACCTTGCAAGAATATACTGTTGAACGTCTCTAACAACTTGACTTTTCCTCAAATCATCTAAAGATATTTTTCGAAAACCAGTAAACATCCGAGAAATAGTCTTACTTTGTCGTCTAGCCGTACAGACAAGTAAAAGCCATTGGGGAAATAGGTGATGATGATTTGCCAACAGTTCTGCAATGGTTCGACTAACGTTCTCATTCTCATGTCGTGAATCTCTTGTTCCATTTAAGGGTGGGTTTATCACTTGTCCTTCATCAATAGAATCAACAAGAAGAAATAAACAATTTTTTGGCGGTTCCACTTCCAATAATGGAAACAGGAGAGCTTTCTTAAGTGCATTATCTGGATCTCGATCTAACACATCGTGCTGGAGGGCTGCATGAATTTCAGGATCAGTTCTAAGTCTCTCGGCATAAGCTTCAGCGACAGCATCCTTGGAGGTGGATGGTACTACTGATGTTGTGCTGGTTGTCGGTGACGTAGGCGAAGATAAATGGATACCATCAGTACTTGCTTGTAAAATTTGTGCTACAAGCGATCTAACAAATTGAGCTGGTGACAAAGAGGCTTCGCTTCTCGCTTGACAAAAATGTCTTGCTAAAAGTCGTTTGTTGAGGGATCTTTGGTGTCTGGAACTTGCAGACGTAGAAGGCCATGCTAATTCAGCACATAGAGCAGTTTTTCCACTTCCGGGACCACCAACAATAAGTGCGCCACATGTTTTTGAAGCTGGTCGTTGCTCCAAACAGTGTGAGAGTTTCATGAATGCCCATTCTCGGCAAAAAAACCGTTTTTTTTCTATTACTGGCGCAGCCATTTTTATATCATAAAATATGTGTGTGTATATATATACATATATATTAAAACTTTACTTAGTTTTACTCATTCTATTCAGTTATTTACACTTGCCCAAAAAAACATCCGGGTTCAGTTGATGATTCACCAAAGATGTTTATTTTTTTCAAGTATTTTAAACTTTGAATAATATCCATAGATTCAGACTATAAAAAATGTCAATTTAAGGTAAAGTTCCCCTGGGAGACTTGCTTACTACCAAACGTACTAAGGTTTGACAGCTTGAAGATGCTGATCGGAGCCCCAGGGGGCTCTGTGGCTTCCTCGGCCTCCATTCAGGCCTCTCATCGTCTCATTTCGTTTATCCTCCGTGATTCGTAGCTCGACATTCTAGATCCTGAAACATAAAACAGTATTATATAGCTTTTCCACCGAAACACATTGGACTTAGTAACTTTCTATGAGATTCGTTGGTACTTTTTTTGTTTATCTAAAACCACTATAAGCTTCTTCACATACCAATGTGATACAATATTGGAATAATGTTTGAGACTACAAACCAAACTTGCGGAAACTCTAGCATTATATATCTCTATACTGAGATTGAAGGTGTTAACTCAAGAATGTAGATGCTTGTATACACCAAAACGTGAAAATATTTATATTGTGAAGATACAAAAGCTCTCTAATCTTCGTGTAGTCGATAAACTGATGTAGATAGGACATATGTGTACATCGTTAGGGCAATAAAAGTTGTGCAAGATTTAATTTGATAATAACTCTAGAAGGCTAGTCAAAAACTAAACGATTGGTAATCTCGTGAAATAAATATCTCTAATAAAGTTCCCGGGGCACGAGCCAAAATTCTTGCTTGAAAATACAGAACTTAGAAGTCTCTTTTCAAATGAAGCAGAAATGGTAGTGGAGGAGGAGTAGACAGAGGAATGGACGAAAACCCAAAATTACAAATCTTGATTCAGTAGAGAAGCAAGCGATAAACCAGTTCTGTTAATGAGAGGCAGAGATGTAGATACTGTGTCGACCTTATCTTCTTATAATCTTGTGTGCATCCTTCTTTTCATTCATCTGTGATGCTAAACTATTTCGGATATACGTGCCTCCAACATGATTCACACACTGCATCAGATAATGTGTGATTCTAATGGCAACTCCATAGTCGTTGGAATTTCTTGAAAGAAGTAAATGAATGCCTGATTGGAATTTCTAATTATCAAGGAATATTTCACGATAAATATAAAAAACTAGAAGGTTTATTCATTAACGGAAAATCATTTTTAAGTAGGTGATAAGAATTTTAACCAGTTTTATACTTTGTTGAAAGGAACTATCTGTCAAAATGTCTGAAAGTATTAATTTAAGTTGTTTGATGGGTTGATAATATTTTTTTAGCAATTTGAACTTTGTATAACAACTAGTCAATGTATTTCATTGGAATAACATAAACCATTTATTGACTTGAATTCAAATCATGATTAAATAAAAAACGCTTAAAAAAACTTCTTCAAGTAATTGAGTTTAGCAGTTTTGCTGTTCGGTGATGGTATCTAGTTAGCTATTGGAAAACTACTAATTGACGATAACAAACAAGTGTCTTAAAATCAAAGAGCAATTTTCTTGCTTTAACAATTGATAGCTTGGTTGATAAAAATAATACTGTGGTGATATATTGATAAAATTGAACAATGTTGATTTTGAAATACTCTCATTAATGTTAATTAAATATTTCTTCTTGAAGTTTTTAATCTTTACAAATTAATTCCTATTTTTAAACGACTTCTCCAAACAAAGTATATTGTTTAAATAAATCTCTACATTATATTAATGTCTTTAACCATATAATTTTCGTTATGGTTTATGTTATCAAAAAATCAACATTAATCAATCATGATAAAATCAGGAAATTAAAAGACTCCAGCGTTATAATGAATAACCACAGCAAATGATTGAATATAAAGATAGTAAAATTATTATGAACATCATATTTTCGTATATATATTTATTCACATGGATTCACTGTAGCCCGTATATTATTCTTAGTAACTGGAGTCACTAGCAAGAGAATTCATAAAAAATGAGTAGCAAACGTATACAACGCATATCAACATCGCGTTTGGATAATAAAACGAGTATGGTAGATCTGCAAGGCATTCACTTGATTTCCCTAATGAGTTTAACGAGAGTCGTGCACCTTCAGCTCTGGGCACGAACTTCTAACATATCGCAAGAGTCACTCGATGAATGAGTGCAAATACGAGTGTTAAAGGCATGCTTTTCTTAATTGCTAGCAGGTATTAATATTTATTCCAGTTTTTTTTTCATTCAATGATATTTCTACCAATAGTGTATTATAATCAAGTTTGTTAACAATTGAGTGAAATTTAGTTAATTTCATTTTTTTTCTTCATTATTTAATGAATATTAAATTTTCAATTGGATGATAGATTTTAAAAGTGATATAAAAACGTTCATTCACCAAAACTTGCTGGTTGAGTGACCGATATTTAAACTTGTCGGATATATTGAGCACTTGAACCACCGTTCTCTATTGATGCTGTCATAATTGTAATTACTTTCCTAATACATATAATTTTACTTTGTTCAAGTTTAGCTGAAAAGAGTGTTCACGGCGTTATTAAAACCACAGAATTACGAGATTACGTTCAATGAATTCACCATGAGAAAATGTCTAGTAAAGACAGAATGAGAACAGAAGGGAAATCTGCGGTTGACGTGTACAAACTCGTCAACTCAATGGTAACAATGAAAACTTGGCCGGAACTTTGATATATTTTGATGCTGTTTCATACAGTTCTTTTGTCGGTTGAATATCATATTCTTTCATACAACTTTTTCCTGACTTATGTACTTTACTTTTCACACATGAAAAAAAATATTCTAGTGACGTGAGACGCCAAAGTTCTATTCCCTCAATTGTCTTAATTTTAGTAATATCTGTAGAACAAAATTATGGAAGTAATAACTTAAGTCTGTAATTTGAATGAAAGAAAAAGAAAATAACATCATGCAAATGTTGTAACTATAACAATACTAAAAAAATTTTTAAGAAAAATTAACATGTCAGATAAAATGGGGTATACGACTTAATTATAATATGTAATTTTAAAAAATTTCTTTTGATAACTTAAGATGCGAATTTTCGATATAAAATGTGATTTTATTAATGGTCTTCAACTTGGTTAATAGTTTAAACTCTCCATAAAGTTATTTTATTGTTATAAATCATCCTGCTAATATCGATTACTGAGAAAAGTTTCGATGACTAACATGTCTGCAATGCAGAATTATTTTAGAACTTATCGATTTTTACAGACAAAAAAAAAAAAATCAGAAAAAAAGAAAATTATTGATGTTGATAATCCATTTGATAAGAAAAAAATACATATAAAAAGGAACGGTTTATTTTTTATTCTGTTCAGAGTCAAAGAATTTAAGAGCAATAAAAAATGGCACAGAACCAATGGTTTACATCAAAAATTGGCGGTACGTGACAAGAATGAAATGCCCATGATTTTGATAAATAATGCACGAAGAAAAAAACAATTTATCATTTTAATCGAATGATTTTCTCCAGTGTAGATGAGCTGGTGGGATTTATAATGCACTGAGAAAAAAATGGGTGGATTATCCCCAGTTGACAACTGGCAACATCTTAAATCTTGAGTCACATCTACTTGATAAAGTCAAATCATCTCTTGGATAATAACAAGCTGTGGAGTCGTCAGAAAAACTTCTCTTCAATTCTCATCAAAACAATAAGAAATGTATTTTTGGATCAGAAATAATTTTTATTGATGTTCTTTCAATGAATAATTCAAATTAGTTTCAACAAAGTTCAAGATAACAAAAAAATTATTACTACAAGTAAAAAAAATGTCTTAAATTAATGCGCGGCTTGAATTAAATTTTCAAAAGAAAATTCAAATAAAGAATGACCAGTTAGTTATAATGATGATTTCATAACAGTACATAAATATATTGTTTATGAAAATAAGTTTTCTTACAACTAAAATCTGGAATAATTGAAATAATAAGAATAAATCATTGAATAGTAATAAATTTATATGTATAATCAATCAATTACTTATTTGAAAACCCAAAATTTTTTTATTAATATTAATATCTTCAATAATGAGCTTAACATTTGCTGGAATTGAAAATAATAATTATTACGTTATTACAGAGTTCTTAATTAATCGGTCACATACTTGTCACAATATTTAAAAATATTGATGTTAAGTGTCTTTCAAAATGTAATTATTTAAATAATACTGATTTAAATAATTTAGTGGATAAATTAATGACGATTACGTGATTAGTGCGTTTCCTAGAACTGCATATTAAGTTTGACAGTTTTACCATGATAGTTGGAGTACACTGTAACTGATGACCTAACAATTTAAAGGTATATGAAATAGTAATTGGATGCTATTACTAATTAGCTAAGCTGAAATTAGAAATATATAATCCTTTCATAAGAACTTGAACATCAATAATTGATCATTATCTAACTTTGTTGCCTGTGATTTAAAGATTATCGTTTTTGGTTTGCATTAAACTTTTTGTTACTTTGTACCTTTAGCACGTTACAATTTTACATCCTTTGCTTCTTATTATGCAAGTTTATATTCTCTTCTCGTTACATGGCCCTGAGGCAACCAGACACATTAAAGATTGCGCACGAGATCATATGATTGCTATAGCTATTGAATCTTGATACTAATGTGTCAACCGCCCACGTCAAACTACTGTGTGATAATAACAATACATGTTTCAATTAGTTTTCAATTTCTACTTTCACTATTTTTTCTATTAGAATAACTTTTCATGTCTGTTCATTTACACATATATGTGCATAGGGATTGAATAAATGCCATTATATGCTTGGTATTTCATTTAATATTGGTAACAATTTTAGTTTATATTATTATAATAAATTATTTCATTTGATTTATTATTATTGTTATTATTTAATTAAAGTTCTCAAATTGTTTTTTTTAGATTAGACGAAGTATAAAAAAGCTTGCAGTAGAGAGCTGAAATAACAGATTAAACATAAATTGATCAGAAAAAAGAATAATTTGAAAACTTTGAAAGGCTATTTTTAAATTGAAATTTCTTCCACTATCTGTTTCGGTAATTAGGAAAGTTTTTGTAATATTTTTGTGTTTTGTTTTGATTAAAAAAATTTCTTTAATCAAGTAGTAAAATAATTTTTTCCCCACTATTACATAAAAATTATCTTTATGATAATTTAAAAAATTTTTGTAACAAAAAAAAATAATGTAACTGTGTTATTACTGACAATTTTTGTTTCTTCTGTAGATAGAAGACAAAAGTACAATATCTAAATAATTA